GTCATGGAGACGGCAGAAAAGCTTCTCTTCAAAAATCCTTTTTTCTATTCTGGTTACAATACCTTGACGGTTATTTGTGCCACTCTCATCCGCTCTCACCGACCTCACTGATTGGTCATTGGTCAAAAATCCAGCGAAAATGTTGCACCCAAGTTTTGCATTGAGTTGAAAGAAAAATCTAAATGACATATTATTTGTATATTATATACTGTGAAATAGAATGCCCAATATCTAAAATAAGTATAGAGCACCGAAATAAGCTAAGATTTGACCGTTTGTCTTAATGCAGTGATGTGATGAGTGGATGCTCAGTCCACAGACTTACCGATGAAATTATTGGTCCACTATAATTTCTTTGGGTAATCCAATAACAATGAGGCACAATAAAAGTGAGGCCTGGCCCTTGTGAGGAAGTGGCCATGAGCCTGACCCTTAGTTTTGACTAGAGAGTACTTGTCCTGCAAAACAGTCAAGGTATATTTTCTCTGTGGCAATTAAACCTTTGTAGCAACCCCAGGAACAAACCCCTGATCGAGTTTTTTTCCTCAAGCTATCTTAAATACAGAATTTATCGATATTGAACTTTTGCTAAAGTCCTGCCTGGGTGTTCAAGTCCTGCTGTTATTATCCCCATTTGTTTTCAACCATCTTAGGTACTAGTTTAAATTTACTGGAGGTGATTAACATGTTCACCATTTTGTTTATGTAATCTTACTATATATAAAGCGAGACGATATATATATATAATATATATATACAGGGTGGGCCAAAAGTCAGTACCCATACGTTGGGTCTTATACCACCGCTGTGTTTTATATTTGAGAGTTGTTGCTTTGCAGATGGTATTCTGTACCTACTTGTTCGAGGATTCCGTCACCAAAATTCTAAAATTCGATTTTTGGAGGCCACACCCAATCAACATTGAATTGCTTATACTGGTGTTTGTGAACATGTTAGAGACTCCGTTGTAACATATTACAATAGGTCATTTAATTCGGAATATAATCTGAAAAGATGGCGCGAAACGGATTTAAAATGACGAAGTTATCAAGCAATTTGTTTATCTCGTTAGCAAAATTGATTGAGTACTCAATGATTACCCAATTACGACACCGTAATTGGGCTCTCTGCATGACTCCCATAATGCGGATCTAGCTTTAACCCAATCACCTGATCACACGTAATGAACAAACTCGTTATGCGTCATATCTCGGTCATCTGAGAAGCTAGAACTCTCATTTTTTCAGGACAAACGTAATTTAATTAGCCAAACACCATTCAATAAAATTTGGCTCGATCCGACTATCCAAACTATCAACTAAATGCGAAAATGAACCTTCATTTGAAAAAAATGAACACGAATATGTTTCGATTTGACAAATTCCTCGAACCAGTGTTGGTAGTAAGTCATACCAGAAAGAATTATTTTAATTGGGCACTCAGTGACTGAGCTATTAAGGCCAACGTATGGGTACTGACTTTTGGCCCACCCTGTATATGTGTGTTTATCCGTACCATTTTACTGATACCACGGCATCAACTTTAACGCGACTTTCCGATATTCAACTGAAACTTTTTTGACTGGCTCAAATGCTTTAATGGCCTCCAAATCAGCATGAAAAATAAAAAATTGGCCAAGGAATAGGAATTTTAGAGCCCAAAATTTGGACCCCCAAGTCTCTTGAGTCTTGACACCATTTTAGGGTTATACGGGTTCCTGCTAGTCATCATAAACGGCTTAGTGGCTTATAACGGCTTAGTGGCTCAGTTGGTTAATCTGCCTGTCATTGCTTGAGGTACCAGGTTCGATTCCCGACTCTGTCACTAGCCGTGGGGTGAGCGTCGTCGACGCTCAGCTAAGGATCCTGAGTGGTCTATGCAGCCCCCGGTCCACTCAGCCAAATACTCGAGAAATCGGGTGTGAGGGTTAAATGAGGAGCTGCCCATTGCAGCAAAGTCTCGGGCGAAGAAAGTATGGTACACACTATCTTAACCGTCACTGGCCTAATGTATAATTGAATCCTTCGGCTTCCTGTAATTGGTTCATGTAAATTGTATTACTTCAAATAACTTTAAGTTATTTATGACAATATATGAAATGAAATGAAATGAAATAAAGCATTTTTATCCCGCTTATATCAACAATCCAAATAAAAAATAAAGATTGCCGATGTCAAAGCGGCTGGCCTCGCGATATAATCCAAAACTAGATACTCAATATATGAATATGCTAGTAACAAATATAAAAACCAATAGTACTTATTTGACATTTTGAAAAAAAATTTATCACACACGGTAAATACGTATGGACGTATATCACTCATTATTATGTATCACTCTCTAACATCTTGTCCTCACTACAAAATTATCACTTCTGATATGATAATGTTTTTTTGTGTCTTCTTTGGCTATCTGTTTCATTTCCAAGACCAACCGCTAATGGATAGGTCGATCTTCAGGTGATCGATCTGGAGATATGAAAACAGTTTTGTGATCTTCACACGTAGTCTCAATTTTTTGGCATTTACTAATATCTGATGAACGGTACTACAATTACCTAGCGAAACTTTGACTGGTCTCGTCTTGTCGGCTGATTTCCTCCCAACCCGGATAGCTGCAAAACGTGGTTTTTCATCAATCTGCTGAAAAATCATGTCAACTTTATCGCACAGTTTCTCTTCATCAGCCTCCTTCAAACCAAAGATGAGCACATTCCTACTGCGATCCTCTTCCGATACAGCAATCTGTACAACCTTTTTCAAACTCTCTTCTGTAAGCACATGTGCAGTTTTAGACACAGCTTGACTGTATGACTTCATCTCAGCTTGGACAGTGTCTTGAACGGCGGTCTTGACGGTGGAGTGCACAGATTCCAACTGGTTCGATTTGATTTTCAGAAGTTCAGCCTACAGCTTGATAACAGTACTTTGCGATCGGATAAGATCACTCTTCAACTCCTCCATATCTTTCTTGATATCCAGAAACGTACTTATATGACCACCGGTAGTCTGATACGCACTATACAAAAGTTTTACTAAAACTGACTTCACTGGCTTTTTGAACGTTTCAACTGAAAACTCTGATTTGTTGTCACAGTTCGTAGCTTCCAACAGTTCAGTGATCCAACCGTTAAAGTCCTGATTCTCTTCGGTAATGTAGGTAGAGTAAACTGACAATCTTTGTAGAGTATCCATTTCCTCCATCGTGTACTTGTACTTGTATAAAGTAAAAACACAGTACCAGCACAATGGCAGTTGTAATGTAGCGATAAAATAGAGATAAGAGAGCTAGATTATCAACACGTAACAAAAACTGCACACAGCATAATGTATAAATAGATAAATTGAGAACAAGTTGATAGTTTACCGTTTTATGTTCAAGTTTTATTCATAGCAGACTCCACTATTATATTTAATAGCTATATCTGTATCTCCCTTGTAATGTATACTACTAGCAGTCTCATGATATAATGATAAAGTGCCGTTTACTTTTACTTTATTTATTTATTTGCTATAGCAACTACGAGGCTTTATTATGACAGGATTTATTACAACAAACACAGCTCACCTGTTTTGTTCAATTTCCAATTCAATTATATCTGACAACTCGTCAATAAAGTCTGGAAGAATTCCTTGGGCTAAAATTACGTTATAAATATATATTATATATTAGTGTTAGAGTCAACTTAAATATAAATACATAAGTTCTTTTCCTTTGTCTCTAAATAGTACTTTATACTGTACTACACACAGTGGGCCACCATACTACAATTGACGAAAAATTGAGTTCTTTTAAAAGGAATTAAGTAAGTTTTGTATTGCAGTAAAAAATCTTGGCTATTAGATGCAAAAAACCATAATTGAATTGATTAAATGGCTTTCGCGCAGCGCGTCGGCGAATTTACGAAATTTTTTGACTGCCAATTTTTTCACTTTTGGCAGTCAAAATTGGCATAACCCATCATTATATTTCTAAAATTGGCTTAAAACACCGTATATTGACTCCTAATCAAGGTTAAAGTACTCTCTTTGCTTCAATTCATGCAAAAAACCATGTAATCATATCATTTAAGCTGAATTTTTGGCACGCACTCAATTTTAGGCCTCATTTTTGACTAATTTTTGCTTAAATTTGGCCAAAAAAAGTTTATTTGCCTCAGGTTGCCCCACTAATGCATGGTACCATCTGAAAGCTCAGACGATTCTCTAAACAATGGTAGAAGAACTGTTCTGGGTTTTTTTGGGTCTTTTTCAGAAAAAAATTCCAAAGTTGAAAAAAGGCCCAAATTTGATGGAATTTAGACTTACCTTGCAGATTTGAAAAAAATTATTTTTTCTCAAACAAACCTCATTTTGAACATCTTTCTTGGCTCTCAATGTCGTGGCCTGGTGCCATGAGGTTATGGGGTACTAAAAAGTGGTCTGTTTTGGAAATATCATCAAAAAATGCTATTTTTCTGGAATTTTACTGGTATTTTCTGACAATTTCAGAAATTTCTGGCATTCGCGCCCAATTTTCTGGTTTCAATTTGACATAACTTTGGCTACGATCAATATTTTTTCATAATTCAAAAACTAAAATGATAAATAGCCTCAGGACTATCAATTTAAAAACATTCTAAACACATTCAACGATTATCTTTAGCAAAAACTCGAATTAGATGCCTCTAGACCTACATTTCAGCCATGAAAAATTTCTATGGAATGAGCCAAAAAAAATTTTCTGTGACTTATAAAGGACCAAAATTTGTTTAAAAATCAATATTCAACTGATTTGAAGTAAAAAATAATGTTTGAAATGATCTAAATTGATCACTGATGGTCTATTACAGTATGACCCCCTATTCTGGCCCACTGTGCTACAGCCATTAAAAGTTGTCAATATACACATACTTGTAAAATGATTATAAAGTTTTTCATTTTATTGCATTACAAGTTACAGACCTTATTTAGATTATATCATTAATTGTACATTGTACATTCATATCAAAATCCTTAAATAGGCAAAGTATAGTATGTTGATTGAGAGAAAGTAAACGTTTCTGCCTATTCATGGATAGATATCCGGTAAGTGTTTGTTGATGAATATTGATACATGTATTTACTTTGTAGCGTTTTTAATGGTTTCTTTAATTGTTGTCAGTATACTAATAAGGATAACTTCATTAATTTATTTTCAGATACAAGGACTTGGAGGCCCTGGTGCAATAGATCCACACATCCCGCCTCCATGTATCCCTTTGCGGCAAGGTGAATGTAAATTTAATGTCGATGTCGACAGTCGAGGTTTAGACCGAGGTGGAAGTAAAAGTCGATGTCGAAAGCAACGTCGATTTCAAGGACTAAGATCGAGAGATAACTCAAGAATAATTTGCATCCTTTTCAGATCACAAGAAGACCCTGGAGTGGAAGAAACCCCCAGTCAAAGTGGACGATATTGACCCAAATATTGCGTGCCCACCTTGCACGTGTGCAACCACTGTTAACGGTAAACAATTTAAGTTTTACTTATCTGTAATACTTATTGTCCTACAGAACTATACTCTATAGGCTAACCGATTCTAGTGAACATACTTTTTTTATCAACAGATAGTTTGATTTGAAATCCAGTAAAATATGGTAAATGGTGATATATGAAACCGGGTTCAATTTCTTACTTACACACACAAATTAAAAATCCGTCGATTTGCGATCAAAACTTTTGAAATTAGATAATTTAAACGTGCTTATTGTTTTACATCGAGTGTAATGATTACCTTAATTAATAATTAATTAGCGCCTCCCTTGAAGTAGCGTACTCTTGAAAGATCCTCATCGTTTTGAACCATGACCACACTCCGAACGACTATAGGCCCCAGGCCATAAGTTAAACTTATAATCCCTGTTCCAAGACTTATGTTAGGACAAAATTTGCAAAAAATAGTAAAATCATGATATATTTTTGTTTAATACGATCTAGTTAGGGCATTATGAATATTTTCTGGGAACTAATTTGCCACAAGTATTTATATAATGCAGGAATGTGTTGTCCATAATGTTTGTTGTTTTTTTGCTGCTGTTGTTGTTGTTGGCCTCTTTAACAAAAACTAAAGTACGTTTTCCGCAAAAAGGGTATTAAATATTAATTTACCAGGCTATTTTGCACTTACATCCAAAAGTCTGCAATACCTTCCAAAAAAATTTACCAGAAATATCAACGACTTTCAATCTTTGTTTGAGCACTTGCAAACCAACAAAATATAATCATTGCAGTCATTTTTGTCCTCCTGATGAGCTTCTGTGTGCCTTAATAATAAATAATTAAATGAACAAATTCTAACATTTATTACACGCTTCGACATTAAAATATACCCAACAAAGATGTACATTTAAGACTTAAGTCATTCAAGCGATAATGGCAGAAATAAATTGTTAAGCAAGCTTCTGAAGAAAATATGCCCACCAGATCTTTACAACTCTTTGGGGTGGTTTCTAGGACTATGGGCAACACATTCCTGCATAGGAATGCTTGTGACAAATTAGTTCCCAGGTGGTTCTATATTTATGACATCATGCAATCTAGAACTCATTACGATAAAAACGATTTTATGCGTTTCAAAATGTGAAGCAATTTTGCAAGTATTTTTGGTCTAATGATAATGTTTATTGTTGTTAATGTAAACGAAAGGTAAGCATAATTTTGTTTCTTTAAAATATACCGCATGTGTATCTTGAGCAAAAAAGTAATAAGTATGGAAATCCACAAATCTATATCGCTGAAGGGCGAAGGCAATTTTTCGATCGTTTTCTTTAGATATACCAGTGAAACTGCGTGGGGAAAATTTGACTCCAATAAAATCGTAAACATCTCAAAGTTTATTTGATTTTGTATAATTACATTCTTATCGAAGTAATAACATTCTGTGTTTAAAAGGCCAAATGTCGCCTGCCGGACTTAATTGGCCATGTGTAATTGGTTCAGAATTCTCAGGTTCAAAGTTGAGTGTTTCATAAAAAACTGCCATAGTTAATTCAATTTCTTGATTTATGTTTGAGTTAATTTATGTTCGAGTTAACATTTAAACTGAATTTACAGATGGTGCACCCTCCTATTGTCATTTAGGACACGGTAGTGACTACCAAAACCTGCGGAACACACTCGAAAACAGGTAACTAATTATATTGTATCATTCATTATATTATTTATTTTGACAATTCTAAATTTGTGTATTTTAGATTAATTCTGTGTGTTTAGATGGAGGTGTTGTTAGTGAGTCTGGGAGTAGAAATATTACCTGTAATACGTATATCCCCAGAACTTGTACCACTTACCCATGCTTTTAGTATTTCTACAATATGGTCTACGACTTTTACACAGCATAATACCCCATGATGTCGTTTATTTTAAATTCTCTTTGCTGTATTGTATATGTACTATTTGTAAAAGTTTCAAATCAAAACAAATCATCTGAAATAATATGTTCACCTACATTATGTGTGTTAGCATACATACTTAATCGCTACAGTGCACTCGGATTTCGATTTCGCAAATATAAGTTGCAAACCCCATAGCTGGTCGTAGAATACTTTGCATTTTTGTCACCCTTAAGTGCTCGGTAAAAGCAGCGTACTGACTACTTTACATATTTCTTTAATATCGTTGAAATATCGTTGAAATATCATATCAATTTGATTTCAACGGTCCCTTCGTAAATTTCCTTTTAGCTGGTTTTAGCAATATAATGAATTTGCTCTAAGTGGTTATGAGTTATCAGGCTATAAATTTTAAACTGCCTTGGGAACAGGAAGCAAGCATATTTCTCCAACTTGGTTAAATGTTACAAATATTGTATAATTGATAAAACGTAATTCTAATCACTAAATGTTTGTCAGGTGTAGTTTCATTTGTGATAACTATTTTATGAGCCAACAGAGTGATTGGATAATTAGTTAGGGGCACAATTGAACTTGTTTTCGAAATTATTGATTAAGTGTAATAGCAGTCTCCTTAAGAAATCATTCTTTTATCGGACACATCTGCTCTGGAATAAACTTCCTCTCGAAATAAGAGACATAGCTGTCCTGATATCTTCAAGGCCAAACTTAAGGATCACCTATGGTCGGAAATGCTACCCACAGATCCAAACGATAGTCACGCTGAATTCTACCTGTCTGATAATGATTAGATGCATCTCATTTCTCCCAATGCCAATTCTCTAATCTAAAATAATCGATCCAAACTATTTAAGGGGTTAGGGGTGGGTTGGGTTTTTAAAAGTATTGTATGATATAATCTATTTCATTAAAAAGTTAACAAATTATTAACATTATGATATTTTATGCACGCTGTATTTTATTATTGCACAATCATCTCTATTACTATTATATATCTTACATTTATATGTGTTGATTGTATGAAATGTTTTGTCAGGGACCATATTTTGTAGGTGTAATTTTTGCACGAACTACGTTCTGGTTTCCCGTCATTATAGTACATAGAAATCACTTTTTGACCGTGTTATTTTCATGCAATTACATTGATGTATGTACTATTTTGAAAAGATTTTCAATAAAAAAGTAATTGGTTATTTCGACCGGGCAACCGAAAGAAAACAAGTGTTTTAGGCCATAATTTCAAAATTTGCCCTTTCGATACCTTCAATCTTTGATCGCAGAAAAACCGTGCTCTGTTATTAATCTTGTGTGAAATGTGATGACTTATGTATGTAGGAATAAATTTGCATTATAGTGATTTCTGCTGGAAATGCGCAGAAAATGGCACAATCTGACATAATAGACCGTTTACGTAGGGCGCAACAACTGGAATATAATAATGTTGCGCGCGCAACGATTTTGCCAAAATTATTTTATAATTGTTGTTCATTTTCACATGGAAATCTTCTCCAGATTAAAAGTGGCAATGAGTTTCCTTTTAGAGGAATACGGAAGCCCATTTACATGTTTATGAAACATTATTTCAATGTTGACTACATAACGTGTACCATAAGTTATGAATAACAATTATAGTGATGATCTTATATTAATAATGGGTTTATGTTACTCGTTATTAAACATCTTCAATCATTTCCCCATGAAATCTGACGCTTGACCTATTAATTAATTAATCAGGTACGATTTGAGCGGTCATGCTCTTCGTTTGATAGAGATACAATACACTGGCAATGAGGCGAAGAGCAAAGACGGATGCCCTGTCGTTCAGTCTGTTAGTATTAACTGCTTTTTGGATTTCACTTTCCTTTTGTAATGATTTTTATTTTAGCTTCCATTTACATTTAAGATGACTCGACCTCAACTTACTTAGGCTGTTACACCCAGTACCGTTTGCTAAAAATACGATTACTATTTTTTAACTAAAGAAATCAAAAGGGCATCTATTCTACCACTCGTGGAAAACATACAAATAAATTTTTGTTAAAACGCCATCATAATAATAATCCCAGAAAAAGTCGTTAAATGTTGTTCAATTCAACATTGACGTTCAAACAAGAATCAAGATGAAAAGAATATTTGTAAAACCCTCAGCTTCAATCATGCACTTTGACAGAGTTACTGGCTGGCACTACAAACATCTTCTCACTCACAATCACCATCAATCAAATTCAAAATTATGCAATCAATCACTATACATCCACGATCATATGATCAAAACACAAAACTTTGTAATATACTGTGTCTGTTTGAGATTTGAATAACGTTACGTACTGTACTGTTTCAAATTATATATATTTTTTTTTAATGCACTCTGCCAAACGCCGAACTTCTGTGCATTTAAAAAAATACTCATTTGTTTCTCAAATATTTTTTCCTCAATTCTTCAAAGTTTGCAGAATAAAATAGAGTAATCATATTCATCAAATCGTCTATAATTATGAAGCAATATCGTACACACAAAAAATAATTAAAATAATCCTAAATTTAAATGCTGTAATCTGTACCTATACAAAGTCCCAGCAATCAGCATTGTGTTAATCAAAATTTTCGAAAACTGAGGTAATTTTTAACAGCTGAAAATATGTTGTCCGATTCAATGGCAAATTAAACAGGAGTGTTATCTTGGTTCTTTAGAATATGGCCAAACATCCTCTATCTTTGATAATATAAATTTTGTTGAGAAAATCGTTTTCCTTTTAATCAGAGAAAGGTCCATCCTTCATCCAACAATAGCCGTCATCCATATATTGTTCAGGATTGACGTTTTGGTAGTACAAACGGTCATTTTTACTCCTTTTATCATTTCCTTCTCCGGGCTGCGATGTGGGCAATTCCTCCGCAGGCTTGCTGTTCAAATTGTGTTCTTCTTTTTTGCACGAGGTTCCAGTGTTCTCCATGACACAATAACCATTATCCGGGCCAACTGTTATTTCCATTGAAGGGCCTTGTTGGTCATCTTCGGTTTCAACACCTCCGAACCTGCTGTATCCTACTTCTGCCGTATTTCTCTGAGGATGCTTCTTTCTTCGTTCCCAAAGAAGTAGCAAAACAAGGGCAAAGCAAATAACAGCCAGATACGCCGACAGAAAAGCGAGAATCATGATTTTGAGTGAGCAATGTGAACAATCTGAATCACTTTCACTTCCGGCCCCTGCAGTGACATACCCATCTGGACACTCAGTGATATGAACCGAATCATCAACGGGAGGACACGAAGGACAGTGATCGCATTCTTGGGAATCTCCATCTGAAATGGTCAATCTATCAATATCACAATATAGTGAATCAAGGAATCTGCTCATTTATTCTAATAATCTCAAAATTTCCGTCTGTGTGTGCAAGTGTAATTCCCAAGAGGCTTAATTAAGAAAACGGTTAGAGTTATGGGACTGGTTTCTTCGGTATAGTTTCGACAAAACTCTGAAGAAGCCAATAAGCAAATTTTTTAAATCGGCCGGTGGTAAGTGGTTTAATTGATGGTTTTGTACACCAAATGTGGTACTAAAGTATTTTACTTTTTATCACACTCTCTCTCTCACTCTCTCTCTCTCCCCATTTACAGCTCCCCTAATTACAGCTTTGGTATATAATTAGGTAATTTGGTAGTTATAGAGCCAGGAGCCGCAAGATTGCCTATTAAGTATTACTATTGGATACATGTTGATTGTTGGGCGCTCAGAATTAAATTTACCCCAATGCGGCTGGTTTCAACTGAGCGAGTTCATGCTTTTGCACCGTTTTAACTTTTGTCCCGGCAGTCGGCACGGGTTACACTAGTATCTAATATGAATGACTATATTATTGTTGTTGCCATTTCCTCTCATAATTTCGCTACAAAAATAAGAACGTTCTTAATTCCATCTATAGAATTATATAATGCGCTACAATTGCCTGTAGCATATTTTGACCATAACATCAGATCCAGAGTTTGTGACTCTGTATCACTAAGTTCTTCAGTACACTGTTCAGTTTCTTTTTCACCCTTTTTCGACTTTACCATTTTTGTCGGTACGACGTAGTTTATGTCGATATGATCCTTCAGCCGTTTCAACAGAGCATGCATTGGGATGGATCGATTAAAAGTGTCATGTCCAAGAGGAGCTCTAACCCTTTAAGTACAATAGGACTTTGGTACGGTTTTGTGCAGTAAGAACGGTGATGTCATATTAATTATAAACAATGTTAGCTCAGTAATATTCATGTCATATTTGCTCTACTGAAATTTTGGTCTGCTTTAAAATTAGTCGCCGAAAAATTTAGTCTCATGAAATTTGGTTTACAACAATTTTAGTCAAAAGTTTGACTAAATTTATGGTAGACTAAATTTGTCGTTCTTAAGGTAATTGCGACTTCTAAATTTTAGCGTTGCCGTGGCCCTCATAGCAACCACAATCAGTCAGTGGTAAACTTGGGTAATTTTTGTATCCCATCGACCAAATGAAAAACCAGCATCGTCAAGAAATAATATTTTCTACGATCTATGATATTTTAGAGACTGAGAAAATAAAAATACGGTAATATAATCATAACAAAATGTGTTTTGATAATTCATAACGTGCCCCCTTTCATAACATACAGTTGTTGAATCCGGACAAGGAAGTTGTAACAAACTGAAGCAAAAACACCTTTATTGCAGTTAAATAAGGTGTCAACCTTTATTGGTTAAATTTTCTGACTTCTCTTTTAATGGAGTCCTTCATTCCTTCTAGAACTACCAATACATTTTTACGGAATAAAGTTTAGACAAATATTTACAAAAATCATTCAAAAAATACGTCCTACCCAGAGGCCAGAGTTTTGAAACTCAGGGAAGTCGGTAAATTATATCCCGTTGTCATACCCTAGTACTTCGTGCCTGCCCCTGAGTTTAACCTTAAAACCTAACCAAGAACAGGAAAAAACGGTTAGTAACCGTCGGTTACCATCATATTATTATAATCTCACCTTTAGCGGATATACAACCAGTGCTTGTACAGAGAAATAACAGATAAGTGATTTCCTTATCAAATTCAAACATCACGTCAAATTGAGTCCCTCTCGAGTCCCTCTTGATGGACTAGATTTTCAATAGACAAAATTGAACTAAAAAATAGATACTCAACAGCATTTTTCTCAGTCACGATAATTTACCAGTCCAATTTTGGCTCCCTTTTAGCTGCAATCTGTGGCGAAGACTTCTTCCGAAGTAATGTTATATGTGTAACACAAAGTACTCAACTCAAGATATTGCAATAATATTTTCCTGTACAATCATGTGGATTAAACTTTGATTAATTTTCTATCAGCGTCACTAGAAATCACAGTGCTTTCTTCAGAATTTTGAATATGCAGTTTGATACAGTCCTCCCCTGGCCTTATGACCTCTCGAGTTTCGTCCCACAATTTCTGTATTTATTATACCTTTATACATATTACATAGATTAAGAAAGATAGAACAATCAGTTATCAGATAAACAAACTGCAATTTTGTGGGTACCATCTTTAATACACCAATACCAATGGGAAAGAAGCACAGAAGAGAGGAATGTGACAACAAATGTTTAATGGGTGATATGCACAGATACATTAGCCACTCCAATATAGTCCATATGGTTTTAATATCGAGTAAAATCCCGATTTACCGCAAAGTTTGGGGACAGGAAATGACCGCGCTGAAACGGTATTTGCGATTTATGGGGAGACGATATATAGTGGTTTCAGTGTAACACATTTTTCTGTCAGGCTATCCAGCGTACGAGTCTACAAGAACAGGTGTGCGTGTTGTACAGACAAAGAGCGGGACACGACTGTGCCAGTGCTCTCATAGTCGTCGTTATCGTCCAGTGGGAAGGTTAGTTGTGTAGAACAGTGGGAAGGTTAGTTGTGTAGAACAGTGGGAAGGTTAGTTGTGTAGAACAGTGGGAAGGTTAGTTGTGTAGAACAGTGGGAAGGTTAGTTGTGTAGAACAGTGGGAAGGTTAGTTGTGTAGAACAGTGGGAAGGTTAGTTGTGTAAAATTGTCTACAAGTTAAACCGGCATACATGCAGGTCATGCACAGAGCTTGACATTTTATTTTCAGTTGTTTTTATACAATACTTACCTGTAACAATACTTACCTGTAACGCTGTCTTTATTGTCGGGAAGGAAGGGAGGCCTTAGTGAATCCCCATAATTTAGAAATGACCTTATTCATTTGATAGTTAGTCCTTCGGTAGAACTCCTTAAATACAGGTCCAATTAGACTTTTGTTATTTTTCTATAGTATTCTGTTTTCCTGTTAGTTTTTCCTGCTCTGCTTTCCTGTTATTTTTCCTGCTCTGTTTTCCTGTTCGTCTTTAGTACTAATAACTAGTTGATCGCCACATCATTTACATTCGTCAGTCTTCTTTTCCGCTTGACTAATGTCTTTAATGGTGAAGCTGAATCATATGTATAAATGGTTCCTTACCAGCACCTTACCCGGAGAAGAGCATTTGTCATCCGATAGATTTGCGAGTAACTAATCAATCGGTAAATGTAAAATCCTCTGTGCAATGCTGCACCAGTGCACCGTGCGACTGAGAGCCCCACCCTGCACCAGTGCACCATGCGACTGAGCCCCACCCTGCATAAGTGGTTCTATTTTTGGATTTGAAATTGGTTGTCGGGAGACGATGTCCAAAATGGTGAGAATGATTAACTTATTCAATCGAATGGAATTGAAATTTAATTGAAAAACGAAAGTCGGGTTCTTATAGCAGAGACACTCCCACAATATATTGAAATATACGTCATTTTGCGGGGGGGGGGCCAATGGCATAAATGGAGAAAATGGAGAATTACTCATAGGTTTTTCCATTTTCTCCATAGAAATAGTCTCCATTTTATGCCATTTTATGCCATTTTATGCCATTGAAAACCTGAAAAATTTAGAATTTCGAGAAAATTTTTTAAAAAAACCGATATTTTCGGCCAATAATGAACAGAGTATCATGAAACATGGAGAAAAGTGGTTTGAAATGAATGAAATGAAATGAAATGAAATGAAATGAAATGAGGTATTTATATCCCGCTCATATGATTAACCAACAACACAAGGAAGGTGGTTAACCATGTCAGAGCGGCTGACTGTGAGTGATGTGAGCAAATGTGTAAAAATGAACAAGAGTATAACGTAATATTAATATAAGACCAAGACAAAATTAAAACATCTTTTATTTTAAACCACACTAAACTAAAAAGAAGCAGAGACCATACAATACATGTAGGTATAATAAAGGTTAGTACAGTGACAAAGAAAGGTAGAGAACTTAGACATAAAATGGAGTGCGGTAAGAGATAAAAGCCAAGGTGTCTTGCAAAATGAAGACAAATGGAACGAAAAAACATCAAAACTGATTATATAAATGGTTCTTTAACATTCGCTTGAAGCAGTTGGTATCAGTAATACATCTCAACATCAGTGGAAGAGAGTTCCATGCAATCGGTGCATGGCTTGAGAAACGTCTGTCATCAACTTTGGACTTTTTATTCTTTGGTACCTTGAGCATGAGATGGTCACCAGGTCTCTTCGACCTGGTCATGGTCATGGTGTTTGAGAGTTCTTTATCCGCTACATCCAAATCCAGTAGTGCTTTGAGGTTATCAGGTGCAGTACCGTGAACTGATTTGTGGGTTAATAGACAAACTTTAAAGAATATTCGTTGGTCTATAGGGAGTATGTGGGCCTTCTTATAGAAGGGAACCAAGTCCGTGGTTCTGTCTTCTATGTTATAGATGAAACGAACTGCCCCATTAAGGGTGGATCTAAGTTTGTTTAGTCTGGTCTTGGGTAGATTCATGTATAGAGAATTACAGTAATCTAACTTAGATATAACCAGTTGTTTCACCAACATCAATTTAATGCCTTCATCCAGGTAACGACCAATAGTTCTTAGGTTCATCATTGTCCAGCTACATTTCCTTTTGACATTATTGATCTGTCTTTCCATATTTAAAGTTTCATCAAATTTGACAACCAGACTCTTCCAGCTGTCTCCTTTGCACTCCGTAGGTAGAATTTCAGTGCTTCCAAATTGCAGTCTGACACTGAGTTCACACTTTTTTAGAATATGGCTCTTTCCTAACACCAATAGTTCTGTCTTACTTTCATTCAGTTTCATGTAATTCTTCACCATCCATGCTTTTATCTCTGCGAGACATTTGTTTGTTCTGTCTTGGACATCAGTGAACTGTACCACACGGTTTGGTTGAAATGAGATGTTTTCAGAAAAACTTTGAAAAATGTTGACTTAGAAAATGTTCGGTCCGAGTCATTTACGATACGTACCTCCCGTATCGAGAGCTCCCGATTCCGAGCTCGTGTTGCAAAGGGGAGGCCTGCCTTCCGAGATCGCATTACTTCGAGTCCAAAATTGTGGAAGGTGTGGACTTCGAAAAACCGAAAAAATATTTTCGGCAAATAATGAACAGAGTAGCATGAAACGTGGAGAAAAGCGGTTTTCAGAAAAACTTTGAAAAAGTTTGACTTAGAAAATTTTCGGCCCGAGTCATTCTCGATACGTACCTCTCGTATCGAGAACTCCCGATTCCGAGCTCGTGTTGCAAAGGGGAGGCCTGCCTTCCGAGATCGCATTACCAGGGGGAAGCCTCGAGTCCAAAATTGTGTATTTGCCGAAAATATTTTTTCGGTTTTTCGAAGTCCACACCTTCCACAATTTTGGACTCGAAGTAATGCGATCTCGGAAGGCAGGCCTCCCCTTTGCAACACGAGCTCGGAATCGGGAGTTCTCGATACGAGAGGTACGTATCGAGAATGACTCGGGCCGAAAATTTTCTAAGTCAAACTTTTTCAAAGTTTTTCTAAAAACCATTTTTCTCCACGTTTCATGCTACCCTCTTCATTATAAGCCGAAAATATTTTTTTGGTTTTTCGGTTTATCGAAGTCTGCACCTACCCCTCGATACACAAATTTGGACTCGAAGCTTTCCCCTGGTAATGCGATCTCGGAAGGCAGGCCTCCCCTTTGCAGTGCGAGCTTGTTTCGACTGTCGAGGATGTAGGTCTCACTTCTCAGTGCCTATTACTCTCCCCTATTACTCACTCCTGCTGTAGCCTGTAGAAATAACTTTACACTAGGCTTGAGTAATTATGAGTTTGCCTGAAGTGTGCCTCTACTAACCTAGTATAAGCATCTAGTAGCCTACTATGAGCTTTCATAAGCTTGTTACGCCCCTAGTAAGCGTAAATAAACATGTTAGGATGTCCAATTTAGGTGTTAAATGGTGTTAAAGATGAAATTTCGAAGACAAAATTCATGGCATAAAATGGAGAAAATGGAGAATTACTCATGGGTTTTTCCATTTTCTCTATAGAAAAAGTCTCCATTTTATGCCATTTTATGCCATTTTATGCCATTGGCCCCCCCCCCCCCCCCCCCCCCCCCCCATTTTGCATGGTAACTTATTTTGCCCTTTGAAAAGGTAAGTCTTCATTGAAAAGTTAAAGAATCAAAATGAATGACAGTGATGATAAGTGGACTTAGTGTAAGATAACGTGTACTTAGTGTAAAGTAACGTGTACTTGTAATCATTGTACTTGTGTGTTTAAGAGATATGTTATAAAAAAGGTAGTAACCATGGTACCCAGTAGTAACCAGTAGTTACTATGGTATGCAGTGGAAAACTTTTCAAGAAAATATATAAAGAACGCTCAACTTTCGTTAGTTGATTCTTCGAAACAACAAGGCAAGGGTTATGACATTTAATTAATTTCAATAAATCTCGAATTTTCGGACGCATGGTCCATAGTCAGCAATAGTTCTGGAAATATTAAAATCAGTTCAGCTGATAAATGCCTAATATGTAAAGTACTGCCTCCCCTCTACAGGATTACCCATGGAGACAGCCAGTGATGTGTACTCTACACTTGCTGCTACACTGCCCTCGGATGGTGTTCCAACCCAGCGACAGTGCGACAAGAATCAGACGTGAGTTGTTGTCAGGAATATATCGTGTGAGGCTAGTTTCCGTGGCTGATAATATTACAGGGCCTCTGCCCCGTCAGGCGAGGAGAATGGCGGAGTTGGGGCGGATAAGAATTGAACTACAGATTTTCCTACATGAAAATTGAAAATGAAATTGTTATGTACATACGTAAAACATGTTTAATTCCTCAATCATATAATTGTTCCGTGTACGATCAATCTTTGAGTTGGTCTTTAAACTTAACAATATGTTCGTTAATGAAACTGCCTTTTTCTCAGGAAGACTTGTGTGTGCCAAGGATCCGAGGAAACAGGGGGGGCCTGCTTCTCATTTGGCTGCTCCTGGTCCATGTACTTTAACGGCTGCAAGTTCGCCAACTCTAAAAATCCTAAAAAGTTTAAACTCGATGAAAAGTCGAAGGTAAGTTGCCTCTTGGAAATCGAATTTAAAACTGTTATATATTATGACGATGTTTTTCTGTCTCAGATGAATTACATGTCTTACGTGTTTAATATTTATAAACGCGCTTAATGATCTGGTCGGGACTGGGGAGGTAATTAATATTTTAGAAAACAAAAACTGAAATAACTCCTTAAATGAGAATTTGAATGCACACTTTTAAAAGCCACTGCGAATATTTTTCGCCCTCGAGATTTAAACCTTCTTCGTACTTTTTATCTCCATCGTTTTAGCAAACATATAAATCACCTCCCGCTCCCCGCCATCACCCACGTCCGCATTCCACCTTAATCGTCAACTAACTGATATATCCCAGACCTATGATGCTGGTAAGGAGACACAAGTTGAGTGTATCATGCAGGCTCTAGCTACAGATGTCGGGGCTCTCTACAAGAATCTAGCTCCCAAAGCCTACTCTAACCAGGTCAGCACCCCCCCCCCCCCCCCCCTCAGTAACACTGGCTATCTAGGAAGGTTGCGAAGTCCACTCATGTTGATTTCAATCTATATACTCTATAAGATGGCCTACTTAGGATCCGTCTGCTGTAGGGGAGACTGTTTTCAGAAAAGTGACAGTCGGGGGAGGGGTTAAAAAAATCCCAACGTCCGCGTCAGTTGTGAAAGCAGTCTATTGAATAAATAGAGACATAATCTCTCTTGTAACAACTTTTCTTAATTGTGTTGTATGGACAGTTTAGACGGGTTAACACAGTCAACATTAGTTACAAATAAATCAATAAATGAAAACGAAAATTATATTTATAATCGTCTGACCTCATGATTTATAATAAAAAACGTAGTATCACATCGGTAAACGGTTAACATTTTATCATCAAGAAGTCTGTGCTTTAATTTTTGTGCAAGAAGTGTGTTGACATTAGAGCTCCAGAGAAACGTTTAAAGAATACCACTTTGGGCATATTATGTTAAATGTTTTCAGCTAAACCCCCCCCCCCCTCCTATCTCCATGCCACTCCGTACTGTTTCATTCCCATTTCCATATCTCAGGTTAGAACACAGGAGGACGGTTGGGAATGTCGTATCGGGAGTGGCAGGGAACGTCCTTTTAGTGGCATCACAGCGTGTCTTGACTTCAGTGCCCACAACCACAAAGACAAACACAACCTGTCTAGCGGTGTCACGGTGGTAAGTTTCATGAGTCTGAAAACCGAAACAACCGGTATTAAAATAGTGGTTTTCGAGGTATTTAGTAGGTTGGTTGGTACATTTAATTATTTCGCGTTATGTGTTCAAGAAAAGGTAGTCCGAATCCTCTTCTAATTAATTCTACACATATTATTAATCATTCGTCTGGTGTCTAGTATGACTGATGGTTAATATTACCGTCCGGTCAGGCTGTGACTCTGTTGAAACACAAATCTAGGATAGACACGAATCCGTACAGAGATCAAATACATTCCCTTCCGATGTACACCCTGGCTCCCAATCAGGTAATGTAGTAATTCTGATCAATTAAATAATTCTATGCTTTTATAATTGACTGTGAATTTCTTAATCGCATTTTTTAGTGCCCTGGTCTATTTGTTAACCAGCGAGTTAACTTAATAGCTAAAGCGAGGGTACATTATGTCATTAATCGTCAAAGATTTACGGACAAAATCCAATTTAACGAGGTTCGGCGGAATTATACTCTTTCTCAAGATTCTCACTAAGTAGTAATCTGGTATAAATACTCACCTTCAGGGTGACTACCACGCGATGCAGTACTCTCCAGAGATATTTGCAGATATCAACGTTCCCGCCCCCCAACCTGTTCCTCCCCATATGTTTCAGCGGCAAACACACAGCGGTTCGTATTTAAAGTAACCAGCCTAAATATACTCGCTGTTTTTTAATGTGTTTACTTTTATGTACACTTTTTATCCTGGGGGAATTTTAGGTCCGGGATGCGACGTTTATTCATCAATAGTCAAAGATTATACGTATTGATGTGAAATCAGAAAATTTTGATTCCTCAGAAAATTTCTCGGAACATTTGGTGTGTTTTTGTCTGACAGGCTAATTTTGAAAAACCTAGAAAAAACCTTGGGATATGATATACTATAGGCATAGGTGATAGGCGGTGGGAATTAAAAAATATTCGTTCAATCGCCCAGTCTTTAATCTTTATAAAACTATAAATTGCATTTCATTACGTTATGTAATTCTCTTTTATTTTCAATCATGAATAAATGTAAAACTCTCATAGTTGAAATTTGAATATTGCATGCATGGATAGAATTAAATTTAGATAGAATAAAATTTATTTCCTCGTGGGGAATTTGGGGGAACCTCTGACCGGAAAATTGCCAAAGGGTCCTACCACTAAGCAAAGGGCTCTACCACTAAGGACTCCTTTGAGGCGATGCCCATCATTAAGATTAATTATTACTAAAACCATTTCGTCTGTAAGCAATGAAACAAGTACGTTACATCAGCTACAGGAATAGATTTGCTTGGTTTACAAAGGAGCAGAGGTAAAAGTACCTAAAAGGATAATTAGTCTAGCTAGACTATTTGGTGATTATGGTCTAGCTGATACTTAGTAATAGTTATGTTATCATAGATTAAAATTCTTATATCCTGATCCGTGGCGATGAGAGTGAAATCGAACATCGAAAAATCATATTTTAGACGGCTTTAAATTTTAGACTTTATATTTGAATTTATTGTTACTAATTATGATATGTCTGGAGAAAATTTTATTCATGTGTGGCAGTATTGATGTCTAGATTTAGTACAGAAAAGCGGTAAAATAGCAAGGATAACTATAGTAGCTATTGTCCAATAATTTTTGAGAGGCTTCTTAAATAACGTGATATCAGGCACTGGCAAGCGCCCAGGACATCGTTTGGATCAAGATCAAAACGGCTGGGGTGCTTATAAAATTAAGACGTGATCATCGGTAAAAAGTTTGCATTTATAATGTAAGAAATTCAGACGGGGCCTGTTTCAAGAGTTAGTGATATCCACATCAAAATATTGCATAATTATGTTTTAATTTTAACAAAAAATACACAATGTCTTCAGTCTTACAACACCCTAATATCTAACTATCTTCGTCCTTCAACCCAGAAAGATGTCATTAAACTAAAATGACCATAATTTCCCCTATAATCTCACGTAACACAAATATTGCTTTACTACTAACTACCCAGTGTGCCCACGTACGTATTACACTTACTATCCTTCGCTATAATTCCCCAGGGATTGAGTTTGACGAGGCAGGCTATGTCCAATATTTGCGCCAGCAAGAAATGGAGTACAGAGCCCAAGTAGATGGGGCGATCAGGAGTCTGGGACCACCTCGACATTTCATGTGCGGCGGTATTGGTAAGACTTGGATATTGCACTTTATTTTTACGGTGTCATTGAAATTGCATGATTTGATGATGATCTCAGGTCCACACCCTAAACAGTAAACACTCCCCCAAATTGCTGGTATCCCTGGTATTTATTGTTTCAGTAAGGAGGCTGTATTGGTAGTACAGGTGCATGCAACTAGAATACTCCATTAAATAGACTAGAGAGTAGATGAGCTCTATGAAACACAGCCAGCACGATGTTTGTGCTTATAGCCGGAGTAAACCCGTTCCCCAAATTAGTAAGGAGGAGCTGGGTACCCGGAGTTGCTCCGTGCTCCGTAGTTCCGGACTGATACCACGAATCAAGAGGAGTGAGATTATTTTATGCCAGCTGTTGCGGGATGTTTGTACTGTCATTAGTCGGGGAAATATTCCAAATCTGCGTCACGAGTTATCACCCTCAGCCAGACATGTGGCTATTTCACGGTATTCGCAACAAATATAAGGGCTCTCACGTTTTGAAGTCATTTACTTTGAAACAATCCCCAATTTCCCTGCCAGAAGCACCCTGGAAATTGTTTTCACTATTGATTCCCAACCCTCTCCGACTCACATACTCAGTACAAATAAATGGCGAAATCCCAAAGATGTCACGATAGAAAGGTCAAGTATTTGCATTAATTGGACGCACGTTTACAGGAATAGTTCCGACTCACGGGTCTGTAATCCTGGAGCATGCCCTGCGCGAGCTTCATGTCACCACCCCTCTGCCCCAACCCTACCGGTATCATCCTACCCGCATCGCACTTATTCTCTATCAACACAAGGTGGGTATTCTTCTATTTCTGTGAAACTTTAGAGACAATGAGACAACAGAATTCATTTATTAAAGTTAACAGATTTTATTAGTTATGGTAATTTCTGGACCCTATTAAATTTAAGTGATCGATTCATGGTCTAACTATTCGTTGTAACTGTCATGTCGTTATTGTGGAGTCAAGGGGTCTAGTGGCATGCTGAATTACTGTCAGTAAGTCTAGTGGCATGCTATATTACTGGATTATCAAATTGCAATTTTAATCCGATGACCGATATCTGTAATTATTTATTGATGAGCTTTTGCTTCTACAGAATCTGAATCTGCGTTCCCACGGCTACAGAGAAAACGAGGAAAAAATGAGGCAGAAAAGTGAAGAAAAGGAAGGAAATGCAAGTGATAAGAAGCTTGGCAGGGATGGAGCCGATAAAAAGAACGAAAAGGAACAATTTCCTTCTTACGATAAAGGTATCGCTGTAATTTCTGTAAATGATAGTAAATCTGGCCTAAATAATCTTCATCGAATTACAACTGCGAAGAATGTTGCGATTGATTTGCCGACTGGCCCACAAAGGTGATCAAATTCAAAATTACTACGTTCATGTTGGTCTTTAGAGTGTCTTTGTAATAATTTGCTACAAATTTATCCAGGGCTTAAAGAGCAAATTAAGGAGACAGAGCTGAAGGAGCACATTGAGGCAGCGAAAAGCAGGAACGAGAAGGAGAAGAGCCTCTCCTTTCAGATAGCTCCATTAAACCCAGACCTTCAACTTATCCCTGTTGATTGCCAGGTAAATAAACATTTCGCTTCCCGATATAATATGAATTCTATGATTCTATATAGACAATTTGGAATTAACCTACTACAATACAGATAAACTCCGATCTTCAGACCGGCTTATCCTTTATCTATCATTCCAGCTTAGTTCAAGACTTTCGTGCCTGGCGAGGAATAGTTACGTTTAGCATCAAAATTAAGACGAACTTCTTCCAGGGAAATTTCAATCGATTATTCAATGCTAAACTGGTCAGAATTCCAATGTTTCACCGCAATAAATAAGATTTCATGAGTCATAACCGATAATCTCCCTCAGTCAACCCGAGGAGTGACAACCGTCAGCAACTCTCAAAGTCTCCCCTACATGTTCATCGCGGGTTCGTACCAGCACGTGCGCACGTGCACAACGTGCGAGAAGTGTAATGATGTGCACTGCTCATATCACAAGGTAGCCGGGTGTACGACTACTCCTGAGGAGGCACCTGCTGCTAAGGTTAGTCACCCAGCCACCCCTCGTCATCATTAGATTGGAGACCGTTATTGTAGGTTGGTAGTCCATATTCAGTGGATTGACATCCCCGCGGATCTCATTTACTATCTATCACTTTTAACCGAGATGTAACCAGTAATTTTTAACAGAGTCAGCCCGGTAAAGCTAGGTCACGGAAGAAAGACAAGTCTGGTACAGCTAAACGGAGTAGGAAACTGCCACCAGAACTCCGGGACCTCAAGTCAGCCCCAAAATCTAAACAAGCTGCTGGAGCTGGGGGGTCTGCGTCACTTCAGCTCACAATTCCCACCTTTAAACCTGACTCAGACTCGGGTCCAACCTCAAATCCTACCCCAGACCCAACACTACAATCCATGTCACATAATGAGACTTACAATCACGTGACTCCCCAGAGTCCTCACGTCACCCCACACAGCCCTCACGTGACGTCACCCTACGCTTTAATGACGTCTCAAAATTCTCATATGACGTCACAAATCCCTATTATGACGTCACAAATCCCTATTATGACGTCACAAATCCCAAACATGACGTCACCTTTCGATGCGATTGCGTCACAACATTTGCCAGGAACTGTGCCTTTTCATCACTTGCCTCCGTTAAAGAACCAGAGTAACTCTCAGATCCTTCATGCTCAAGGATTCACGTAATAATGTGGTAGTTTCAGTTAAGTTTATTTTTCTAAGGATTATTATTGATTTATTTCCGAGTCAAAGCTTGTGCTCTGTTTTTCTTAATTTAAGATTTTTATAGCCTGCTAGTATCCATTATTATGGGTAGCACAAGCTTTTTTTTCTCAAATTGGAACCGTGTATTTTTATTTATTCAATTATCCTTAGAATCTTATATATTTAACCCTTTGATAACCATGCCATCAGATGATTTGCTCTTCGTTGCAAAGCAAATAGAGAGCGATTTTATTTTTTATTGGTAAGTGATGACATTTATTTTTCCGGTTTATTGTGCTTGCTTTTTATCCAGTCATTTCTTTGGAATAATTGTGTGTGTATGAGAATTGGGGGCTTTAGCCAGACAGTTGTGAGTTGACGGGGATGGGGTTAAAACTAAAGACCTAATATTTATACTAGAAAATAATTGAAATAGCGCCACTTGATGCAAGGTATAAATACCTGAGCAGCCAGGTTCTCCCAGTGACGTCATTAGTCCCTAGTTGACTAGCGGCTAAGCTACTCATTACAATTGCCGCAAACTAGATTAGACATGATGTTTTTTTGGGAGTCAACAAATTTTTCATGATTTCATATGCCAGGGGGATCTAGAAGGCTCTGGGGTCTATCCCGTAAAAATTGGCACTGATCAGGGGGATTTTGTAAAAATTGTGAACTGAAACTACAGCATGCTGCTTGGTGAAGCCGTTCAACTTATACTGGCGAATATAATGGCTAAAGCCTTTAAACTTTGAATACTTAAAGGTTATATAATATGCAGCTATCGATGCGATTTTACACACGATAACTTATTATTAACTTACATCTTGATTTAACCAGTTTTATTTTGACGCATTTTCATATTTATTTGTAGTGGCGAGTTTGTTATAATTTTGGCGTAAATGTGTATATATTAGGTTTGAGTTTATATTTCTTTTTGACGACAGTATTTTTGCAGCGATTATGATTTTTGTTTTTTTCACCAATGAAGAGGAAGAAGGGCGAGAAATTTTCTCTTGAAACAACAAATATCTGCTCAGTGCTCACGGAAAGGATTGATAGTTTAAATTATGTTTTAAGTTGCCTTCCAAGTTCTATTTATTACAGCATGACGTTTTACTTCTAACCCAGAAAAGCCTGGAACAAAAACTCCAAAATAATCGAATTCCTGGAGAACCCCGATAATAATCGCATTATTCCGGCACACTACTTTTCCTGATTAAGTACTCCGGGTACTCCATTAGCTGTCTTGATTACTACGATACAAAAATAGACCTCTAATCACCCACCCTATTTTACAGCATTATGTTGCCCGGATATGCGGAGAGAACCCTCGATACTATCCGAATATGCAGGGATACCCTTGATACTGCCCGCATATGCGGGGTAGATTTCTCAATACTATCCGCTAAGACTGTACAAGGGACACAGTCTAGCTCCACGACTCTAGGCGACTATATGTTCCCAGGAAGGACGGTCAAATTGGAAGAGTACCTGAAGGAGAGATCATGATTCCCCCTCGTTACACTCGCCGCAAGTTCGTGCCACTCACCCTCTTGGAGAAGATATTAATTGCTGGGTTCGTTTACCTTAGTACGTAGTCTCTCACGACTCCTTAGTAACACAAACCTTATCAGGAGAAAACATTGCATCACGGACACCTTTTTTCTTCTTCTTCACGACAACTGAAACAGTGTATTATAGAATAGGGAGAGGTATTGCAGGCATGTCTCCTTGTTGTTTAAATGTTGAAATATCCTCAGGTTGTTGGAGATGGTTTAACAAATCGGTGAATTACACGAATGACGTGGAACGGAAGAGGAGTAATCAAGATATGATCACAACCAGTGTTACCAGCTGCTTCTGAAGAAATTCTGAGGGAAATTCTATGGATTTGATGAGGTCCGTCTTAGATCTTTTTAAATTAACTACAATTTAAGTGACGAGAAAGTCCAACTATTCTAGGTTATCTTAGATTTAACAAGATGAGCGCGCTACCATCCACAGATTAATTTGAACCCTTGGAGTCGTGCACTTGTGATCCATCTTCCAGTTCCAGAGCTTCAATTTATTTTTCATAACTAAAATGATGGTAAATTAGTTTGTTACGAACTTAAACTCGAGTATTTTACATTTAACAAATAGATAGCAGAATGCCGGAAATTCAAATGCACGATGTTAAAATTCACCGCGCTCAAAGATGTAGCAAGATTATTTAAACAAATTTTTACATCACGTGACCGAGTTGATAGTGAAGTACGGTCATCCGATAAGTTTGAAGATATTTTAAAATCGCTGAGAGAGCTGTGAATTTTTTAATTTGTGTTAAGCTCTAATTTAAACCGTCCTTTTGTTGTCCACTTGTAAAACAGCTCCCCCGTGAGGCCTGTAAGAAGTTGACCAACATAAATAGTATGCTCGCAAAATGTTGCTTAATTTTGTTAATGTATGAGACTTGCTTGTAATTTCCGGGGCTCTAATAATAACACCAATTATGCAGAGATTAAATATATTTCGGTATTTTGGTTCGACTCAGGTATTCAAAATATTCTCGGCTCCTAAGTCCCACTTTATTTATTTGGAAGGCCATCCGGCCTTCAACTCTTCAACTTTACCGAACTAAGGTTTATGCAGGAGGTTGGATATGCAAGACGTAAGACGTAAGTTATATAATATGCAGATTGGTGTACCTCAGTAACGAGGTATAATTGTGGCCAGGCACGGATGTCGAGCTGCCGGGTTAGGGTCGCCCAAAAACTGTCCAATGAGAGCCCGGAAGTGTGACAACGAGCCAATCAGCGCCCAGCATTCTCCCCACGTGACACGCCCAAGCACCACCGGCGCTGTATCCCTCGACACGTTAACCCTGATGGTGACGTCACAGCACGTGGTTCACCACACGATCCCCGATTGGTCGTCGTCCCCCTATATGTGACTGTTCACTGTTCTATTTATACACTTCAAATATGTACTGGAAGGTGCGGGGGCTGGTAGAGAGCTTGTCCGTGTATAACACGCAATCCAAACATCGGCACAATCCTACCTCTACACACTCCCTCCACTCGCAGCTACTTTTTGTGAATTCTTGACGCTTTTTCGACTTCAATTTACCTATTTTAACAAATTCCTAGCATTAATATGTGTTGTATGTGCTAGGTTTTGATTGTTACTTGAAGTAGTGTAGTCTCCGCTATTCCGCTACCGCATATCCAGGATTCCTCCAGCAGTCGTGTTAATTGACCTGACTTTGAAACCTAGGATCCGGGGAACTTGTAGCGAGACCCTTCCGCCACTAAATTCCAAGCATTTGTCTAGAATCATAAAAATGCTTACGTCTTTACGTTTCTTTTTATAGGTGATTATTAGGTGCCTTCGTCCCTGCTCCCATTACTATGTGGGCATGTAGCCGCTGTCCTTTCATATCTCCCGTGATCTGATTAGACAACAGTGTCTTAAGTTGAGAGATACGTGCCCTTGACTTATCAGTGATCTTGCTCGTTAAATTGTCGTTAAGTCTACCGAGGATATAGGTTAATAGGTTTAATCGGAAAGTAACGTGGGGTTTGGGTGTTATGTCATCCCCTGCCAGTCATTATGGGGTTGTTACTTTTCCGTCATTCTTGTTGTAGGTAGTCCCCTGTCTTCTTCATTCCAGACACCTGCATGTTGGCCATGTGATAAGGCTGTACCTTTTAAAACTATTTTAGCTCATTACAACTTCCTTAAATAGCTTCTTGTCTGTTTCACGCGTGAAACAGTTCAATGGCTACTCATTCCTGGCTCACATCATCATGTGCCCACGATATGTAATCACTTATAGAGTTATACAGTTATATATGTAATCGTTTACCTTCACAGCCACCATTGGTACAAGTCCATTTAGCTCGTGCTGTCTCTTCTGGATCTGTCAAGATGAGACCACGATATCTAATTATTGTAGGATCCTGCCCACAGAGAGGTGGGGATCTGTGACCCCCACTATTCCAGCCACTTGTCTCGTAGCTTTAATTTGTAACTCCCGGAGTTAAGTAAATTCAGGATCAGTTCATGTGAGCTACTTCTCGTGACCTGACCCTGGCCTGAGATATGTCTTCCTGTCGTTCATTGTTGTAGACCCTGTCTAACATATTGCAACTCTTCTCATCCCACATTCTCCCTCCAGACGCGACGACATTGTTTCTAGTGTTTGGTTTCGGTTGAGTATATAAATATAATATAACTAGCTGTAGACATGTGTCCGGAGAGAGCGCTCACATATTCAATTCCTCTCCAACTCTGTAGTCGCTCTCCTACAGCAGCTGAGCAGCAGTGCTGTCCCTCCTCCTCTCTTTTCCTTGTTTGAGTGCTGTTTGTGCTGAAGTAAGAGGAGTGGCAGCACATCACCAGCACGGTATTCCTCTCTTCTTTTGTCAGCTCATTAGCTCATTCCCCTCCGTGACGCCGGTCTCCTCTGTTTCAGTTTACCTGTTATAACTATAATGATATGCGATATCACTGTACTAGAACTCCAATTTATCCGCATAATATGTAATATAATGGACTGTGCTAAAGAGCAGCCGTTATCATGGTTATTGGTGCACAGTGGTGCTAATATTAGAAATTGTGAACTTAAAACGTTTTAAAGTGAATCTATAATACTGCTACTGTGGTCATTGCCCAGCTTTTGGGAACGGCAAATCCCTTTATGATAAATGATAGGGGGCTCTGTATGCGGGACAGGTAGCCACTTACTCTTCATATACAAAAAATTCAGTAGATCCAACCCAAATCTATCATTTCATTACCCTTTACGCATCATGGGCTCAAAACCCACATGTCTTTGCCTTGCCAAGGTCCCCTGTAGAGTTTAATTAGCTCAGCTAGATTTGTTACATTTAATTGTTCGTGTTGGTGCTCTGTGGTCACACAGCATTCTTGGTTGCAACTCCTCTCACACGCTCACCACCTCCTACTGCTTCCCCTTAGTCCTCCGCATCCTTCCTGCTTGTTACCGTTGACACCCTGGTCCAGGGACCAGGTGTAATGACCTCCCGTTATATCAGGGGGTTGTGATAGCAGTGGTAATTAACCCTCCTCTAGCTCCCATCCGGCAGAACATCAGCTTGTCCGGGTATATTTTCTACTTGTTTCGGCTTGGTGACCAGACACGGGCTGCCACCAGTTACCCAGGCAATGGGATTAGAGTGTCTAGTCCGTCTAGACTATCCTTCACTTGTTACAACTTTACTTCTTCTTCTAAACGATCAAATAGCTGGGCCCAACGGTCTGTCACATCATCATTCCCATTTTTCCGCTCCGAAATGATCCGGCTATTTAATCAACCAATTACAGCTCCAATCAGCTCTTTCAATGATCATCACATGTACCCTCTCATCTAATATGAGTGTTCCACACAACTATTTATAATAGTCCCAGTAGTTACACGGCCCTCGCTCCAGCTAAATTACTTTTTTGCGACTCGAAGAAAGAAAAATAAAGAATGTTGTATATTTTATGCCGTGGGGATTACGCGCCGGATGATCCATAGAGTTGTAAAACTATTAGGCGGTTTATCGTAATGTAATTACTGCCCTGACCAAACATATATAACGATAGCTCCGTTAGCGAGACCTGCTTTCTGTTATCGTCTAGTTATCTCCAATAGGTTCCTGGTGGTCACTATCATGACCAGGATGCGCTTGCACGGTGAGTGCTGATGGGGGATGATTCGGTCCCTAAACGGCACACCGGCTCTTCATCCATATCGCTAGTATAAAATAGAATATATGGATACCCTTCTAATCGATACTATAATTCTACTTGCTTCAAGTATATATTATATATATAGAGATCGTTGTGATTGTTATATTTTATCGTCTAGGTTTATCTATGTTATTAGTTTTAGTCGGCGTTTAAAAGTAGACGAATGCGTTTTCTTTCGGCGAAGTGTCGCTGCAGGATTGTGTTGATACGTGAAGAACACTGATAGATAAAATTCACGTGACACGTTAAAAGCACGCTGCACGTACGACTGCTTGTCAATTTCAGTTCAAATCACCATGTCTCCTGCAATAATTGAGCTGCTCTTCTATTATCACCTGCTTCTCCTTCTCAAGTGGGGAAGATCACATGAAATTACTCCCCCACACGCCTACCTCACTCTACATGCAGGCCACATAATATGTCTGAAATCTAAGGTGGAATGTGCTGGTACCCCACCCCCCGCTACAATATCGCATGTTCACTTCTCTATAGCGGGAACGTCTTCCTCGTCATTGTACCTGCACCGGACTAAAGCTTCCACTTAGGGCCCTGAAGTTAGCTCCAGTCTTATAGGTTTGCGTTTCTTTCCCTTTGTTGAATAGCGGTGTAACGTTAATTTGCCTCGTTTATCAGCGCTATAAATATGACGAATGAAACCTTTTGCTAGACGCCAGCATTTCGTCGGTATTACAACTGTGAGTGGGTGTGGAGTACTTGATGCGCGTTTGGCAGACGCTGCTTCGCTCAACTCATATTTGATATCTGTCGCTAATTTTTCACGACGCCATAAAATATTTATTTTCGTTCTGTTGTCCAAGTTTTTGTTGTTGCCTAATTTGGGGCTTAACCCGGTTTAGAAAATTCTAGCTCTTTATTTATAAGTTACAGACATTGTTATGTAATTACTTTAATTTCTTTATAAGTTGTTTCTACAATTGCATTGTTCTGCTGTCTCTCGGCGTATACAAACACGTCCAGGAAAAACTATTCATTATTTAATTATTTACTACTTTTGAATTCATCTGCACACGTATTGATATTCGATAGTAGAAACACTTATAATCCAATTTTTAAACTTGCCTAACCATGTTAATAATCATGATTATTGTTAATAACCATGTTTGTAACCACCCTCTAACCCCACAACCTACCAGGAATGAAGCGCGTTGTGTCCCTCCCCGCCCTAACATGGTTCTTATCCCTCATCATTCCATCCCTCTCCCGGAACCTGTTTGTCGATTACTTCATGACATCAGAGACCCAGTACCTAAATTCTAGGTGTTGCAAATCAGATAACACCGACCTCATTGTCATACACCCAGGTATGATTTGATCTGCGAGTTTTTATATCAATATGATCCTATCCCTTTTGTGGCTCCTCGTCGTATGACTGTGAACTATTTTTGTGACTTTACGCACTAAATTACACATCTTAGGAATATTTTCCGTTTGAACTGGCCGAGATTAGCTTCGTTTAATCTGGATTAAAGCGGGGCGTGCCTTAAGTTTGGTCAGAAGTCAGACACCCGACAATTGTATTTCCTATCCATGCTGCAAACGATCATTTTCTGTAATTCGTACAAATACTTAGCTCTGTAATTTTGATATAGTCGGATTTCCAACAAAATCACGTTTACATGACGCCAAATTCATCGTTTCAGAATCTTCGCTGGAGAACACCGAATCACTTTTCCTAAACTTTACAATAAACAGAAACCTACTACGCCACACCAGAGAAAAGGTTTAACTTCACATTTTCTCTTTTAACTGTAAGGATTTTATATTTTCTATACATTCGGCGTGTAACCTATTTGATTGAACGCTAACTCGCCATCCAGACATATTTTTTGCGATTTTGTCTGCAATCGGTTTGCGGCCAGCCATTACTTGCCCTTTGCCATTAACCGACACCCCATTTTTTCCTTCTCTATTTATCGGTTCTAATGCCCGGAACAATTCCCGACCCGAAGGTTTTGTACACCTCCTTGATTTTCTGGCACCCCATAATTTGATCTGGTTTCAGTCACTCTGCAGCGCAGAGCTGCGTCTGTACCAACAGGGACAGTCTACACGGCAACCCCAACGGATAGAGGTCCTCCTTAGGGGACTCTACGTTCTGGACAGTAAACAGCTGGGCCAAAACGTCCGGGGCTGGAAGAATTTCAATGTGTACGACGCTTTTATTGACGATAACTCGCTTCCTGAGGTTAGTGAGCAGGTATTTTACTTTTTTATTTCTTTTTTTGTTCTTTGTAATTCAACTTTTTTTTATCATGTCTCGTTACAGAGTGAGAAAGTTAGCGCTCAATTACAAAGTAATATGGAGGCATTTTATATTGCTATAACCGTTTTTTTTAACAGGAGTTAGTAAAAGATACACGAAACAAGGTTCTGATACGTTTTGAAGTAAGGCCTCACAAGTTGGACTTGCAGAAGAACTTGCTGCCCCATTTCAAATCAGGAATTATCGGCGAACACAAGTAAGTCAGATCCATTATGTCATCATTTGTCAAGGTTGATTCAATCGCCCTTGTTTCGCCAAGACTATTATTTGTACGTGCAACTTTCAATCCTTTTTCAATAATCTACATATTAATAATAGAATTAAGCTATGCCTTCCAGTCGTATAGTCCAGCTGAGGCCTGATAAAAACGTCCTACGTTACTTAACTTGTTTTTATTGAAAGCTGATATAATCACCTCAGTTTACTTATCTTGTTATTATCGATTTAATCGTATAAACTCTCTTTTGTGATTTCCTGTTTACCGAAGAACGTGGAATATGTGTCTCTAAAAACATTTCATTCAGGCCAAGAATATTTCTGAAAAGTTGTAGACAGTCTAAGAGGAAAGTTGTCAACAACTTTACTCGAAGGTACGACAACGCCCGAACTCCTGCCAGCAAATTTAATGTAAGTAAACTTTGTAACTCTTTTCTATAATAAATTTACTCAAGGCTAAGTATAACTATTACTAATTATTTTGTTACTTTAGTGTTAATAATATCATGCCTTTGCCTTTAATGTCAATAAGCAAATTAGTTTACTCCTCGATTTCTTTTGACGGGAAACACGCGCGCACATACAATATAATACAGACGACGAGCTGCTCTATCAGCTACAACTACACTCAACTCTTTATCTGTATCGTGACTCTATATCCTAGAAGAATCCCTGAAATTTAACGATCGATTAAGCTGTCGCTGGCTACGGGGGGCCACTGCTCAATTGTTAACGCCGGTTCTTGGTGGTTAGAGTTACCTTTCAATTCATTTTAAGTATTAGGGGTAGCAAGAACTGTCTGAATTGGGTAATAACGTCATGGTGTGGAGCATTACTATTAGATCTTCCCTTTGACATAGCCAAAAATCTGCAATTCTGGTAGGCTGTTATTGACTTTCTTTTGCAAGGTCATGATTTTATCGATTGATGATTTATTAGTCACGTTTATCGGAGGAATTTGAACTTTACTTAAAATTGTCCGGGTGAAATTCCCAAATAGGGCTTTACTGCGACCTTTGACAGGGTTCGAAATGGGTTAATTTACAGGAAAACGTTTTTCGGAACTTTTTAAGTTCCCCGTTTGGGATATGCACAAAGTAATTTTTGGAGATTCCTTACTCAAAAAAAAAGTTCAAACTAACGATATAGCACAATGACTAGGATAGTTATTTATATTCTATCCGATTTCCCAAAAATATGGAAAACTGGACGATGGGTAAAAGTCGTTAAACATGCTTTAAACATAAGAATATTCCCTCTCCGCAAAATGTATACATAACTGATAACTCTTAATCAGTGTTTACAAAACATTTATTCATCGAGCAGGAAGAGTCTTAAACAGTCTTAAACATACGTGTTCTTAAGTTGGCCAATAGTTATGGAAGTTTATTTCAGGAACCAAGTTACTGGCTGAGCCCTGATGACCAGGATGAGGGTAAGTGTGGGGTGCGACTCCTTTACCTTCAGTTTGATAAAGACATGTCCATACCCTCCATCCGGGCCCCTCAGGGTGTGTACGTTAACTACTGTTCTGGCAGCTGTCCTTATCTGTGGAAAACTGAGGATCCACCCCTTCACACTCTTATCTTAGGTGAGATAAATCATATTCTTATCTTAGGTGAGATAAATCATATTGTTATCTTAGGTGAGATGAATCATCCCCTCCATTCACATTCTTAGCTCAATTCAGATAAATCATGCCTACATACCTATTGTTATCGTATTTCTGCGGGATAGCGTGCAGACAACTGTTATCATATTTCGAAATGCTTGTGAACATAGCATTCATAGCATACTTCTATTGTCGACCGCCGACCACCAGCACAGATTGCTGAAAACCACAAAACTATTTCGAACATGTTTTAGGTCAGTACGCAGAGCAGATAAGAGAATCAGTGTATGAACCGTGTTGTGTGCCGGCTAAATACGAGGCTGCCGAGGCCATCACTGTTGAGAATCAGGTATATTATATATTTACTTGTTAAAGTTATTAAATTATATGTTAATATTTATGAGATATTAATATTTATAAGCTTAAGATATTTATGAGCTATAATTATTTATGAGCTCAAAATATTTGTAATCTATCAATATTTATTTAAGAACTTTCACCTCAAACAGTTTAGTGTCTAGTACTAGTAGATTCTGGGATAGGTATTCAAATATAAGAAAATGGCCTTGTAATTTACAAAACTTATTTTCAGATAATTAAGTTTGACGACCTAAGAGTTACTTCCTGTAAGTGTGTTTGAAGTTGCACGTGTGACGCGTTTCCATGGCGCGCAGCTGCGTCGCCCCAGTAACCAGGCACCGAACGTATGAGCACATTTTAGTGGCCCTCGAACCGTGAAGCACAGAGAAAGAACCCGTGGAATATTCTCTGGAATATTCTCCAGAACTCTAGAAGGTAAGAGGGATTTTTCTGAGACCATGGGTTCAAATGACTGATGAGAATTGGAGAGACCGAAATGTACTGTGTGTGTTATTTATGTATGATGATCAGATTTATAGTAACATTATTTTGTAGCGATTGTTTTGACGCGTTTTGATAGGACCTAGCTAGAAAACGGACTAAAATTTATTATTTGAACTTTTTCTTTGTTGAAAGTGGAAATCAGCAAAATTCTTTCAAGGAATATTTTTGAATTGTTGAAAACAGCATCAAATGTTGTGTTAAGTTAAACTATAACTCTAAGATGCGTGCTTGTGTGTGTGCTTTATTTCTATTTTGCTTTAAATTTTGATTTTATCTTACAGTTACTGAAGTCGATACCTTTGTCGCAATAAAGATTTCCTCCTGGCATGAGTGTACGTTTCTTTTTAAAAATTTCATTTCCGGCTATCGCCCTACGCTAAAATAAGCATGTATTTGATAAACAATTCCCTCTGAATTGACTCAGAAAATGATAGAAAGAAGGTCCACAACATATCGGCTTTGAATTCGAGGAATTTAATTTAGGTTTAGTTTGAATTTTGATGTAAATAAGAGTTTAAATTTAAAATATATATGATAATGAATCTGTATATTAGCCAGAATTTTGATTTCACCAATCTTTTAACTCCTTCTTTAATTTTGTTTAATATCCACCCGAATTTTTACCAATGAACAACACCAATTTTCTGGTAAGCTATTTACAATCGTATTTACTATAATGATTGATAAATAACATATCAATTACAAGTACCCCAACTACTACAAGTAAATCTACCCCAAACATGAATCATTGTCTCTGCTTTGATCTTACATTAATTATATTATTAATTTCTTCTGGTAATTAATTTATTCCTCATCACTTGATGAAACCTTCCTTTGTCGGGCATCTTTTCCCTTGGTTCTGAAAAGAAACTCATTTAATTTGGACCGCAAACACCATATTCATAATAAGGTTAGGGTTCTGTCATTTTTCAATTCAGAGATGGAAATATCAGCGTCTGCATAAATTACACGGCCGCTTAATGCAAACAATTAAGTTCAAAAGGTTTTGAGAGGGATTTAAACGATTCTAATTGATCGTAAAATCTGGTCTTGAGTATTAGCTTAACTTACGGTCGGTTCATGACTTTCTGCTGCATCTCAACAGCAAGATCATAGGCCTGCTTAAAGTATTCAACTTGGACGGTAGTCAAGTCCTCGACATGACACACCATCTCTGCGTTCTTTTGGTCCCTCTCCTCGAGGATTTCCCTAGTCAGTTCGTACTGCTCATCGAACTTCTTCTGGGCTTCATCCACGAACTGTTCAAGTTCTTTCATCTCGTCGGCGGTCTTGGCGGCTCTGACACGGTTCTTGGCGGCATCAAGATCCAGTCTGAGTGCGGTTAAAGTTCTTCGTTCGGTCTGAAGTGGCATTAAAAGGGTTATAATGGGGTTTTGAGGGATATAATTGTTTTGTAATAGACTTCCAGCTTAGTCATTAAGAAACTTGTCTCTTTTAATGCATTAGCCTGAAATTACTTTGACTTTTGATGTTATTCGAAAGACCCCCGATTTTAAGTGATGAAGTAAATCTTACATTGATGGCACCCTCTTTGCTGGCGGAATCCATGAAGGGTTTGACGAACTTATAGAAAGCTTCCTTGATCATCTTGTGTTCGCTTTCTCCGATCCTGTTCTCGTAGTCTCCCATGATCAGGAGGGCTTGTCCGTAGTCGGAGGCGCTCATGTCACTTCCAGCGTTCAGCATGCAGATTCCCAGCTGTTCGGTATAGGTGTGACGGATTTCACGATCGTTTCCGATCTTTTCGGTGACGAAATCCTCGAATCGGTAGGCTGAAAAGAGATAGTAATAAGGATTTATAATTCTTATCGCTTGGATTTGGTAGATTTTACCATGCCAATTTAATGTCCAGGCTAGATGAAATTTAGTATGCTTCTCTAAACCGTGTGACAAATTAGAGCTTAAGTAGGATTTTGATGAGTTTATGTCGTCTGGGAGAAAAGTATTTCCTAACCAGAATTTACCGATTGAATGTTGTTATGGTCGCTCTAAAATTGTGATTGGCATAAAAAGCCGTTCTGACACTATGATGACAAGGTAACATTGGAGATAGCTGTCATTTAGGGCATCAGACCCCCTTACTAAACCACACTTTCTCGCATTTTCGGCCTTTAACTAGTCCGGCAATGAAGCGTTTCAGATAAATATAAATAATGGCGTATTTTGTTGGTGTGAGTTGGGCTGTTAAATGTGGGCACGATAAGGTTTTATTCCTGTAGAAGGTTTAAAATGTCAAAAAATGGTTCCAGAAAAGCCACAACAAAAAGAGACCAACTTAATCATAATGCTGTTTCTTAGGGTTAGTGCAACGAACCGTAGAATAGGAACCAAAGTTTGCAGACTCTAAAATGACTTAATCTCACTTCCAAACAGCATGACCATTGTGCCTAATAAAAATCTCTATTTGCTCGAGTGTAACGGAAGATGTGCAGCACTAATGATAAGAAACTCACATTTGAGTCACTCGAATTCCAGTTACCCTTAATCTTATCATCATTTGACTCCAAGTGGAGGGGCTAATATTTTCATTATTGTTGATATCATTGCCCGAATTAGAAAGTTTCATTTACCAGGATTGGGTTGGAGAACCAGCTCGACTTTGGAGGTCAACATGCTGGCCCAAAAGGCGTGTTTATCGACCCTGTTGCACAAGTCCTGGAATTCACGGTCGTAGTCGGTTCTCTGTACTGTCCCCATTTTCTCTCCGGTTACCTGAAAAGTGGGACTGTGTCAGGGGAATTCACACCTCTGTAGAAATGAATATTTTAAATTGATGTGTCACTGGGACTTTGTGCAGGTGTGCGATTATATTGTTTGCTGTTACAGTCCACAGATGCGATTATCAACTCCACATTCAACATTTGGTCCCAAAAGTATTTATCACAATAACGGAATGGTGTTAACGTAATTTCAGTTTGTCCTTAAAAGTCGCCCTTGAATTACTAATCTATTCTCTCCGAATTTTACGGTTGATAATATGTCAGTCTAATGAAAATGGGGACACAAACATAGGTACTCATCTAGCCTTAGACTATGACGACAACAGACTTAAAACTACCCTCAGATATAATATTGACTATTGGCTCAAGTCTAAGTCTCTCCCAAATGTATGGTTAGCTCATCGTGACACAGTCAGAATACGATAGATTACAGGTTATGATACCCACATGTAGTGTTATACCTACATCGTGCAGGTACATGTAACCTGCCTAATCTGTAACTAAAAGTATTATTTTACCTGTCTCGCCCTATTATATCCCACTTTTACGAAATGGGCAAATTGCTTTCCCGCTGAGCCCTCAGCTTTGCGGTCGATCTTTTCGTACTTCATATCGGCTAGTTATCTACAAGCGGGATGATTTTAGAAAAGATCACGTCGTTGGATTGCTGTGTAAAAGGAAATATAGGATGTATCCCAGTCGGGAAATGCAGAATACATCACCCAGTGCTAAGAGATAAACCCCTGAAACTAGGGGGTGGTTCCCCTGAAAATTGTAGTCAAATACCGAAACTAGACAGCGCTTTGTTGTAAGGCAAGCATCAGAAAAGTCTCTCCCAAACAATGGGACAATCTATCAGGTCGGGGAATATGGCTTAAAATTTGATTATCAAGATTTAAGGAACGTTTTAGTTGCTGTGTAAAAACGATGGTCAGTAGCCGGGTTGATGGTGTAGATTGTAATACTATTTTATAATGCTAATTGTGGGGTTCAGTTAGTTGAGTTGCAATAAAACTTCCGGGAAAATGTATCAAAAACAAGATTAAATATAATCTAAGACGTGGAAGCAAGGTGAAATTCAACGACAACAAATGATTACGGTGCTTGAGTCCATAACATCATCCTTCTAAAATGGTTGCATTTCCTGGTTCAAGTCCCAATCTTAATTTAGATTAGTTGAGATCATCCGAATAGTGATTGGCTTTCACTTAGCTAAAAATAATAAGCATTTCCTTAGCAGCTTAAATCATAAAAGTTTTACGTGATCAGCATGCACATTACATTTGCACCTTGAATTTTGATTTCTCTCATATGAATATGTAACGCAAATAATCCAGGAATTGACGAAAATTATCATTGGAATTTTGAGACCATTACATAACCGTTTTACTTAGCTAAAAATACGAAGCATTTCCTTGTCAGCTTAAATCATGAAAGTTTTACGTGATAAGCATGCACAATGCACATTACATTTGCACCTTGAATTTTGGTCACTCTTATCTGAGTAAATGTAACACAAATAATCAATGAAAGGAATTGACGAACATTATCATTGAGATTTTGAGACCGTTACATAACTATTCCCAAAACTAGGTTTGCAAAATATTAACTTAGGTGTGATCAATATTTATAGAGTTATACCATTAAGAAAACGACATTGAACTTAAAAATTATGCAAATAACTGACTACTTTGTCCCTTTGACATTCTCTTTCTATGAACTCTGGCCAATATGGCCTACAAATTTGAGCGAACCTTAAAGATATCTTAAACTCCAAGTAACTGGCGTCAGTCCAATCTTTTTCGACCATGCCTCCTAAAGATCCGTCTCAGAACGATACAAATCATTGGTTGTAATCCTTGTAATCCTTGTAATTACATTCATTTGTCTCAACACAGGTGTAAATTCCGTAAAATAACAGTCTATTTCAAATATTATTTCAGTACTTTAAGACTAAGGTGCTGATAATACCAAATTAATATTATATCTATACTAAATGCTAAGAGTAAGCCATCAAATTGATTTCTTAAGATTAAGAACACAAGCTTATCACTAGCATAATAGTATTTATATAATTACAAATTGATCTAGTTATATAGCTGAAAATAATGATATTGGGTTTTTGTTGTTTCTGCAATTTCTGTCCGACTTTATGACATCAGTAGACGGCAGACTGATTCTTACAAATAAAAACGACTGTACGAATTACCTGTCAAAAAATTACGAGACAAATTTTTAAAAAGGGCCAAAAATGACTAAATAACTTTTAGGCAGGTGGTTGATTGTGGTCTGGCTTAAATTGGATTCGTCTGACAGGATCTGAAAAATTCCTGCTGTCTATTAGTTTCTCAAACATTAAGCTGTAAGTGAGTAGGGGCAGGTAACTAGATAATCGTCCCATCTTCGGCCGATTTAGACAAGATATAATGTAGCCTACTAGGAGCTGGCTCCATCCCGTAGTGACAAATTCTAAATTATTGTTCACGTGGATTTAGAGGCGAAAGATCGGACAAAACAGGCCGGATTTTACCAGATGTATCATATCACAGGTGCATTGTATCATGCTGATCAAAGTTTCGGAGTATGTTTCATGCGGTATGGGGGTTTTTTTTGATATGTGACAGCTGTCCACCAATAAACATAAAGCTGTGGTTTATTCTATTAAACAATAGAGCATTTTGAACATTTAAAATATACTTTGTAACATTAAACATTGTGGGATGCCACAATTCAAATCGTGTAGACAGACATAGAATGTTTAAAAACGTTTCATTCGCGGATTGGTGTCAACACAAAAATGAAGCTTTATGATCTATTTGAACTGGATTCAGTTGTATACATCATGAACTAAACGGATATTTCACGGCTCTTAAACACTCCTAAATTTCAACAAACAAAACATTTAACAGTACGCAAACACCCAAACGGTCACCTCTACTGGTTATTTCAAGGTTCTGTATTGCAATAGTAATACCATTCGATCAGTATTTTTTTAAACGTGGTAGATGGTTATTTTACATTCCTTATGTTATGGTGTATATCTAATAAACTGAGATTTCAAACTATCGCTCTACTACCACTACTAGTGCTACTAGTACTACTAGTACTACTACTACTATTAAACGGTTATACCACAGTTCTCAAACGGTCACATCTTTGACCAGTTATTCTACGGTTCTCATTCTCAAACGTTTATTTTACGATTCTTTACGTCTAAACGGTTATTTCACAGTTCTCAAACGATCATATTACCCAACACATTAAACCACAAACCTGAGCAAAACGACGAGAACAGTGCATAAAGAAGTGGTTGAACTCGGTGAAAGTCTTGACGGCGTGCGCCTGGCATTCCTCCTCTGGCTTAAACATCTTGGATAGCTAGCTGCTGAGCGAGAAGGGGTTAGAGTTGTAGTTTATGTTGGGTTTTGTTGATTGAAATCTTTCAAGTTAATCAATTACCTAAACAATTTACAAAACGAAAATGTATTCCAAAATAAGTATGGTGATAAATTATATTGCCTTTTTACCCAGAAAAACAAATTGGGCTATGAATGCAGCGAAATTATCTGGGAGATACCAACAAAAAAAAATAATAAAACTCTCCTACATCCTACATTCTACAAACTTGTAGTTGCACTGAGCTGAGACTCATGATCATTGCAAGATGGGGCCATCTTTGAAAAAGTTAACGGTCATAACTTTATGAATAATAAAAATGTGCCAACTCGAGAAGATCGTTTCACAAATTTTCATTGTTCATTATTGATGGTGAACTTCATTAGACTAATTAAAGAGAAAATGAATTTCCAAGACAGGATAAACAATTTCTATCGATAATTCGTATCGTCAATTGGAACAAACGTTTTAAAAACATTTAAAATTAAACAATATAAACCACCAAATTGATAGCTGACGAGACATCTAAAAATCTCAATTCTAAATCTAATGGCCTGTACAACTTTGCCGTGGCAAGATGAAGACTATTTCTTGATTTGTGTTACAGTAGACGATTTGTTATGCTACAGCATAAATGTGGCAAAGTGCGATTAAGATGTTATGAAAATCGTCAAAGTTCAAAAGGTGTTTTGGAGGGAAGGCTGGATTCAATTTGATGTGAAAAATGAAACGAAAAGGGCTGATCAAACATTCGCATGTCCGGAATCCGGATAGGAACCTTGAAAAAAGTAAATTCGCTTGTTAAGTCTTGGATACTTGGAAGAATCACCGAAATTAAGTGACCCTATTTAGATACGTAATTGAAAGAGAACAAGAAATTTGCGAAGATGTTATATCATCCGCATAAAGGATTCCCGAATTAGAATCGGTGATTCACCGATTCTAAGCCCGGCTTGCTCGTCTACCCGGAAGTCATCAAATCATCATTTAAAATAGCAGACAGCATTGCAGTAAACCAAGTAGGAAAGTGAGAAATGAAATGAGCTCAAGCAAAGGAGTTTGCATTAGCTAATAGACACATAGTCATACAATGATACATATTCTAAAAAGATAATAAATAAAATCCATCGACATTGATTGTAAACAGGAAATTGTAGCATGTCTTGAATAAAACAGAGGTATAGTGAAAATGTTCATGAGATCTTCATTATGCCTTTTAAGCTGAAGGAGGTTGAAGCTTATTGCTCGTATTCATCAATTTATAAACTGAATAAAAGTGTCAAATCAAGTGCAATTGTAGTACTATTCACTATTATCGTTATTAAAATCTAATTTTCAACATTTTTTTATAACCTATAATTAGACTGGGATACTAGCTGGTATTGGACCCATTTTATTGTTCCCCTCCAGTCGTGAATACAGGATATTTAAATTCTTTATCGCTGATTACGTCCCGGATCTCCAAAAGCGAAATTGATATCTTCAATTCCTATCGTATTAATAAGCAATACTGTAACTTCCCAGAGGTTACTTACTTATCAAACCATTGTACGTGAGAGCGTTAGTGTTTATATTACTATTTATTAACGACAAGAGAAACATTAAATTAATTCCTTCCGTAACGTCCTGAATAAATATAGTAATAGTATTAGTTACGAAAACAAAATTTACTAAACATTTTAAAACTGAACACCAAAAACTATATTAGTATTACTAATGCAAATATGTCATAGCGTGATAACGCGGTCAGCAGGTTTGTCCTGAGCCAATTCCAAATTATTGAAAGAGACACGTGTAGTCGTGTAACGTGTGGCTGGTATTACTAGTAGTAAGATCAATGTTAATAAAATCTTTTATTTCGTGTAAGCTGCCGCCTAACTATATTATGTCGGCACTTACTGTACTCACCTGGACGGCACCAGCCTTTATCGCCAATGTAATGGCAAATGTTGTGTAATTTTGTTACATGTTTAATGTTAGTAAAAATTACAAATGACTAAGCATAATTGACGATGTCAATTCTTTACAGCTCGGCGAGTGGCGAGGCCCAGTAGCGCATTTCGCCGATCTAACGAAGATCGATTGCGAAAAGCATTATTGGATGCGCGGCCCAGTAATATAAGGCATCGCGCTACAATGTTGTAGGTTTATAACCTACCAGGACGCGCGCCGAGTTGGACTCGTCGACGGTTCTAATTATATATGAAACAAATATTTTACGAGTATCACCCGTTAAGCTACAATGACAAAGGATAATCATTGATCATTCACATTGTATGTTACGATCAAAACTTAAAATCTCAAATATGTCACGCGGCGTTAGGGGTCGTTCGTTGATTACGGGGGGTTTGGTCGTTGATTACGTAATCAAAATTTTAATTTTTTACCGATTTTCGAAATACCAATTGGACAATTTTCGTTAATTATGTAATCAAAATCTTCTCAAGTCTCAGACAGCAATGAATAATGTGTATTTCTTGTATCTCTACATCAAAATTTAACTCAAAATGGGGGGTGTCTACTGTCTAATCTTGATTACGTAATATAGTCGGGGGGTTTGGTCTTGATTACGGGGGGGGGCCGGGGTTCAAACCTTGATTACGTAATATGGAGGGGGTTCGGTCTTGATTACGGTTGATTACAGAGGGGGGGTAAAAATTGCCAAAATATTGATTACGTAATATGTGAACGACCCCTTACCATTGACGGATGTGGTATGTTACTCGTCTAAATTTCTTCAAAGTACCGCGCGCGCGCCGGGCTAATCCATTATATTAACAATGGACAAGTCGTCAAGTCATAATGTAGCGCTTTAAAGTCGATTGCATATATCATATCGTTCGTATTATAAAATTAAAAGCTTGTTTGAGTAAGTCACGTGATTTATTGATGATGCAACATTTTTCAAATAAAAGTACAAAGTACGTCTTCTTTTCGAAATATCAACCGGAATGTAATTATTATATTGTATGTATTACTCACTCCTATATTACGTCGTGACCCCCATATAATAATTGTGAATTGTAGTTTCACTAGTATCGTTGTAGCGCGATGCACTACTGGGCCGTGCCGCGCATTTAATAATGCTTCTCGCAACCACACCCGATTTTATGCAGATCGGCGAGATGCGAAGGATTGACATCGTGATCAATCAATTAGTATCGTGGCCACTGCGATGTCAATTCTTCGCAGCTTTGCCCAGTAACGCATCTCGCCGATCTAACGAGAAGCATTATTCATTAATGATTATTGGATGCGCGACGCGGCTTTTGCAGATACATGTTTCGTATCCAACTAGTGGCGCGAAAAGTGGCATGCAACGTATGTCAACGCTTACCTGGGGAGCTCAGGCTATTATGTTCATTAAATAGAGATTCGGCGGAATGACAGGCTGAGCGCGGCCCAGTAAGTCAACGCAGCCCAGTACACAGTAACCAGTAACGCATCGCGCTGCGAATAATTGACATCGTCAATTAAAAAACTTTTAAACACGTTCTCTGGGTGTAGTAACCCTGAATAGCTAAAGTGAATGACTACTGCATGCTGTAGAATTCGAAATTATAACTAACCTTCCACACTGACTGACTGACTCCAATTACCCTCAGCCCTAACTCTTACTGAAAGGAAGCATATTTTTTATTAAATACTTTTCAAACTTTACAGAGTACAGCAATTACAACGAATGAAATAAACTCGAATAAAATATTGCCCCCGTCTGTAAAATCTGTCGGGAGACCAAACACGGTACTGCACAGTAAAACGTGCCCGCAATTACATGGCCCCGATATGATTTTTTAAAATGTGAAACAAAATTGTGATAAAATAAATGTGTGGTGAAGAATGTGAAACAGTTCAAATTTCTTCAGACGAGGCTGATACACTGTTCTTATCAGAGCTGACAATCTTATTGTTCCTTATGAAATGAACTCTGTTAGGCTCTGCTTTCCTCTTCTCTTTCAATTCCTCCCAGAGCTTCTTGTAAGCTCTCCTTTCTTCCACTGATCTGTCTGGGCAAATGTAGATACTTTTATAGCCCTCTTTTGTGCGTAGTAGTTTCGCTTTTCGCAGCACCTGAGTAACCATGTCAGAGCTATTTAGAGATAGTTTAGTTGGTCGTATTAATGTGTCCACTCTCTTCAGACCAACTCTACAACAGTCACGAAAAGAAGGTTTCTCGTTTATCTCACCAAGAACTTCAGCAACTTTGTTTTCTAACTTCTCGCCGTCGGATTCACTTATTCCGTAGATTACGACGTTTCTGCTTCTTTCATCCTTTTCAGCTATTGTCTTAACTGCAGTACAGATCTTCTTTGGCGTAAGAGCAGCTGCACAAGTCTTTTTCAGGGCAGAAGAATATGATTTCATTTCTGTCTGCACAGTTGTTTGAACAGACTTGAGTTCTTCGTCCTTCTTTTCAATGAGCTGCTTCTGCAAATCAATGACAGTTTTCTGCTCCGCGATTACTGAAATGTTTTGTTTATCTACTCTCTCCGCAGCCATTTGCAAATGAGGAGCCGCATAACGATTCAAAATGAAACAAACAGTTTGCAGCCAATCACACAGTTTTTCTTTCGAAACTGATCGCTTGTTCAGGTTTTTCAATACTAGATCTCCGTATTCCTTAACATCCAGTTCATGGCACATTTCATTAAAAACACTGTTTGTAGCTCTCGCTACCTGATCTGCATGTCTGGCACTAAACAGATCATCATTATCGGGGTCATCGACCAAATGCTTCGTATGTTCATGGTATGAGTACTGCATCGTGTATATTCCAATGTACAGTTCTTGTATACAGGCTACACAACGATCACACTAAAAGACAAGCACTTCTTATCGCAAGTTACAACAGCTGATAACAGAGCTCGCTATTTGCAACCAAATGTAAAACGACTACACATATGTGATATCAAATATGGCATTTACTGGGCCGCGCTCAGCCTGTCATTCCGCCGAATCTCTATGTTTATGAACATGATAGCCTGAGGTCCCCAGGTAAATATGGCATATGCTAAAATGTAAAACCTAGCCTTACGTTGTAGGCGCAGGCCCGCCGCGCGGCTTTCGCCCCGATTCTAAGTGAAATGACAATGGGGGTCACGACGTGATACAACTAAAACTGTATTACACTAACATGAACAAGAAATTAGAGCAACTTCGTAATATAATTATAATTATATTATATTACGGTCATATCTTGTAGCGCGATGCACTACTGGGCCGCGCATCTTCTCGCAACCTTCGGTAATTAATCGGCGAGATGCACCATTGGGCCTCGCCGAACTGCTAAGGATTGACATCGTGAATCAAGGTCATATCACGTGATCGAAACAGTATCTCGGTGATATCTGACATGGCCCTTGTCCATTTTCGCGCGCGCTGGTGCGAAAAAAGGACACGTAACGTGCGGTAATCGCCATGGTGAAAATGGTAAAATCACTTTGGAGTGTAGAGGAGCTGACAGAATCTACTCACGTTTTCGTAAATTCTGCGTAAACGTTATTGGCAGCCAGGTAGTTTCGGAGTTTGGTTTTCGGTTCAAGTTATGTTTGATCAGCAATTGATGGCAGACAAACAATTTTTAACTTCAAATAAAACAAAGTTATTCACAGAGTGAAAACAGTATTGTTGATCAACTTCACAATCAATATAGCCTATCAAATTGTTAAACAAGCAATAGCGTAGGTAAAGCTAGCGTGATGGCCAGCCAAGAGTCCATCGCAAATACATCCTATCTGCGCGTAATATTATTTGAAAACGGCCTAGAATCCATTAGGGCCGATTAGCTTCCGATTGATATATTGTTCAAACAACCATCAATCATATGCTTTGTAATAGTGTTCAGCTCTCTCAGCTTTACGTGTAAATATATCGCAAAGAGCTCAATGATACCCATGTTAATATCTTACATCTAAACTTTAAAATAACCAAAATAAATCAATTCACACACTTTCTAGAACTAGAAGGTCTACTTTAAAATAGGTCTACTTTCACGATATCTTCGAATAGAAAAAATCACCATGTATCATTATATCACCATATCAATGTTAGGGTCAGAACAGCAAAAGAAAGTTGATTAAATGCAGCATACTATTATAGCCAAATAAAGCGGATAAGAGCTAAAATAGGATTAACCCAAATTTAGCATTAACGAGGCGAACGAATCACAGTTTTGAAATCAAGGAATCCTTTAGTTTAAAGATTCCCAACGAGAATTTTCTTGTAAAATTAATGAATAATCAAATAAAATAACATGTGCGGCACAATTTTCTTTTATTATTTGACGGAAGTGTCTGAGTTAGTCAGTAAGTGTCAAATAGTTTTCAAGCAATAATGAGCGTCTCCGTTTCCTTCTACCGTCTGTTGTGGGTAGATAAAAACTCGTCCACCAGCGCTGAGTGTGCTCGTGAGTCTAACTGAAGTTGACAGAAGATTAAAAATAATACACATTTTTTCAACGTCTAAATTCAAATATACTGTTTACTGAAGAAGAAAGGTATGCGACATATAATCAACTATCACGTAATGGAACTTTTTGTTAAATTCCTTTGTGGCAATAACGTGATGATAAATAACGTTGTTGTCCAGAAATTTAAGATTTGTAGATTTACAACCCATTGACGCGTGCTTTGAGCTGGTTCGTAGCCGGAGTCTAAGAAATTTTAGACGCGCAATACCCGTCCGTCATTAGTGGAAATTTCTCAGTTTATTTGGAAAGGAGCTCAGTATAGTGGTGCAAAATAGCCAAAATGACGTCAACGCTTCTTTTGGCAAACGCGAAATACTTTCATTTTCGAGACGACCTGAATTTGGCGTGACTTTGATTTTAGCAAACTTACTACGCTTTAAAAACATTCCTCTTCTTTGAGTCTGCTAGTCTACTTATAATTTATACAGAGAGTTACTGTTAGCTCTATAATTTTACTTTCCCCCACGCCATAAAACATATTTTTCTCTATATCACGTTTTAAAATAACGAGCCATATCGTGAGCATTACAGCGAGCATTACAGACAAATTAAACATATTATTCTTTGTATGATCCAATGTTCAGGTAATTTTTATTTAAAATTGCAGCTGCTTCCATAATAAGTTAGCCTGAAATTCCTTAATTTCCTCCAGTTACAACTGAAATTCTTTGTCCAGAAAGCAATATCGATAACATTATAGATGACTAATCGTATAATTGTGCAAGATATCCGAGAGAAAAATGGTGAAGTTTGCAGAACACTCTGTTTGTTCAGACAGCTTGCTAACGCCTTTGTATCGAAATTGCTCAAAATTTCTGGTAATGACCGTAATTATCTGAATTCATTCGCAGCTCTAAAATACTATCGATTTCATTTAGTTAGTATATAGTGGTAGGTGCGAGAATATTTCGTTTGTCTTACGGAAGAATTTTCAGACGTTGTCCGTCACCGGCTGATTTCGTAGTGTTTTAGGAAGACAAGATAATTATCGAATTGCAGCAATTAGATGATTTCGTTCGTTATTATAACAATCGGTGGTGCATGGCCAGTTATTCTTACCTTCGTCCTTTTCTCTGCATCATGATGACGGAACATTTTTTGACAACAGTACAAGACATGTTTCTCATTTGTATTGATAACAATTACCGATTGTGTGTACAATTTTGAAGAGTGGAATTATGGTAGTGCCGTGTAGGTATTTCTAATTTTGGTATAAATCATTTTACCAAAACCCATAATCATGGGTAGAGTGGACCGCTGTCAGTGTCTCTCTTTCCCAAACAAAAGGAAATGATATTACTTTGATTGACCGTTCTCAAATGCAAAATGATACCGAGAATGAAATCGGTCGCTCGCTTTTCCCATTCATTCACGGCTTACGAATTGTAATAAGTTTCGATTGATTACATCAATCAGATGCTGTAAAAATCTCTTTGGGTTGCGTTCGGGTCGATACCTAGTATTTCGGGGTAAGGGTGGTAGTTATTAGTATTACTTATTGAATTAGCTGAAGTTTATTGCATCTTCATTGCCGAGTACAGCTGCCTTTGGGTAGTTTTTCTTAATATATTACAATTGTAAATGAATGGGAAAAGCGAGCGACCGATTTCATTCTCGGTATCATTTTGCATTTGAGAACGGTCAATCAAAGTAATATCATTTCCTTTTGTTTGGGAAAGAGAGACACTGACAGCGGTCCACTCTACCCATGATTATGGGTTTTGGTAAAATATCATCTCTTTTTGATTATAATGTCAGGGTACTTTATAAAGTCGAAATATAAACTGATATCTTCATTAATAAGGAGGAAGTTTCAACGATTTCGAAATCTATCCTTTAAAAACATTTCCTTGTGTTTAGGGAAGCATATCGGTCGATCACTGACTGAATATGCCACTTAATACTCATTCAAGTTGGCATTAAATTCATATATAATGACATTAAACTGTCGTGGCAAAGCAGAATTTGTTGGAAATCACGAATGAGCAAAATTCTCACCTTTCGCACGTGCAAACTTTGAGCAGACGTTGCGTGCGCATCCAATATTGAATCGCCGTAAATTTTTGCATGTAATTGTTTTATATATAGCTTGATAAGCATGCAAAGTTTCAAAGTATTTTAAGAAGAACTGTAATCACAACGGCACTCTAAAGTTGACAGAAAATGACGAAAACAGCAATTTTCAGTGATTTTAGCGATTTTCTATCAATTTGGGCGTGTCCCAACGTGTGCAACTTTTCGATTTTCAACTTTAAAACTAGCCTATGACACAATTTATACCTATAGGAAGCAGAACTGAGCTCCACAACCCAAGGCATGGCCCAACACCAGAGAATACTAAATCGCAAAATTAACGTTTTTATAAAATAATTCTTCAAAAAAGCACAAACTTCAATGACGAATATCTTTATGAAGGAGCAAGCTAGAAAAACTTTCCGGTAGATTTTCAGAATGCTTGAACAATTATCTAAGATAAAAATTTCCTCAGATTTTGAATAAAATTACTCCTTAATGGTTTAAAATTAATTTTAAAAGTTATTACTTTGTCAAAAATCAAGTTTTAAAAACGGTTAACTTGATGACGTCATCAAGGGGTGTTTATGACGTCATATAATTTTTTTATACAATGTAAACTAAAGTATAAACAATTATTTGCAAGACCTGTGGTCGGAAATGGCTGTATCTTTTATACTTTTAAATCTATGGACAATTAAATACAGGCTACAATTGACTGGCAAAGCGTCTATCCCTGAATATATATATATATGTATATATGTATTTGACCAAAACCCATAATCATGGGTAGAGTGGACCGCTGCCAGTGTCTCTCTTTCCCAAACAAAAGGAAATGATATTAATTTGATTGACCGTTCTCAAATGCAAAATGATACCGAGAATGAAATCGGTCGCTCGCTTTTCCCATTCATTCACGGCTTACGAATTGTAATAAGTTTCGATTGATTACATCAATCAGATGCTGTAAAAATCTCTTTGGGTTGCGTTCGGGTCGATACCTAGTATTTCGGGGTAAGGGTGGTAGTTATTAGTATTACTTATTGAATTAGCTGAAGTTTATTGCATCTTCATTGCCGAGTACAGCTGCCTTTGGGTAGTTTTTCTTAATATATTACAATTGTAAATGAATGGGAAAAGCGAGCGACCGATTTCATTCTCGGTATCATTTTGCATTTGAGAACGGTCAATCAAATTAATATCATTTCCTTTTGTTTGGGAAAGAGAGACACTGGCAGCGGTCCACTCTACCCATGATTATGGGTTTTGGTCAAATATCATCTCTTTTTGATTATAATGTCAGGGTACTTTATAAAGTCGAAATATAAACTGATGTCTTCATTAATAAGGAGGAAGTTTTAACGATTTCGAAATCTATCCTTTAAAAACATTTCCTTGTGTTTAGGGAAGCATATCGGTCGATCACTGACTGAATATGCCACTTAATACTCATTCAAGTTGGCATTAAATTCATATATAATGACATTAAACTGTCGTGGCAAAGCAGAATTTGTTGGAAATCACGAATGAGCAAAATTCTCACCTTTCGCACGTGCAAACTTTGAGCAGACGTTGCGTGCGCATCCAATATTGAATCGCCGTAAATTTTTGCATGTAATTGTTTTATATATAGTTTGATAAGCATGCAAAGTTTCAAAGTATTTTAAGAAGAACTGTAATCACAACGGCACTCTAAAGTTGACAGAAAATGACGAAAACAGCAATTTTCAGTGATTTTAGCAATTTTCTATCAATTTGGGCGTGTCCCCACGTGTGCAACTTTTCGATTTTCAACTTTAAAACTAGCCTAATACACAATTTATACCTATAGGAAGCAGAACTGAGCTCCACAACCCAAGGCATGGCCCAACACCAGAGAATACTAAATCGCAAAATTGACGTTTTTATAAAATAATTCTTCAAAAAGCACAAACTTCAATGACGAATATCTTTATGAAGGAGCAAGCTAGAAAAATTTTCCGGTAGATTTTCAGAATGCTTGAACAATTATCTAAGATAAAAATTTCCTCAGATTTTGAATAAAATTACTCCTTAATGGTTTAAAATTAATTTTAAAAGTTATTACTTTGTCAAAAATCAAGTTTTAAAAACGGTTAACTTGATGACGTCATCAAGGGGTGTTTATGACGTCATATAATTTTTTTATACAATGTAAACTAAAGTATAAACAATTATTTGCAAGACCTGTGGTCGGAAATGGCTGTATCTTTTATACTTTTGAATCTATGGACAATTAAATACAGGCTACAATTGACTGGCAAAGCGTCTATCCCTGAATATATGTATATATGTATCACGACAATCTATCGTAAAACAGGGGTTCTAGAAAACCCACTTCCCGATGCTCCTGAAACCTGAAACTTTTTTTGCAGTCGATTTGGTCAACGTCTAGACGCCCTGAAAAATTTCAGATCTCTAACTCAATTTTAACATGGTTTTTAAGGCACCTGAATATGGCGATTTTGGGTTTTTTACCGAATTTCGTATAACAGTGCTGGCGAGTATTTTTACTATTTTATGCAAATTTCTTAAAAATCTCAATTTCGTATAACAGTGCTGGCGAGTATTTTTACTATTTTATGCAAATTTCTTAAAAATCTCAACATAACTATTTTTATTCCTGTCATCTTTGACATCAAATTAAAATGTTTTGAACTAAAAATAAATCTGCTGAACGACTTCCGATGAGTCTTAATGCCTGAAAAACTCCTGCCGGAGGCGGCGGCCTTCGGCCGCCGCCTCCGGCCGGAGTGCACGCTTCGCGTGCACGAAAGAGGTTCCGACGAGTACCAAAGGGGTTATAATAGTAAAGGGGGTATAATAGTAAAGGGGGTACAATAGTAAAGGGGGTACATAGTATACCCCCAATAAAGACACCGCTCGTGCTTGCCAGCACTGTGATCACGACAATCTATCGTAAAACAGGGGTTCTAGAAAACCCACTTCCCGATGCTCCTGAAACCTGAAACTTTTTTTGCAGTCGATTTGGTCAACGTCTAGACGCCCTGAAAAATTTCAGATCTCTAACTCAATTTTAACATGGTTTTTAAGGCACCTGAATATGGCGATTTTGGGTTTTTTACCGAATTTCGTATAACAGTGCTGGCGAGTATTTTTACTATTTTATGCCAATTTCTTAAAAATCTCAACATAACTATTTTTATTCCTGTCATCTTTGACATCAAATTAGAATGTTTTGAACTAAAAATAAATCTGCTGAACGACTTCCGATGAGTCTTAATGCCTGAAAAACTCCTGCCGGAGGCGGCGGCCTTCGGCCGCCGCCTCCGGCCGGAGTGCACGCTTCGCGTGCACGAAAGAGGCTTCCGACGAGTACCAAAGGGGTTATAATAGTAAAGGGGGTATAATAGTAAAGGGGGTACAATAGTAAAGGGGGTACATAGTATACCCCCAATAAAGACACCGCTCGTGCTTGCCAGCACTGTGATTGTCAGATATTATATCAATTCAGGAAAGATCATTTGCAAGGCTTGACAAACGCCGGGCATCTCAACCAGAGCTTCATTGCTGAACCTGATTGCTATAATTTCCGGTTACCATAATATAACTTGTTAATCTCTTGTATAGTGTACGTGCTCTAAACCATCAGCTTATTTACAATAATAGCCATATCATTCTAGTAAAACCACACACTGCGATTAATTGCTTCGGCCACGGCCGGCCAATTTATACTTATCTTTAATACTGTTGCTGGCACCGTTTCATGCTTACTTTTTCTAACGAGGGCAAATATTTAAGTGTACCATCTTTTTTAATTTGCACAAGTTGGATTTAATCTGATTAAGCCTCGCTAATTGTTCGCAGGCCCGGTTATTTGCCACAAGTTGGCACGATTAAGGTTACGAAGCAGTCGCCTCAGTGCAGTTTACCCTTCACTCGATATAATTGTACATATATTCTGTTGACAACTACAAATAAAGAATCTCTGTTCCGACCTCACTGTAAGAGACTATCGACTTGTTTTGTGTAGCGTGAAACGATATTGACGCACTACATTAAGTAACGCTAATCTGACGAAGGAATTTAGGAATTTCAATTCACAATTCACCACAACGCATATAAATATATATATATATATATTTGAGACATTCATATATATATACTGTACTTTGACGCATTCTAATTTGTTCTCGTTTTGCTTCGTTTTAATTTGACTAATTTAGCACCGATTTAAATCCGCGCAAAGATTATTTTCCAGGATTTGTGCTCGTTTCATGACAGTGACACAATTTTGATATGTTAACATTTTACGATTTCTATCCGCTTTACTGAATCGTTACAACTGTTATAGTGTTATTATTTACTAAACTTAAAAGTTCAAAAGGCAACTTGTTGAAACCCATGTAGTGTCTTTAGCCAGTAAACCTATTAGTGTTTATACTATACATTTTATAACCTAGCGTCTTAAAATTCCCAGCTTATACGGGAAACCTAGGACCACGGTCTAAACATCCGACTATAATATGTCATCATAAGACACCCATCAGGACACAGTATGACAACTAACCAATCGGGACACAGTATTCACACCACGTGACACAAACCAACCAACCAGGAATTGTAGGACACCCATCAGGATGTTAATGAACATGTCAGTACCGATCCCTCCCCCACGGTACAGCCCTGAACTAGACACCCTGTACGGTACCTTTTGTACCGTGTGCTTCCTGTTCGGCACCTTCGGCAACACCCTCTCTCTCCTCTTCTTCTCACAAAGACAAGACCTCGCTTCTTTTCTCTACACCTGTATCTCATGGATTGATCTCGCCATATGTATCACTGTACTTCCTATGGGTATGCTCACTTACTTAATTAAAAGCAGCATTATTCGTTGGATTGTAAATGAATCTGGGGGGTCAGAAGATCTGAGGATTATAACTCTTTTTAGAAACCTCCACGTCATTCAGATTATATAACTCGTGATTTTCCTTTGTACATTTCACAAAATTTATAGCTGGTCGTTAAAATCAGATATTATAACCAACCAGATGCACCACAGGTGTAAGTTATTTGGGCGGAAGAAAAGGACTTTTATTTGACATGTACTTGTTGTGCAACGTTTGGGGGTACGCTTTCCACGCTCTGACCCTGTACAGTGTGTTCTACGTGTGCTTCTTGAGCATGACAAGGGCGTACGTACTTCTTTACCCTCTTAGAAAGGTACGAGATCGACTAAAATAATTCTATCGCAGATTTCTTATCTTAATCGTTGTGGCATATTAATAAATAATCTATGCTATTCTATTCAATGTTATGCACAACTTTTAATGCCGATTAAGTATTTATCTAATGTGACGTCACGGCTGGATAATTCTCGATGGAAAAATGTTCAATCGATAAATAGAAAATAATATATCCTATAACTAATTACTCCAGCTCATTACTCCAGATTTCTTGACTTTGCCAGCAAATTAACAGCTAGTCCTCAGGTTCAAAAGTCAACTATCGGCGGTATATCCCTGCTGCATTTCTTTGTCCAGAGTATCCTCTCCTCACTGCTATTTTGGGATGGTGGCCGCTACAAGTACAGTGCTGACTTTGTTGAGTGCAGTGCTCACACTCCTAATGGGAGCCGGTACGTGTGACGTTATATTTGACACGTGACAAGTTATATTCGACACGTGACTAGTTATATTTGACACGTGACTAGTTATACTTGACACGTGACTAGTTATATTTGACACGTGACTAGTTATATTTGACACGTGACTAGTTATATTTGACACGTGACTAGTTATATTTGACACGTGACTAGTTATATTTGACACGTGACTAGTTATATTTGACACGTGACTAGTTATATTTGACACGTGACTAGTTATGTCAGCTGGTTTTATCAATCTACTGATACTGATATAAATTTGGTCCTTGAATATCATATCTTCCTTGAAGTGTGTTAATCCGGCCTATTCGATCAATCATGAATCACGGAGGAACATTTTAGCAACTTTTCTCAAAAGCGGCGACTTATCTTAATATCTTAATTTCAGACTAATCATATGACTTTTACTATCTTGACTGAATAATATCTCCTCGCAGCAGATATCACACAGTAGAGCACGTGGTGGGAATGATAACGTACGTTGCACCAATAATACCTATCCTGGTTAGCAGCGTCCTGACTATCAAACAACTGGGGAGTATCCAAGAGCTGAGACGTTCTCTTCGGCACAAGGAGAAAGCCAAACTTTACTCCGTGTATCAGCCTTTTGAAAGATGGCTTAGAAAGGACAATAATCAGGGATATGGACTGAAAGTCAAGAGAGATGCAAGCCTTACAATCCTTATATTCACGGCAGTGTACGCTGTTTTCAATATACCGACAGCAATTTGTTATGTTTTTCACCTAGTCGAGATGCCACAGAAGAGCGGATATTTTAAGTTTGATCGGCCTGGCTATTACTTTAATAATTTTGTTTTAAATTTATCGATTCCTCTGAACTCGACCGTCAATCCGTTAGTCTATCTAGCTAGAATGAAGGCGTTTAGAAATTTCCTTTTGATCTATTTGCGTAAAATTTTTAAATATTTTCGTTTACCGATATACTTTTGAGCCGCGAGATGTATGGTATCTTAGCTTGTATAAATTAAAATATAGCGAAAATCGTAAAATAAAGTACTCTAACGATAACTTACGTATTTTTCATCTTTTCTCTGAAAAATTAAAGATTAAAATTGACTGATTGTATAGAATCATTGATGTATATCGTATACATATTTGAATAACGTTCGCTATGGACAACCCCAAAATCTATGCTTCATTTATTATTTAAAGAATTAAATTCAATCAATTAATGATAATGAAGTCCTTGTATGCGAAAAGACCTATCCTCACATATAAAATCTCTCAGAAAAATAATATCAACTGTAACTGTAACTTAAATTTAAAATCTGCATCCCGAAAATTAAAAAAACGTACCCGTCGAGAAGTTCTGGAAGAGGAGGAAGAAGAGGTACCAGCACTGGCAGCAACCTGAGCAGCATTGAAGATATCTTGTCGTAAAACTGGGTCTTGTAGTAAAGCGGCTAGTCGGGAGTGCTTACTTTGGTACTCTCTGACGTAGTCTAGATACGACTGCGGGGAAAGTTAGTCAGCCGTTAGGTGTACATGTGATCATTGCACGACTCGGCGGGTTTAGCTAAACTGGAAGAAAACAACAACTTGATTCGTGTTAAGGACCTCTTTCAATAATTAATGATCAGCTAATTTTGTAAAAAGATACTACAATATGTAAGCCTCACCCCGTGTAGTAGAATATCCTTGGCACTGCTCTCTTTTGGAGGAGACCTCCTTTTTGAGGAGGAAGCGACAGGAGACCTGGATCTGGAGCGATGTGATGGACGGGAGCTGCGCGCTGGCCGGGTGTCTCTCTCACGACGATCTGGTCTCCGGTCTGATCTGTCCTCTCGGGAACCTGAGGGAGAGAGGTTTAAGGTTCTCGGGTATGATGGAAAGCAGTACTCTGTTGAAGGAGGAACAAACACGTTACACGAGAATTAACCATACTTTGCAAGAGACACTGTCTGGAGATTTTGAGGGTCGGCTTTAAGGAATTTTTATAGCGAAATAAAATAGTAAATGTGACAGCAAAAGACCAAAGTTACGATTTGGATTATTTCAAAAATGATTCTGGATTTAACTTACTATTATTACGGTTAGAACCCCGATGAGAGTTATATCTGTTGTTGTCATTTCTAGGTCTATAATCCCTGCGAGGCGGTCTGGAGGCAGGTTCGTCTCTTTTCTTCCTCTGACTCTGAGGCTTCTTCTCCTCATCCCCTCGGCTACTGCTTCCTCCTCCACCAAGTCTATCTTTCATTCTAGAACTCAGTCCAGGTGGTGCTGGCTCTCCGTCCGACATACTGAAATGGTATCAGTTTCACATGGACTGGGGGGCAGTTAGTGGAGTCATCAGTATTTGTGGAAGATAGAAGTAGAGGTGAGATTATGATAAGGGGAGTTACTCACGGTTCAGGAGAGGATTTTCTGTAGGAACTATCTTTGTACGAACTGTAGGTTGTTTTAACAGCTGAGGGTGATACAGGCTCGTCCGATCGCGAAGCTCTGGAAAGGGGAGGATATTCAAACGGTTTGTACAAATTGGAAAACTATCACGTTAAGTCAATTATTAGTTAACATTTTTGCTATCACTTAAGGAATCGGATTTAATTATAAAATTGCTGAAAATCAAATGTGGTCGTCAAACTATAAGTAGGGTCAGAAATGGCAGGATTGTCATGGGATTGTCATTAACGCACAAGTCGATTGGAGTGGTACAAACAGACCTCAACATTAAAATACCTAAGCTAGCACGCTTCTGAATTCTGAAACAAACGCTGATATCATGTGTTAATTACAAAATGTGGTAGTTGGAGGCTCCTCGATTACTTCTGGAATTCGGCACATCAATAGTGACTTAGAGGCCAATGTAAATTTCACGCCAAAATGCCATCATATATCGGGTGGTCTTGATCCAAGCACGATGAAGGAAAAGTGTTCGGGCTCAAAGTGAAATTATGCTGAAGATTATCTTAACATTATATGCACTTGAATCTTATTCTGGAGAGGATTATGGATTCTAAGAAACTGGTATATTTTAGAGCGGGAAATAATCGCACACAGTATTAAAAGGCCTTGATTTGGCATCGGCGATGCGTGCCGGAATGAACTGAAATAATCTGACCTACCCTGATGGCGAATATTGTTGCCAGCATGGCTAAATTGCGTAGAATAGTAAAAAATAACACAAAACATTAAATATCATTCTCACATAAATATCCCCAAGCATTCAATAAACAAATATGAGATTGTAATGAGGAATATTATTTCCAAATTGTTTTCCCTTGCTATTGACAAGTATGAACGGATCGACTTAAAAGTATTTTTTGAATACACGAACCACGTGTTGCTATTTTAGACGTTTTCCAGATATAATATAATGTACATATATACGGCGAGATAGCTGCTGCGCGCGTCTTGAAATCAATATATTTGACGACGCGCAAAGAAGTTATGTGCTTTCTATAAGTTTGTCTAAAAATTTTGGGCCAAAATTTTCGTAACATCAGATAATTCCTCAGGATACAAACATTGGAATAATTCTTATTCCTAGGAACACTTCTTGTTCCAGAAACTCATCCGCCAACTTCCTTTAACAGTTTTCAGACTAATTCCATCCGAAATTTGTTGTATACAGCTCTTAATTTTGTTTCTATTAACCTATATTCTAACTTACTACGAATTTCGCGTTTGGATTCAGCTTTAGCTACGAAGTACTTACCAAAAACCACGACTGTCCAAGTAATGTCCGGTTTGATTGGTTTAAGTCCAATGTGTGGGTCTTTAATAAAGTCTATATTTTGGCATTGGTTACTATCTTAGCAACCATTCTATTGACAATTGTTTATTTTATGAAGATTGTTCCTATTTTTAGCAAGTGTTTATAGCTATGTTTGATGATAATCGTTCGTGCTTTGCACGATTGTCCCTGCGACATAATACTATAAGTTCGCATTATTGAGAACGACAAATATGAATAGAGCCATCTGATAATTTTGGAGGCAAGTCCTGAATGGAACGATGGACACGAAGTCACGCGGAGGTGTGATGACGTCACGCGAGGGTGTGATGACGTCGGAGGGGGGTACCTTGCAGCGTTTTCGGAATTCTTGCGACGACGAGATGTGATGACGGGTGTGTGATCCTCGGGGTTTTCGCAGTTTTGCCAGAGAGTGCAGAGATCTGCAGCACAGGTGGGCTCTATTTCCTGAGAGAGAATGATGTTATAACACGTACAGTTAAATACATTGTAATCAGTAATGCGTATCCAATGTTCTAATGCACATCAATCAAACAAACTTCAAAAAGGAAGAGATTCCTCCTTGAGATACATCACCGCCGGAATTATTGCTTTTGTTTTAACTCAACAAAGCCCATTTGTTTTTCAATTATTAAATCATGTTTAAGATGTAGGGTAAAATATGGAGCTGTGGATGGAAAGTATGTAACACACAATACAGACATAATAATATATAGAATACACATATTTTTCATATAATACAGTCCAGACAAACCGTTCCATCTCGACTGATTTTAACTTGTTTCCACTCGTTCCACCGGTTCTTTAGATGAGAAGTCTTTGTGAAATCCAGAGGGCTCCTGTAAATATGTTCAATTATATACTCCTGCCCCTCATTTCAGACGAATAAATGTTTGAATTTATTTATTTATTTATTTACTAACAGTGACCAAGTGGAATTCAGGGAAATCAGAACTATGAAAAGCTATCGGATGGAATAAACCCCCTAAAAGAAACAATAATATATTTTTGCAACTTTATTTTGTGAACCTGAGAAATAGCAACTTACTTGTCCAGCCACTGAACCTTGAAGACGTTAGGAAGAAGCCTGAGGATAGGGGTGGACCCAACTATCCAGTGTACATCACCGTTATTAGGACGCGGCATCGACATCATCCGTGCCACTCCTGGGGAACAGCAAGGTTAGGCAGGCTAACAAAGGTTATTTATTTTACCTTAATTAATAAGATGTACTGTCTCAGGTCCTTAATACTTTCTTATCTTGCCATTTCTGGGCATTAGTCTTTACCATTCGTCGAGACCCTTATAACTTAAAGCTTAAACTGTGCGCCTGCGCCAGTGAATTTTTAAATGATAAAATTTGGAGGTTTTTTCAGTTCAAACAGTCGCTGCCATGTTTCGGATAGGTGTTAAATACGGATAAATACTCAGTATGATGGTATATAAATCTACCGTATGATAATTTACATGTAAAATCCAAAATACTGGATCAACAAGGTATCATGTTTTTAGTTTGTAACAGTAGTGTAACTTTGGTAGGTTAGTTATGGAAATATGCGGTTATGACCAGTGCACCCGGACTAACAGATAACTTGGGAAAGTTACCACATGTGCCCCAGTTTGTTGAGAACTAACGATGGAAATAAATAATTCAGCTTAAACTAATATGATGGGGCCATCTGCAAACTTTCACGGTCTATGTATCATTTTTAACTAAAATTAAATTTTTCCATTTGAATGAGCCTCCGTGAATAAACGCCACGAAAATGAGAAAAAAAACTTATTTAAATTACCGCAGCTGTTGAGTGTTGAGTGCTAACAATAAAATTAATAAATTTAGCAGAAAATAAGATTCGGCCATCTGCAAACTTTCACGGTCTAGAGCATTTTTTAATATTAAGGAATGAGAAATAATATAAAGGTTAAACATATCACTAAAAATTATCATTTTCTTAACAACTCAAATAATTTTGGTTTTAGTAACGTTTATCATATCTTTTGAAGATGAAACTACTCGGATGTTAACCACACTCTCTCGAGTGAACTGAAGATACTACACTGAACAGTAGGAACTACATTGAACAGTAGGGAACTACACTGAACAGTAGGGAACTACATTGAACAGTAGGGAACTACACTGAACAGTAGGGAACTACACTGAACAGTAGGGAACTACACTGAACAGTAGGGAACTACACTGAACAGTAGGGAACTACACTGAACAGTAGGGAACTACACTGAACAGTAGGGAACTACACTGAACAGTAGGGAACTACACTGAACAGTAGGGAACTACACTGAACAGTAGGGAACTACACTGAACAGTAGGGAACTACACTGAACAGTAGGGAACTACACTGAACAGTAGGGAACTACATTGAACAGTAGAGAACTACACTGAACAGTAGGGAACTACACTGAACAGTAGGGAACTACACTGAACAGTAGGGAACTACACTGAACAGTAGGGAACTACACTGAACAGTAGGGAACTACACTGAACAGTAGGGAACTACACTGAACAGTAGGGAACTACACTGAACAGTAGGGAATTACACTGAACAGTAGGGAATTACACTGAACAGTAGGGAACTACACTGAACAGTAGGGAACTACACTGGACAGTAGGGAACTACACTGAACAGTAGGGAACTACACTGAACAGTAGGGAACTACACTGAACAGTAGGGAACTACACTGAACAGGGAACTACACTGAACAGTAGGGAACTAAATTGAACAGTAGGGAACTACATTGAACAGTAGGGAACTACACTGAACAGTAGGGAACTACACTGAACAGTAGGGAACTACACTGAACAGTAGGGAACTACACTGAACAGTAGGGAACTACACTGAACAGTAGGGAACTACACTGAACAGTAGGGAACTACACTGAACAGTAGGGAACTACACTGAACAGTAGGGAACTACACTGAACAGTAGGGAACTACACTGAACAGTAGGGAACTACATTGAACAGTAGGGAACTACATTGAACAGTAGGGAACTACACTGAACAGTAGGGAACTACACTGAACAGTAGGGAACTACACTGAACAGTAGGGAACTACACTGAACAGTAGGGAACTACATTGAACAGTAGGGAACTACACTGAACAGTAGGGAACTACACTGAACAGTAGGGAACTACACTGAACAGTAGGGAACTACATTGAACAGTAGGGAACTACACTGAACAGTAGGGAACTACACTGAACAGTAGGGAACTACACTGAACAGTAGGGAACTACACTGAACAGTAGGGAACTACACTGAACAGTAGGGAACTACACTGAACAGTAGGGAACTACACTGAACAGTAGGGAACTACATTGAACAGTAGAGAACTACACTGGACAGTAGGGAACTACATTGAACAGTAGGGAACTACATTGAACAGTAGAGAACTACACTGAACAGTAGGGAACTACACTGAACAGTAGGGAACTACACTGAACAGTAGGGAACTACATTGAACAGTAGGGAACTACATTGAACAGTAGGGAACTACATTGAACAGTAGATTACACACGATCTAGGCCTGCTATTGCAAGCTTATGAAATGTTAATTTGAGCAGTTTGCTCAGGTGTACAATTTCGGGATGGATACAAAATAATTTCGGGCCAGGATTTTGAAAGACAAAATTATCATATTATGCACTATACAATGTTAAAGTATGAGTTGAGTAACTTGAAACTTAACACAGAGTCTAACAATTTTGGAAGTTGAGTAACTTTGAAACTTAACACTTTGAGTCTAACAATTTTGGTTTCCTAGTAAAAACCAATCGGCGATTCAAGATTTTTTATGAAAATGTTTGCTAAGTTAGTAAAATCAACCAGATGCACAAACTAAACAGTTTCTATCTCTATTGTCTCTATCTCACCTTGAAAAGCACCGCTCTCCCGAACACTAAATATCAGAATGACGTGTTTAGTGTGCCTGAAAGCCTCAACCAGCATATCTTCGTTTCGTCTGGGTGTAGCCCACACTCCCTGCAGAGGTTATTCATTATCTTACTACATACGGATTTGCAACAAAATTTGGACAAGAGATAATTTATGAAATCTAGAAGCGAGACACTTCAAGGGTTAATAAACTTATTATCAAATTATATAATCGCTGTAATTAAACCGCTTGAAAAGTTTAAATGGATTAGGCCGCTCGTTTAGCTTCGATTTTCTATTCAAGGCGTGTACATGTAATATAAAGATGAATTTTGGGCTGACAATAAAAATGCGTTATGATTCTAATGGGTGTTGTAATTATTTTCATTACAAAAATTGACGACTTATCAACGATTTGTCTACTCAGGTCTATGTAAAAGAATGGAATCAAAATAAAACAGTGAAAATATAAATTTGACTGGCATGATGGTAAATAACTTAAAACAACGGTTATATGTTCAACTGTTTCAAATGCAAACGAAATAATTATGCTAACGAAATTCGTCAAATTTTATGTCAATTTCAATTATTATTATCTAACTTACCGGCGCTGCAAACCAACAAAAATCTGGTAGCTATAGGAAACTTCACAATCGTCAAATCAATGCACTTCTTAATAAGTTTAATGTTTTCAACTGAAATAGAACCAGTTCGGTACAAGCCCTCAATAAGGTAATACAGACTATCTAAAACCCCTGGTTTCCTAGCGATCAGGATAGCAGATAGGCTCTCACATATCTCCAGTATTTTGTTAACAAGAACCTGCTGGACGGACGTTTTGAGCAGGGTATTCCTAGAAAGTTCTACGATGCAGTTCACCAGGACTTGTTTTTGAGTTCTACGAGAGGGAAGCAATTTTATTTCCTCGTTTTCTGATTTAGGTTTCAGTGTCGCAAATGGGTTGATATCGTCGATATTAATGTCGTTGGTTTTATTAGATTCAGTTTCCATTTCTTCCAGTTCTTCAATATCCTTAGTGTCACATGGTTCATTGGTTTTCATTGTGCTGACAAAGTTAGCTAACAACTCGCACATCCCAACCAGATTCTGAACACTTCTCGGACTTAACTGCACGTGCAAAAAGTTGGCACAACACTTTTCTAAAAGCGGCGAAAACGTATCAACAAACAGTTCACTCTCCTTCATTATTTCCCGAATGTTCCGCACGATATCATCTGTGCTAACTGACAAAACCTCCTCATAATTAGGAACTGAGGTCGGAGGTAACTGCAGAAAACTAACTGTCGATTTCATGAACCGGACACATGAGTCATTAACGTCAATTTGAGAAGGTTGTACTGGCGAACAAGACCTTTGTGAATCTTGTGAATCTTCAGCATCTCTCAAGGCAGCTTTGTGTAAGAGCTGAAGTCTCTCAAGTTCCAACCAGCGAATATATTTCACATCATGGTTGTTCCGGTTGTGCCAGCTGGTGGCCATATTTTCAACATAAATCTCACATTTTACGTCACGTGGTTTTCGCCCGAGTATTGCTATGGCAACGGCTAGTTTCATAGTCTTGAATTCCCATTCTGATATTGCCATTCTACGTAATGAGCGATGTGTGAGTGAATGAAAGTGAAACGTATCTTTCAAAAAGGATAAACGGTATACGTTAATGATTTAGAAAATTTTAAACGACATTAGGTCGACGAAAGTCTACTAAAATAATATTAATTAAATTAAAGAAGACAAACCTTTTCCATTGAGATCTCTACGTTGTCCATGTTATTGCTCTTGATGACAAAATATCGGGCATCAAAACTGTGCCAGTCAGCTTTTGAACCTGTGGTATAAGGCATCACTGAACTATAATTAATCAAATTAACGATTATGTATACTGAGTATCAATTGCGATATAGCTGTAGTTGCGTGAAGCATCGTTAATTCGAGCTGACGTGAGGAAGACAACACAAATTTAAATTCTGACTTTTGTAGTCTGATAATTCTGACCATCCAGCTGAACATAAAAAATGCCTTAAAGACAAAACAAATTTCAATATTATAAAAGCTGAACTATAAGAGATTCAACATTCTATAGAGTAACAAAAGAACACTCAAACTTACTACGTTTAGAGATAGAGCCAGCACTGGAGAGATCACTAGCATAGCTGTTGTTCCCTGCAGAGAGAGCAAGTATTAAACGGCTACAAAAACTAGAAACACTATTTTTTACTACTAATGTTTAACATTTAGGATGTAGGCTTGGTTGCAAAGTATTTATATTGGTAATTAAAGCATATCAAGTTTGAAAGGCAAGTAATTCCACCAGATATCCAAACTAACAAACATGAAACTTACTTGATCTCTTAGGAGAATTTTCGTCCTTAGAGTCTGAATCAGGAGCTGTGATCTTTTTCAATCCTCTCTCTGTTATCTCTTGATCTGAACGCAAGAAAGATACGATAAAACGAGTAAATTTCATCTCAGTAAAAATCCGACAGGTTATGTTAAGTAGTTTTAAAAACTATCTGGTTAAAAATCTTCCGTGATTTGTCAGTAATGGTGTATAATTACCAGATGATTCCCCAATGATGTCGTCGCCTAGAATGTCATCCAAAACCATCTCACTGTTTGTCATGACAATGTCTTTATCGTCATCTTTGGGCTCCTCTTTCACGACAACCGAATCGGATTCAATATCAGACATCGTGAACTATCATAATAATTAATGTAAATTTGTATTACACAAAATTATCAGATTTATTGAATCGTTAAGAGGTTAAGACTTGGATTAAATTTAACGTAAATTTAAGTCTCAAGATCACTTTCTTAAAAGCAGCAATGACTCCTGAAACTTAGTGAAGAGAGAAAGTACAGGACAGGAATGATCTAGGAACCAGGAATAGTGCCTCTAACGAAAGAACTGGTTCACAGATCTCACAATACTATAAAGGAATACTGGTTGACTTCGAAAGTGGGAATACAATGGTGGATAAATTAACAACAAAAGGATCAACTGGAGGCTTGACAACGATATTTAAGTTAATTGTCACTGGAAAAGCTTTCTTAAAAACTAGAAAAAATGTAACAGAGCAGACGTTTTACTGAACATCTCCGAAGTGAGGGCCAAGGAGAGTGGAATATTAGGTGCAGTATGTTCGTGATGCGACAAGACTACTATGTTTGATCGAAGAGTTACTGTGAAAGTTCAGAAAATTCACTCTAGCGCTCGATTCTTCTTACATTTGTGGTAACTGAAAGTGGAGTGCGCGGCGTTTTTATTTATTCGTAACATTTTATATTCACAATTTATAATATTGATTAGATTTTTTGACTGCACCAGCAAGTATATACTAATTTAGCAAAAGTTTTGTTTACTCTTTCAGTTTTCACATTTGAATAGTTTTTAAGCATATATCATGATGATACATACTTTTAATTTTAATGTTTTATGAAATTAAATATGTATTCATTATTATTGAAATCATATTAGTACTATAATATGATCAATTGCAATAATCATATCGTATTAATAATATAATCTTAATCATATATATCATATTTATAATTTAATTTCGATTTTGCTAAACACGCTCAAAAGATGTGATCACTAATATTTTATTATATATTAAGCAATTAAACGATTAAAATATTTGTTGCCATTTTACTGCGCTACTACTAAATCGCTCGCCCAAATTTTAAGAAAATTCTTGTGAAAAGGCCCTTTGGGTATAAAATGGGTCGGAATCGATGTATTTTTGGACGCTGATTCCGAATTTGCTCTAACCAGAGCCCTCTCGCTTGCAGTAGCGCGCGACCGCCGTAGGCGTCACGCAGTACGCGTAGACACATGGCTATGTGAAATTCCGAATCACCCCCCCATGACGTAGGGTAAAAATGCTTACTTGGAGAGTTATGGGCAAAAAACCGTTTTGGTCACGTGACAGGCTAGTAAAATACGAATTCGATTGTTTATGGCTCGGGTTAGGGTTAGGGTTGTGGTAAGGGTTATGGTTAGCTTCGGAGTTATGGTTAGGGTTAGGGTTGGGATTATGGTTTATATAATACCGTTTTGTACGGCTGCAAAACCATAAAAACCAAAGTCACGTGAAATTTTTGGGCGAGCGAATTAGTAAAAGCCATTTTCAATTTTACTGACTCGACAACGTCAATTTTAATATACACTTTTAGTTAGACTAAATGCTTTTATGGCCTTTTGATCAGTATGAAGGAATTAAAAATACATGTTTTTGTCTCTTGACACCAATTGTAGGTTAAACTGGTCCTGATAGTAAATATAAAACGTAACAGTTATAGATAATAAAAACGCCGCGCACTCGACTTTCAGTTACCACAACTTTATATTATATTTACAGGAATCGAGCGCTATCGTGAATTGTCGAACTTTCACAGTAACTCTTCGATCAAACATAGTAGTCTTGTTTTTTTTGTTGATTGAAATAAATTTTCGTGCACATACAGAATGAATGGTTAATAATTTAATATATATGTAGACCAGGCTCTTGTCGCATCATGAACATACTGCACCTAATATTCCACTCTCCTTGGCCCTCACTTCGGAGATGTTCAGTAAAGCTGATAAGGAATAAAACCCAATCCCTACCGTTTGAAGTACTGAGTTTTCTATCTTTAAAAAATTGTCTTTTCTCAATTTGTGTCCGTTTATTTGATTCTTGTAAGATCTATTTTCGGTCTTTCATTGTAAGAGTTCCGAGATTTTTTGGTTGAGAATGTCCAACATAACATACATGAAACTTGACTGCTTTATTGACCCGGGTAGGAACCGGGGCCGGGATAGACATCCCAACACCAGGGCGTTGGGCCATAGTGTTGGGCTGCTTTAGGATGTGTTGGATCCCAGAGAAGTTGCCATTAAATGTTATAATTAAATATTAACATCAAAATATTCTATAATTCATGCTTCTCAGATTCCAAGGACTGAGCTGATAAGATGTACCCAATAGCAGTGGCGTAACGTTGCCTGTTGGCGCCCCCCGCCGAAAAGGCGCCCCCCTGTTGGCGCCCCCTCCCCTTTTGGTGCCCCTCCCTAAAATTGAACAAATTAGGTGATTTTAGAGGATGAGCCGGTAAAATCTCTAAAAAAGTGTGTATCTAGAGCAAAACGCGCAGTTTTGCTAGTACTTTAGTTAAGTTTTCGAAATTGTCCCACATTCAAACGACGATTTGGCGCCCCCCTAAGACGGCGCCCCCCTGCACAGCGGGGTCAGCGGGGCCCTTTGTTACGCCACTGCCCAATAGAATGCTATTAATCTGACTACAGTGATATCTTTGAATTTTTTGCCAGGCTGTTCAATTTACCATTGTGAACAAAAGTGCAAGATTCACAATATCTCGTAAACTTTCACTTTTTAGGAATATGTCCTTGCATGAATAATAGTAACCCAAATACACCCCGCGGAAGGGGGAGAGGCAGAGGAAAGCCTACCCAAACAACAGGTTATTATCCTTTAAACATTTTCAAGTGCTGATTAAAATCAATTTTTATAGCTTTAACGACTTACATCTATAGTAGGTCTCTCCGGGCAGTAAAGGTTTAGTGTAATCGATTGCACTGCTTGTGGTAAGCACCAAACCTCTACCTATTTCAAAATGCCGTCAATGTAACTCATAGCTCCTATGCTATGGTTACAGTTCTCTTGGCTTGCCAAGATGGACTCTTTAATTCAATCTATTCCTGCTATGGTTTCTGTACCAGTGGTACACAAAGAACAATCGTCTCACTTTTGATTTACTTTCTAGCAATTTCTACTTTCTGTCAACTGAAGCTCAACTTGGACAATGCCTAGACGTTCAGCCAAACGTGTGTAGATTGGATGGTTGAACTGCATTGTAGATGTTTTTTAATGCTTTGTTAAGTCTGCATATGAGCAATCTTGAATTGGTTGTTGTGAAAAACCTTAGTCCACAACTGAGTCAGTATTCACTACCCACTGATACCTTATTGTGTTTTCTGCATGAGCAGTTTTTACAGTTTAGGTTTTTACAGTTTAGGTTTTAACCCTTTTTCCTTAGTTAAGAATGTTTTATCCTCCAAGTCTTAATATTGCATCTAAAAGGTTAGCTACATAATATGACATTATTTTGCATTCATGTACATGGCATGTTATTTCATTAGTCATTACTTACTTGCATGTACTGTGCCATATTTGCAATGCCCATTGTCCATCTATTTTTCAGAGGGACAAGCCAGTGCTCAGAGTACATGTTGGGTCATTTTCATTTAACTCTAGTAGTAACTATGTAACTTCGAAGGTGTTGCTCTTTATTAGCAGATATTATTGCAGTGATATTAATGTCTGCACGAAGATATCTTAATGGTTATTATTACAATCATTAGCAATTTTATTATCTAGCAACAAAATTAAGTTTTCCCAAAAAACATATCTTATATAGAAAAAATAAATAACAATTATATTACATAACTAGTGAATAGCAAATCTTAACCAGGTCCAGTAGGATCAACTCCAGCAACACCCCAACAGAATCCTACTCCTATCAACTCACCACAGAACCAAAACGAACAGAAGTCACCACAACGAAATGTACCTACCGGCAGGGGAAGGGGACGAGCTCAACATAAAAAACCCGGAGCTGATGAACCAGCACAACAAACACCTTCTCCTGAAAAAGAACCTCTGGTTTGAAATATTTCGATATTTTCACTCGTATGATATACGGAATCATATGGTTATTGATTGAATAAGTGCCTCCAAGCTGGCCATTATTAATGCATTATCTAATTATCTATCTGATAGGATGGTGTGTGACTGTAACGGGTCCGCATGACTGCAAAAGTCAGTACGTTTAACGCCTCGAGGAAGATCGCAGGATTCCTAGTCTACGCTACTCTTTTCATCATGGCTACGACACTCAATTTTGGGACATGGAATGTTTGCGGTCTATCGACCACATACAGGCAACACTTCGTTGCAGAGGACATTGACAGATATAACTTAGACATTTTAGCACTTCAGGAGACCAAGACACGTGAATACTTGGAAACAACACTCCCTGGACATCATCGATTGTTTTTGTTTGATCAGAGACACGATAGACACGGTGGACTTGGGTTTATTGTTAACAAGCGTTTTTTGGAATGTATAGTATCGCATCATCAGATCAGTGACAGAGTTGTTTATATGGACTTTAAATTAAGTGCTAAAAGGGTGGATCAACCACCTTGTCATATCAGAATTGTTAATTGTTACAGCCCTACGAATCCCAAGTCAGTTCAGAATCCCCGATTAGCAACCCAATTTTACGATGAGCTACTCGAGGCTATCAGTGTACCTGCTAGATTTGAAGTATGGATGTTAGGCGACTTTAATGCCAAACTTGGCAAAAGAAGCCCTGTTGATGTAGAAAATGGTTTACATGTGAATATTGGTAGACATGGTGTTGGGAGGAGGAATGAAAACGGTGAAAGGTTGCTACACTTTCTCACTGCTAATGGCCTGTTTGCTGCCAACACTTCATTCTCCCATAACAGCAGACACATTACCACACGGACTGGTTGGATTCGGGATCGAGCAACCAGGAAAAGTAAACCTTATTTCCAACAGATTGACTTCATACTCTGCAAGTCCAGAAGCAAGGCACTGCTAACTGATGCCAGGTCATATGCAGGTACAAAGCACCGCAGTGACCACAAACTTGTTGTTGCCAAGGCAGATTTTTCGCAGCGCTTCATTTTGTACAGGGAGAGCAGAGCTTTTCAGAAGACTTATAACACAACAACCTTGATTGGAAGCAAACAGGCTCAACAACAATATCAGCAAGAACTTCGTCAGAAACTCGAGCAAACTGTATCAGATCCTGACTTTACCTCCAACAACACGGAACAGCAATTTGATATGCTTTTTGGTGAAGTTAAAGAAGCTGCTGTTTCCACTGTGGGTTTTCGCGAGCCACAGCGAAAGAGGAATCATTCCTCTGACAGTCAAGTTGTTAGCATGTCTGAAGAAAGGAAACAACTTTTACAACAACTGAACAACAACGAATACAGAGACAGGACAGCTCTCAGAGCTAAAATCAACAGGCTCTCAAACGACATTACTAAACGGTTGAAAACATTGAGAGTTGAGTTAGCAAACAGCCTAGCTAACTCTATAGCCACCATAGACGAAGGACGGAGAATGTTTGAAGCTGCTCGTCAACTATCAGGCAAACAGAAAACGGGTGCAGGCTCTGTGTCTGTTTTCAACAGTGACAACCAACTGGTAGATAATGAACGAGACAAGGCTGAAATCATTCGCCAGTACTTCGAAGAACACTACACTGGACCTGACAGTGAACCACCACTAGAACCGTTCACAGGTAACCCTAGGCCCCTTCAAAACCCCATTACAGCGTTTGAAGTTGAGCTTGCGGCCAAGAAACTCAAGAACGGTAAAGCTGTTGGACCAGATGGGATCCCAAACGAATTTCTCAAACACTCTCCTGAAATATTTTTTTCCACATTTGCACAACTTACTAATCGATCCTTTGAGCTCCATGAACATGTACCTTCTTTCACAGAGGGATACCTTACTCCGCTCCAAAAACCTGGAAAGCCACTAGGCCCCCCTAAGAGTTTGCGCCCACTTTGCCTACTAAACGGTACTAGAAAGATATTGTCCATGATAGTCTTAAAGCGCATCCAAAGGCAAGTATCTCAATACACTGGTCCTTGGCAGAATGCCTATAAACCTGGCCATAGTTGTGCAAATATCGTTTGGACCCAGCGAATACTAGTGTCAGTTGTCAAAGAAAAACGCTGGTCTTTTCATAAGATGGGCATTGACATGTCCTCTGCTTTTGATACCATAAAGAGGTCGGTATTACTTGACATTTTAGCTGATGCTGGTTGTAGTGAGGACGACATTCGACTGGTAAGGTATTTGCTCGCAAATACTAAACTGAAGATCAAAGTGAACTCAACAATATCGGGAGAGTTTATTGTCACAATTGGAGCTTTTCAAGGCGACAGTTTGTCTGGAAACTTGTTCACTCTATATCTGGCAGCAGCACTTTACCACCTGCGTGCTGTTATGTCCTATCTAAGACCTAACCCTCCCATAGCTGAGAATCTGTTACCCCTCGAGTGGGAGTATGCAGATGATGCTGATTTTACTGATGAGGATAAAAGCAACTTGGAGTCTTTGTTGCCAATATGTAAAGAGATATTGGAAGAGTGGAATCTTTTTGTCAATGAGTCAAAAACCGAATTCACCCACTTCTATCTGGCCGGAAAGAACGAGGTTGATGACAAAGGAGAGACACTCAGAGGTAGAGAATCTTGGAGGTCATCTATCTCTTTAGGCTCTAAGTTGTGTAGCATCGAAGATGTCAAGAGACGATGTATACTTGCTAACATTGCTTTTCAGAACTACAAAAAAGTCTGGGAACAAGGTAGACGTATACCCTTGAAGATTCGACTCAAGATATATGAAGCACAAGTTGTTTCAATACTGATGTATAATTGCAACAGTTGGGCAACATCTAAACAACTCCTTCAAAAACTTGATGTCTGCCACAGGAATCATCTCCGTACGATCATCGGCATGACCTACCCTAATGTCATACGAAATGTGACTCTATACAAACGCTGCGAAGTTGTTCCACTAAGTGAGCGTGTTGCTCGTGCACGGTGGAGAATGCTCGGTCACATCCTCCGCAGTGATAATAACTCACCTGCCCAGCTTGCCTTACATTTTGCTGTAGAGAGTCAGAGTTTGATGAGAGGTAGAGTCGGACGACACCAGTCAAACTTGTTAAAAACTATTTTGAACGATTTAAGTGACAGAAACTTTAGACTTGTAAATACAGACGATTTATACCATTTAAGACTTTTTGCAACAGATAGAAAAGCATGGAGAGAGTTAAGCATGATTTAGTTTATTCTGTGTTATTTTTCTCTTGGTGACTTATCAGGTCATCAAGATGTTCTTTATGTTCTATTTTTGATTTGAATAAAGTTATATAATAATAATTATCTAAATAAAAGACTAATTTAAAACTGTACAGGCAAACCAAGTTGCAGAGCTACAGATAGCACCAAAATATGACGCAAATGGAAAGATAATAAACCCCTGGACATCAAAAAATAAAACCTTGGAATTGATGCACAGGTTTGTGAGAGGTGTGGGTAATCTGCTCGAAAATTCTGCCAGTTCAGATTGTTCTATTTTCGGCTCTAAAATTTGTACTGATTTTCTACAGAATGGCTGTGTTCTAAAACATTCAGTCAAGCGTTTTTATCTGGAACTTATTAATTTTCGATATCTGCCAGGAAGGACTATGGAGTGGAAGGGAAACCTATCGACTTATATACTAATTTTTACGAGATTAATCACAAACCTACTATGAAGATACATCAGTACGAAATAACAATTGAGGTAAAGTTACATCGTTTAATAGAAATAAAATTAGATTTAATTTTAGTTTGGATATAAACCCTGTTAACCTCTTAGTCTCGTTTCAATCTTTTTAATGACACATTTTAAACTTACGTAGCAATGCTCACACATTTTCTACATTAAAAAGCATCCGCTTGTCATATGATTAAAAAATCCGAAACACAGATGCACAGATTTAGATAGGAAAATGTTTGCGTCAAAAAGGTGAGTTCGGCTTTTTAAGCACATCTAACTAAGAAAACGTTTGATGATTAAAAGTTTGATAGTAAATACTGTTGCAGATTCCAGAGAAAATACTGAAATCCAACAAAAGTTTAGCAGTAGATATTTTTAACAGAATGGTCTCCGACTACAGAGACGTGTACTTCACAGGTTCGTAACTAATGTTAATTAGGAATTTACGTTTTATACTAATTGCTTATCATCGTTGTATAGTGTATACTTACTAATCATCAGGATTCACTCTGGCAAATTCATTATTCGGCTAATTTTATTTACAATTTTTTCAGGTATTCATCCGGTGTTTGATGGTAGTCGGATCATGTACACTAATAAACGTATTCCAAACCTTGATAAGATGGTAAGCTGTTTGCCTCATGGTTCCTTATTATACCATCTAAGAGCATATATATGGGAACCATAATGCTATCATGCTAATCCATAATGAAATGTCGGTATATTTAATATTGACCGTTTAACGATAAGAAATTTGTGGTCATTACATTTCAATTTTTATCTTGAATTTTTTGTATGGAAATATTCAAATGAGTTTTTTCACACGAATCTAACACCTGATGAATGATAATTTGCAGATTCAACTGCCAGTAAAGTTCCAAAGTAACATTACGCGGCTTGAAGCAATCAACATTCAGATACGGCCCACTCAGGGTGTAATAGAATTCTCTGAAATAGAGGTACGTGTACACTTCAACACTTATATAAAAAACTGTGCACACAATTAACATGTTCAGTTGGCCTTTCATCTGCTGACTGGATAAATATAATAATCTACAATTGATCGAATATGTTTACATTAAATTACACATTTATAGTTGTAATCTTTCTCCTTTGCTAAATAAAATGTATAACAGTTATATAATATATTGTATATGGAAAATCACATGGTGTTCTTCACTCTATACTATAATAATTAATAATTATGTCTTGAAATATTTTTATTCATGAACTTTGAACCCCGTGTACTAACACACAGCAACCTATTCCGCAGAAAGTGTACAAAAACGAGACCAAAGATTTACCTTACAACCTATTCTCGTGCGCCGACATAATCCTTGGCTTCATGCCAAAAATGAGCTACGTGAGCTACGGAAGGAACTATTTCCCACGTGGTCAAACCGTTGCTGATCTAGGGAATGGTATTCAACTCTGGTCCGGTTCTGTTATGGCAGTTAAACCAGGTTAGGAATGTTTAATTCCACACGTGTTACTCACGTGTTACTATTTACTAATCTCACACCTGTTACTCTGGGCTCTGGAATAATGACGTTATGTCATACAGTCCCCACCCATTGCGTAGTTTATTACCATACACATGTTGCTGTACTCGTTAAATTGTTTATTGTACTGAACCAACACATTGAATCCCCAGAGATGTCCTCAGTGTTGTATGTAATTAGACCCATTCACCTAAGATAAAGCTCGATGTGTACATTTTAATGAACCATATAACAATGAGTTAAATTGTTACTGAAACAAGTTACAATGAGTTACATTGTTACTGAAACCATTTACAATGAGTTACATTGTTACTGAAACCAGTTACAATGAGTTACATTGTTACTGAAACCAGTAACAATGAGTTACATTGTTACTGAAACCAGTTACAATGAGTTACATTGTTACTGAAACCAGTTACAATGAGTTATGTATTGTTACTGAAACCAGTTACAATGAGTTACATTGTTACTGAAACAAGTTACAATGAGTTACATTGTAACTGAAACCAGTTACAATGAGTTACATTGTTACTGAAACCAGTTACAATGAGTTACATTGTAACTGAAACCAGTTACAATGAGTTACATTGTAACTGAAACCAGTTACAATGAGTTACATTGTTACTGAAACCAGTTACAATGAGTTACATTGTTACTGAAACCAGTTACAATGAGTTACATTGTTACTGAAACCAGTTACAATGAGTTACATTGTTACTGAAACCAGTCACAATGAGTTACATTGTTACTGAAACAAGTTACAATGAGTTACATTGTTACTGAAACAAGTTACAATGAGTTACATTGTTACTGAAACAAGTTACAATGAGTTACATTGTTACTGAAACCAGTTACAATGAGTTACATTGTTACTGAAACCAGTTACAATGAGTTATGTATTGTTACTGAAACCAGTTACAATGAGTTACATTGTTACTGAAACCAGTTACAATGAGTTACATTGTTACTGAAACTAGTTACAATGAGTTACATTGTTACTGAAACCAGTTACAATGAGTTACATTGTAACTGAAACCAGTTACAATGAGTTACATTGTTACTGAAACAAGTTACAATGAGTTACATTGTTACTGAAACCAGTTACAATGAGTTACATTGTTACTGAAACCAGTTACAATGAGTTACATTGTTACTGAAACCAGTTACAATGAGTTACATTGTTAATGAAACCAGTTACAATGAGTTACATTGTTACTGAAACCAGTTACAATGAGTTACATTGTTACTGAAACAAGTTACAATGAGTTATATTGTAACTGAAACCAGTTACAATGAGTTACATTTTTACTGAAACCAGTTACAATGAGTTACATTGTTACTGAAACAAGTTACAATGAGTTATATTGTAACTGAAACCAGTTACAATGAGTTACATTTTTACTGAAACCAGTTACAATGAGTTACATTATAACTGAAACCTGCAGCTGCCGACGTTTGAGGGGATCTCAGGATCTGGCAATTATGCTTTATAGCTGCTTTATCACAAACAAGCCATTGTTAAACTTTACTCCTCAGTGTCGAGTATAAGTGCCAGTAACTGATTTACAGTAGGGCAAACTGCCTGTTTAACTTTGTCTCTTCACGTTTACGTCTTAATTTGTTAAATAAACTTTAAATTTAATTTGTTGTCTTAAATACAGTTTGTTTAGTTAGTTGGAAATTTATTAAAATTCTTTTCAGGGCAGTGGAAGTTACTGGTGAATATCGACGAGAAGCACACTGCATTTTACAAGGAGCAGAGTTTAAAAGATTTTCTCACCAGTATTTATCCGAACAGACAGAGCTTCAAGTCATTTGAAATTAGTAAGGTTGGTCAATAATAATACCTTATCGGACCTTATTTGAACGGACAATAAACAGCAATGTCTTATAAATACTGCTTGACTATTGGTAAAGTGTCTTCTTTATTTCAAATGTAAACTAATTTAAACTCCCTGAGCTGGGGAGATACATCATGATTATCTGAGATATAATTGTTCGCACATTCTAATTTACACGTGTTAGCTTTTCTGAACAACTTGCTTAAGTTTCCGGGGTTCGTAAAGTCCCAACTTCCACTCCAGAGCTTCGTTTGTTCATGGGTGAAGTTAAACTGTTGGTTAATTAATTTATAATAGATTGATTATGATAATAGATTAATTAATATAATTTTTAGATAAACGATCACTTGAAAGGGTTACAAGTACAAGTAACACACAACGGACATCCCAGAAAACATCGTGTAGTTGCCTTAAAAGAGGAGCCTGCTAACAAACATCTAATGACTGGTAAAATATCTTACAGTTAAAATATTAATTAAGTATTAATTAAGTATTAATTAAGTATTAATTAAGTATTAATTAAGTAATAATTAAGTATTAATTAAGTATTAATTAAAGCTCACAATTTAATATGACGATTTGTATATTTCTGTATATAATTTATTAAAATCTTCTGTTGTTTGTTTTCCAAATTCCAGGTTACTCTGTTTACTTTTTACAATATCTTGTTACATGTGTGTTACATGTGTGTTACATGTGTGTTACATGTGTGTTACATGTGTGTTACATATGTGTTACATGTGCAGTGTGTTACATGTGTGTTACATGTATGTTACATGTGTTTTACATGTGGGTTACATGTGTGTTACATGTGTGTTACATGTGTGTTACATGTGTGTTACACGTGTGTTACATGTGTGTTACATGTGTGTTACACGTGTGTTACATGTGTGTTACACGTGTGTTACACGTGTGTTACATGTGTGTTACATGTGTGTTACATGTGTGTTACACGTGTGTTACATGTGTGTTACATGTATGTTACATGTGTGTTACATGTATGTTACACGTGTTTTACATGTGGGTTACATGTGTGTTACATGTGTGTTACATGTGTGTTACATGTGTGTTACATGTGTGTTACATGTGTGTTACATGTGTGTTACATGTGTGTTACACGTGTGTTTACTTCAGACAACAACACGGGTCTGAAGATGACGATAGAATCTTACTTCAAGAAAAACAAGGATATCACTTTACAGTTCCCTCAGCTGCCTTGTGTTCAGGTATGACTTTTAATTTAACAGTAATTATCCTCAATTTTGTTCCGCCCATCAAAAATAGTCTTAGGTATAGTTAAGTAGTAAAAGGTAATTAAGTAGTAAAAGGCAATTTTTGAAACATGGTATTTTAGTATTGTTTGAATATGTTACTGTTAACTTTATTGGGTTTATTCCGCATAACTCCAAACAACCTCCTACAATAACTGGGACTGTGTTCAGGTTGAGCCGAAGAACAGAGATATCTACCTTCCTGTTGAGCTCTGCACTATTGTGGAGGGGCAGCGTTGTATCAGGTACCACACTTTATACAATATACATATACTTTGAAATTTCTTCGTGGGGTTGATACGTTGAATCCGTAGTCTATAAGTAACTGTGCTTTAATTAATAATTACCTAATGGCCCTTTAATAGCTCCTTGTTTGGTCTGATTAGATCACAGTGTGTACTTTTAACTTCTGGTCATGGCAAATTTGAATTTAGTCGGGGTCTTAGAATAACATTAAAGGGGCGTATAATTTGATTAATATGATTATTATGATATGCTTTCTGTCATTTTCAACTGCATAAAACTTACTTAATTAACTGCAAAGAATTACTATTTACCAATTACCACACAAATTTACGAAAATTTTTAGGAAATTGCTTCAATTATGTGGATTCTTGGAAATGTGATCTGAATACCATGTAAATAGAAACTTTTTACTAGGTCGCTATCAGAAAAGCAGATTGCAGATATCATCAGAACATCCGCTAAAAGACCGGATGTGAAAAAACGAAACATCGATTCTGCAGCAAAGAAACTCATCGATTCTAGTTACGAGTTAGCTAAGGTGAGGATTGGTTTTATTTCATTATATTGTAATAACTTTATTCAAATAAAAAAGAAATAAATGAACATTTAAGTAGCCAGAAAAAGAAAGAAATACGGATGCACAAACTAAAACAAATTCTTCCATCCTGCTGGATTATTGTTCATAATTTATAATCTTTTGCATCTATTTGTTTTCGTATCTATGAACATGCAGCACATTCGAATTGATTAAAGATGTACGAGTCTGTATTATATTGTCACACTAAGGCTAAAGTCCATAACACCGTGCTATATTAATAAGTAATAGATCTGGATACATGTGGGGAACTGATTGGTAAGTTACTGTTACGGGTCAGTTGTGAGAAACAGTCGGAAACTTAACGACTCCTTTTTGGTGATTCCTTATCCACCACAAACTTCTCCTTCACCACATCCACATTCTCCTCGCTGATAACGTTGAAATCTTTGATCTTCAGTTTCCCACTCTGCATGCACTGCACGAATCTCTTCCCCTTGAAATACAGCTCATAACACTTCTTACTGTCCGGGAACTTGCCAGACAAGGTCACCGCTCCCGCCTTCTTCTGGATCTTAACCTTCAGTTTCAGTTCTTTCTGAGCTCCACTAGTGAGGAACTTGAAGTCTGCGTTCGTTGGTTCCGTGCCTAAGGCTTCGTCTTTGAGGAGTGAGTTGTAGAACCGACCGTATTTCTCTGATCCTACCATGACCTTTATCTTGAATTTCTTCCTGAAACATATTGTAATTATCCATCATGATTTAGGTGTTAATAGGTGTCAATTGGCATGAAATTTGTTGTATTGCCGATATGTGGCTGCAGGATTGAGGATGATTATATATATTAACTCTGCTACCTCTACTACTACTCTGCCGTTTCACCATTATAAGAACTATCTTGGTATCACAGTTTCATTGTATCTTAACTGCGGAAGGCCCCGGAAGAGGTAATAGTGGCGCTAATACTTACAGACTGTGAAACTGACAACTGTGACTTACACGGTGTTTGTGACTGACAAGAAGACGACTTTAATAGGGATATAGTTGTGTTCCCAACAGTACACAGCCGCAGCCTGGTCCATATTACATGGCATCGTGGCGTCCTTGTAGTCCGTTACCGTACACGTCTGTAGAAATACTCTTGGTTTGATCAAGTTTAATAACGTTAATTATGCTAATTAAATCTAATTAATTAAAATAACGTTAATTATGCTAATTATAACTACTTGATTAGTGGTGAAGTAAACAATACAGCAACAGTAACCAACAAAAAAAAGTAACCGACCGACGTAGCTCCAAGCTCGTCGTTAGTGAGTGCAACAAAGTCAAAACAGTTCAACATTGTTCTTGCGAATTCGTCTTTAGTCGTAAAACTCGCGCGACGCCCCCGACGATATCCGTTCATTTTGCAGAATTCTGAAGCTTCCAGGTCGTACCAGTAGTCGTCGCAAATAGGACTCATTTTTTTAATACCTAACTGCTTCTGCACAACTGAAGGAATGATAAGTGAAAGAGACACAACACTGCGCAAACATTGTAATACTATAAAATATTAATCGATGCCAAAAATTTTCCAAATTATCTCAAATAATAGCCCGATCTTAACGTACCGTTAGAATTATCAATTAGTATGGGCATGGCACCAGTTTCATCGGGAGCTCCAAGCTCATACTCCTGAAAAAACTCAACAGGAAACCACGTTGTATCGGGCTGTGCGGTCTCAAGCCTAAACTCCCAGGGTGTGGTCGCTGTACTGAACCGGTATAAACCAGCGCGGACCGTGCATAAAAGCGCCAAAAAATGTAACAACATATTCAGAGACGAATATCTGAAGTGAGGGAGGCTTTGGTTGAGGCTTGATTTTCTATCGGAATTTCGTTGTCTCGTGACGGGATAGTTTTCAATTTGCAAGTACCCTATTAGTGCTTACTTACTTATGTTCTTGTAAATAATTAGTACCAGTTTAAATTTCGATTATTTTGGCCTACTTTGTGGCTCCACTCTTGTAACTAATACTCATTTTGACGGTAAGAAATTTTCATGAGTTCATAATTTCATTTAAGTTTTATTATGGACCTTAACAAAAGTAACGGACTGTATCGGACAATCACCGTATTTAAGAAGCTAATGGTATCCTGTCGTCCATCCTCATTCGTCAGCCGTAGCGAAATATGTTGCCTGATCATCAATTGCACAAACAAACAAATATCATCGGAAGATAGTTATGATATATAATATACTAATAGTCTACTTATACTGTGAGACAGTATACCTCAGCTCAGTTAGCATTTAACTATTAATCAAACTTAGGATCTGCTTGCATTTCTCGTCATTACTTCAGACTGTTATCGTATTGTCGCCAGTCAATTTTGGTGTAATCTTGAACAGCTCTACCACAGAAACTCAAGGAGTTGAAATAAGTGGCGATGATTATGAAAAGCTAAACTTCACGTATATATTGCAATTATAAACTATCCTAAATACAGTAAAAAAAACCCGATTTTCCGCGGAGTTTAGAGAAAGTAAACAGCCGCTGTGAATCAGAGTTTGCGGCAAATCGGGGTTCTGCTGTACAGAGCTATATATAAAACTATATAAAGAACTTTGCGAAGAGCTTTATAAAGAGCTTTATAAAGAGCTTTATAAAGAGCTTTGTAAAGAGCTTTGTAAAGAGCTTTGTAAAGAGCTTTATAAAGAGCTTTGTAAAGAGCTTTATAAAGAGCTTTATAAAGAGCTTTGTAAAGAGCTTTGTAAAGAGCTTTGTAAAGAGCTTTATAAAGAGCTTTGTAAAGAGCTTTGTAAAGAGCTTCATGAAGAGATTTATGAAAAGAGTCTAATAAAGAGTTACAATCAAGCACAGCTTTCAAGCTCCCATGCTGGTCCGGATTGTAAGAAGTATCTTTTGAAGCTTGCTTAATTTCTCGATGTCCTGCAGCTGTCTTAATACCTGAAATTTTCCAATGTGCCCATCGGATACAGTATTAACAATTTAATACGAATAGTGAATTTCAGCAAGTTAAGATGATCGTGTTTCATCAGGTGATACATTTAGCAATTAGCATGGCAGTTAGCATGGCAGTCAATCTTAAGATGTTATTTTCGAGTGTGCTCTTTCTACAGTTACATGTTCACCAATCTTTTTGTATCTTGTGCGATTTCACTTTAACATTGTTCTTCCGTATCTTCAAACTGGATATAATAACTCAGAATAAGGACTAGAGAACTTAATACTTAAATAAGAACTTGCGATCATCTTACCAAAAGGAGTAGCAGCTGGGAATAGCTTACAAAGTTACAAGATAAAACAACAGCAGAACCTAACGTCTCACTGAATAAAGGGACTTGAGAATACCTATTATTAACTAAATCATTCAGAGAGTTAACACTGAATGATCGAGAGTGGGGCATACGTAATAATGTTGGTGTTAGTAGTGGTTATAATAGTGTTGTTACTTGTGGTTCTTTGTTTGGTCCGGTCCTACAAAAGAACACTCAGACAGTTTTCTCTCAGGGGATGCCCTGTTATCAGCAAACCTTCTGATACTGATAGTCACATTGTTTCTTCTACTTATCATGGGAAGCCCAGGAATCCGTTACCAAATAGAAAGTTTTGAGTGAACGTGGCCCGTTTGCCTTGTTTTAGTTGATTTTGATTCAACATTTTCAATTGTAGATACTGGTTTGGAGCGAGTATTTCTATTTTGAGATATTATATGTATACAATAATAATATTTATATTTTGAGATATTATTATATGTATACAATAACGTTTGTATTTAACAAATGAAGGTTGTCAGAGCAAAAAAATAGCCGTATTATTTCATTTACAATAAATATCACATTATTAATAAATGACAGATTTCAAATAGTAATTTTGTTTGTAATCGACCCATGTCCCATGGGTTATGGACTGCTCGAGTGGTCCACTCTCAAACGATAATTTTACAATTACGGTATATAATAAATTACGTATATAATAAATTTCAAACAATAAAATCCTTAGAAAACAATCTACCAAACATAGTACTCAATACTGCAACTGGAATTTAACGTTTAATATTTCAGAGCTACGGACTAGAGTTGAGTGACAGACCTATGAAGGTGAAGGGAAGAGTGTTGCAGGCTCCCAACCTAACCTACGGTAACGGCAGCGTTACGGCAAGTGCTGGACAGTGGCGGGGAAAAAGGTACTTTCTCACGTCATAACTTTTCAGCTCTCATGTTTAATGTTTTCCATCACAATTATATGTTGTCTCGTAGTCAAAAATTTCTTTTAACAATAAATTATCTGCCCCTGAAATATTGCTATCTGCCATATTTTGGCGAATTATAAAATTAAGCCTAGTGGATATCAAACATAAGTTTGCTTATGTTCGAGTCACATTGAAACGTTGAATAATTCCTTTCCTGATAAGAGCCTTTTCCTTGTCACATCAAACAGGATCAATAGAAATTTACCCAAGAAAACATAAGTTAGCTTGTTACAGATGAAATACTGATAATAATTATCAGGATGAAGACCTCTAGATCCCTTACTAATTGGGGCCTCATGAGCATGGCCTCTAAAGACCGGTTCGACCCAAGAAAGTTCAAGAATGATCTTGCAAAGGAGGGATCCAATATGGGGATCATCTTTAGTGATCCTGTGGTTGTTAGATACGTCGAGGAACGAAGTGAGTTGACTCTTTCTCTGTGTATTGAAATTTAATTCCTCATGGTTTGAGTCATAGATGAGATAAAACATTTACAACAGTTAAAGCTGATAATCTTAATTAAATTATAATTTGCTTTATCAATTTGTAATATTCTAAATCCTCATCCACCCAAACCAAATTAATCAATCACAGTTAATTAACTATTTACTAATCACCAATCTATTTGCCCAGATTTCCTGCGAATAGGAGAAGAGATAATAGAACAACACAAGAACCTACAGTACATGTTCGTGATCCTACCACCTAACACAAACAACAACACATACAGCATGGTTAAAGAGATGGAGGTCTCCTCCGGGGTCCTTACTCAGTGTATCAGATTAGGTCAGTTACTTAATTAATTAGTTTTTGTTAATCACTTGATAACTTACTTAATTAAATAGTTGGAAAGTGCTCTCAAATCTAGTGAAAACACGGGCAAGTTCAAGCCATATCAATAGCTGGTAATAACTTGATAGTTATCAAGCACCAATGATGCCATGAAAATTTTAATTTGTGCAAATAAATTTATAATTAAGTTAAATATCTGTAAGTATGAGTAAGTTTACATCAAGAATTTAAAACATTGAAATGATTATATATGTTTTGTGTAAGTATCACCATGACTTGCCACATTAGTGATGTGGCTAGAATAGTTATCCTTAGGACACGTCGCTTAAGATCACAATGTAATGTTATTCCTGGCCGCTAAATTAAGATATATGTTACATCCGTCCAAAAGATTATACATATTTCCATCCCGGCTTGGTTACAATCAAATATCTGGGGAAAGCAGCCAATTGGTCCACGTAAGTTAAACACAGTGATTTCCCCTGCAATCTGAGTGAACTCTAATTCACCCAGATTCAATATACGCTACACAACTTCACAAATATTCGATTAAAATCTCCTTCAATCAGACACGTATCAGAAGAAGTTCAAACCCCAAACGTTGGGTAACATTCTACTAAAAACAAACACCAAACTAGGAGGAGTCAACTGGGAGGTTAGTACTGGAATTATAGGTTTATGTTTGATATCACAACCAGCAACCTGCAACCTGCAACCTGCAACCTGCAACCCAGTCATGATACAATGCTAAATAACTTAATAAAATCGGTCAATTTAATAGAATCTATTAGTATTCATTTTTATTTACTATTTATAATTTTTCTTCTTCTAAATCTTAACCTTGATCTCAGTTGGCGTACAACATGTCACCGCTAGCAAACCAGATGGGAAAGTTTGTGTTCAGCGAACCGGTAATGATAGTTGGAGCAGATGTCACCCATTGGGCTAGAGGTATGTTTGAAATGGAGCATCTACAGTTGGTTTATCGTCGGGGTTTGAATTTCAAATTACCATGGCATAGGAACCAAACTTTATTTCACCATTGTATTCTGTACTTCAAAGTACAATGTACATTGTACAGTGAGAGCCTTAATTAACGCTACATAACTTATTCAATACACTGAAACTAAAGATTCTGGCAGGTTTCCAAACGAATTTATCGCGTGACACTAAACCACCAATAACTTCCAGACGAAGGGAACAAGCCCTCAATAGCAGGTGTAGTGTGTACGCTAGACCGAGCGTGCAGTAAGTACGCCAGTAGAATCCGACTTCAACACCACAAACGGAACAGAACTTCAGATGAGATTATCCGCGATTTCAAGGTAGGGTGAGGGTAGGGTGATTTCAAGGTAGGGTGAGGGTAGGGTGATTTCAAGTTAGGGTGAGGGTAGGGTGATTTCAAGGTAGGTGATTTCAAGGTTATTTCTGGTGCTGTTTTTATGGATGACGCTAAAATTTAGTAATTTTTATATCATAAATTCGATTATGACACAGTCAAATTTGTGATAAAATATCAGCTTTCCTCCGTCAATTCCATTAAACAACGTCCTCCAATTTAACTGATCAATTTTCAGGAAATAATGAAGGAACTGTTGATAGAGTTCCGCATCACCTCAAAGCGCAAACCCTCCAAGATATTATACTACAGAGACGGTGTTTCACAGGGACAGTTTATCCAGACACTGACTGAGGAGATTGCTGGGATCCAGGCAGCTTGCAAGGTAGCTTTTAGGGGACATTTAGAGGGCTTTAGAGGATATGTTATCGTGTTATCTTTATTCATTAGTTGGAAATATCGTGTATACCCGGATGGTATTGATGCTTGCTTGGGTTTAACTGTCTTGATGTGGTGCGTTTGACGTGTGTAAATATAATTTACTGTGTCATGTGGGGAGGTCATATTTCATCTACCGGGGCTTAAAGTTCCTAAAATTATTCATTATCGCTCTAAACTCAATGACAAAGGAGCTTAAATTCAAGTTTTGACATCTGATATCCAAGTGCTCTAATTTTGTATCTTGTAAAATTGCACACCTAGACAGTAATTATTTGTACAAATCCTCTGATCGGCCAGCATCTCAAGTGTCGTTACTGATCAATTTATACGCCCTAGGGCCATGATAATTTTACCATATGTGACCAAATGCTCACACCTGTGCATGTGAATGCTGTAACATCTCATTGTTACAGCATTGCACATTGAGCCCCCGTTCCAAAGTCTACAACTAGTAAACCATAGTAACATGTATGTAACATCACGTTCTAAGGTAGACTGGCAGGTTGGTTTGACTGGCAGTCACAGGACACGGTACATCTTGTGATTGTAGTGTGTTGGTAGTTTTACTGTCAAACGTGACATTCCGATGAGGTTATAAAACAACACGTGCTTTTTACATGATACAAATACACGTGGCTCACTATAAAGTATAACAGTTTAAATAATATATCCTACACTGTAGAGTGTAGAGTGTAGAGTGCAGAGTGTAGAGTGTAGAGTGTAGAGTGTAGAGTGTAGAGTGTAGAGTGTAGAGTGTAGAGTGTAGAGTATAGGTAATAAACTGTCCACTCAGAGCTACAGTTAGGTGAGACTAATTGTGGGGGGGGAGGGGTGGTCTGTTAACCGTATCGAGCCGTTTATAGGCCGTATAGAGACCGTATAGTGGCCGTATACCGACCCTATAGAGCTATAGTGGTTAAACCTAATCTCCTAACCTATGTTTAACCTGGTGTTATAACAAGAGTGTATTTCACTTCTCTACTTGTTTCATCCTTATTCCTTAAATTCCTTACATTCCTTCAGGAGCTAGAACCAGACTACCAACCTAAGATAACCTACATTAACGCTCAGAAGCGGCATCATACCAGACTGTACTGTGCAGAACCACGTGACACTGACAGGTCTGTGCAATGTTTATCTTATTAATGTTCTGTACTTGTCTGTACAGGTCTGTATTTACAAGTTGATAAAATGCAAGTTGTCCTCTTCAATTTATTGTTTACTTTATGAATAAAGTATAGTATTTAGTCACGACCGAAGCTAATAAGTGGTGTATAAATTTATTGTTCTTGTATTTTTGAAAGTTTGTTAACTTTCGTTTTCTATTAGGTCAGGTAATGTGTATAAATTTATTGTTCTTGTATTTTTGAAAGTTTATTAACTTTCGTTTTCTACTAGGTCAGGTAATGTGTATAAATTTATTGTTCTTGTATTTTTGAAAGTTTGTTAACTTTCGTTTTCTATTAGGTCAGGCAATGTTCCTGCCGGTACAGTAGTTGACAGGGAGATAACAAATCCAATACACTTCGACTTTTACCTCAACAGTCACAGTGGTATTCAAGGTAAATTGTTCAAACTTTCTTGAGCTTGTTCATATGTTTATGATCATGTTATCTTTTGCAGTTGATCAACCACTTCACCCAATTAGACCCAGGTCTCCCACGGTTAACAAGGTGCCCATTGCCCAATCAGCTTAATATGGTGCCCTAGTTAAGTGACTAAATGAGATTTGACTGTTAAAAAGGTATGCTGATTGGGTTTCCAATCATTTTCCCAGTTCAGCTTGTCAAGTAAACGTGTTAAATTGGGTGAATTTGTTCGTCAGTAATTGTTGTAGCATATATAATTTATAAAGCAATATCCTAAATTTGTTGGTATCATTGTCATTGGTTGGATCAGATCACAATTAACTTAACAGTACTCTCACTTTTCTTCGTCGAATTAGTTACTAGTAGTGTCAACCAACACACGAACGAAGAGCAAGCACCCCGGGAGTCGCACATAGCGAACCCAACCTTGACACCGCTGACCAACCTCCTGAGAGAAACTATATAGCCTGACCATGATTCTTACTGGATATCAACGTTTCAACTATCATCAATTTCAACATCTAGATCTACCGAATCAATACCTTTAAAAATGTTTGGAAACTACAACCTCTACTTCAACAATCTCCCCGCTCTGGAGTCTCGGTGCAAGATAGCTGGCATTCCTGTGGAACCCTTTTTCTGCTCTACTGTTACTCATGTAGTGGTGTTCAACAAGGCTAAAATCTGTCCCAAACTTCTCACCAAGATCCATACTCTCGGAGCCAAGCTGATCTCTTCTGTGGCTGTCAAAACGTGGCTTGAAGACTACAACATTGTTAAAAAACACAACTCCTCCCCTCCCAAACCTAAACCTGCCTGTTCTTACTCCTGTCATCACCCAGCGAGCAGCTCTTGTAATTCAGGATGAAGATAAGATCTACAAGCCTCAGTTCCTGACAAAGACTCAAGTACCATGTTACCCAGACCACCCCTGCTCTGGATCACCCTGGGCTAAACAGATGAGTCCTGGAGACAAACCCTCTCCTACACCCCACTCCAAACCAGCATGTTACAGATCCCCCACAACTCAATCCCCACCTCGCCCCCTACCCACCCAACGCAAGATCTTCTGTGAGAACTGCAGAGTTTCTGTCAGCGATCTGGACGCCCATTTCAAGACATTACAACACCGGAGATACGCAGAGAACGACAAGAACTTTGCTGAGCTGGATGAAGTTATCGGAGATCTTACTTTGGAGAACCTGTTATCCAACTCCAACAAGAAGAGGAGAGTTCAAGTGCCTACTCTTCGCATGACTCTACATTCTCGGACACTTATTCGACCCTGTCCTCCTCTTATCAAGGGATTCTCTTTTAGGAGATAGCGATTGGAATAATGTTTTTATTATTTGTATTTGATTTTAAACATGCTTTAACAAATTATTGGTCTTAATTTCAACTGAAATGAGCCCTATTTAAGAAATCACGTATCGTGATGAGCTTACTTAATAAGTTTAATGTAATAATACAGTAGACACAGAATATTTAAGATTTGACATATTTAAGATTTGTGTCACGACAGTCCGTAACCTATCGCAACAGCTTTTACGTACAAAGGTACAACACAACATTGTACAATACAGCCCCAATACAGAGTAGCTCCTCAAAATTATGCCTTTTATAATAACACTATTGAACTATCCAGTGCATCAAGGGAATTAGGTACGATCTCTTGATCTACTTTGAGGCAAAAACTATTTTGATACCAAAGCTAGGTAACAAATAACAAAAGTTATAAAATGTGCAGGTACAAACAGACCTTGCCACTACACCGTGTTATAAAATATGTTGTGCAGGTACAAACAGACCTTGCCACTACACCATTATAAAATACATGTTCATGTTGTGCATGTACAAACAGACCTTGCCACTACACCATTATAAAATATGTTGTGCAGGTACAAACAGACCTTGCCACTACACCGTGTTATAAAATACATGTTGTGCAGGTACAAACAGACCTTGCCACTACACCGTGTTATAAAATACATGTTGTGCAGGTACAAACAGACCTTGCCACTACACCGTGTTATAAAATATGTTGTGCAGGTACAAACAGACCTTGCCACTACACCGTGTTATAAAATACATGTTGTGCAGGTACAAACAGACCTTGCCACTACACCGTTATAAAATATGTTGTGCAGGTACAAACAGACCTTGCCACTACACCGTGTTATAAAATACATGTTGTGCAGGTACAAACAGACCTTGCCACTACACCGCTATAAAATACATGTTGTGCAGGTACAAACAGACCTTGCCACTACACCGTGTTATAAAATACATGTTGTGCAGGTACAAACAGACCTTGCCACTACACCGTGTTATAAAATACATGTTGTGCAGGTACAAACAGACCTTGCCACTACACCGTGTTATAAAATACATGTTGTGCAGGTACAAACAGACCTTGCCACTACACCGCTATAAAATACATGTTGTGCAGGTACAAACAGACCTTGCCACTACACCGCTATAAAATACATGTTGTGCAGGTACAAACAGACCATGCCACTACACCGTTATAAAATACATGTTGTGCAGGTACAAACAGACCTTGCCACTACACCTTTATAAAATACATGTTGTGCAGGTACAAACAGACCATGCCACTACACCGTTATAAAATACATGTTGTGCAGGTACAAACAGACCTTGCCACTACACCTTTATAAAATATGTTGTGCAGGTACAAACAGACCTTGCCACTACACCTTTATAAAATATGTTGTGCAGGTACAAACAGACCTTGCCACTACACCGCTATAAAATACATGTTGTGCAGGTACAAACAGACCTTGCCACTACACCGTTATAAAATACATGTTGTGCAGGTACAAACAGACCATGCCACTACACCGTTATAAAATACATGTTGTGCAGGTACAAACAGACCTTGCCACTACACCTTTATAAAATATGTTGTGCAGGTACAAACAGACCTTGCCACTACACCGCTATAAAATACATGTTGTGCAGGTACAAACAGACCTTGCCACTACACCGCTATAAAATATGTTGTGCAGGTACAAACAGACCTTGCCACTACACCTTTATAAAATACATGTTGTGCAGGTACAAACAGACCTTGCCACTACACCGCTATAAAATATGTTGTGCAGGTACAAACAGACCTTGCCACTACACCGTGTTATAAAATATGTTGTGCAGGTACAAACAGACCTTGCCACTACACCCTTATAAAATATGTTGTGCAGGTACAAACAGACCTTGCCACTACACCGTGTTATAAAATACATGTTGTGCAGGTACAAACAGACCTTGCCACTACACCGTGTTATAAAATACATGTTGTGCAGGTACAAACAGACCTTGCCACTACACCGTGTTATAAAATACATGTTGTGCAGGTACAAACAGACCTTGCCACTACACCGTGTTATAAAATATGTTGTGCAGGTACAAACAGACCTTGCCACTACACCGTGTTATAAAATATGTTGTGCAGGTACAAACAGACCTTGCCACTACACCGTGTTATAAAATATGTTGTGCTGGTACAAACAGACCTTGCCACTACACCGCTATAAAATATGTTGTGCAGGTACAAACAGACCTTGCCACTACACCGTGTTATAAAATATGTTGTGCAGGTACAAACAGACCTTGCCACTACACCGTGTTATAAAATATGTTGTGCAGGTACAAACAGACCTTGCCACTACACCGTGTTATAAAATATGTTGTGCTGGTACAAACAGACCTTGCCACTACACCGCTATAAAATATGTTGTGCAGGTACAAACAGACCTTGCCACTACACCGTTATAAAATATGTTGTGCAGGTACAAACAGACCTTGCCACTACACCGTGTTATAAAATACATGTTGTGCAGGTACAAACAGACCTTGCCACTACACCGTTATAAAATACATGTTGTGCAGGTACAAACAGACCTTGCCACTACACAGTGCTGTATGACGACAGTGACATGTCCCCTGATATGGTACAACTCCTCACCTTCTACCTCTGCCACACTTACGCTCGTTGCTCCAGGTAGCTACTTCCATTTTAACTTACGCTCGTTGCTCCAGGTAGCTACTTCCATTTTAACTTACGCTCGTTGCTCCAGGTAGCTACTTTCATTTTAACTTACGCTCGTTGCCCCAAGTAGCTACTTCCATTTTAATTCATTGTAGAATCTTATATTCCTAAATTAATTATCGGTTAATTAATTATTATATCAGTTGCTCCAGTTTCATAGCTATTAGCTACTTTAATTTTCTGATATATTCTAAATTAATTATCAGAGTATCAGCTGATATTTATTAATATTATCTTCCTGACACTTAAAATCACTCAGGAGTGTGTCCTACCCAGCACCCACCTACTACGCGCACTTGCTCTGCGCACGTGCGCGCACAATGCTCTCTGCAATGCGCCTCAACTGGTTTGACGCAGCTAAACCCCCCAACCTTAGTCAGATTGAATACAAACTGGCTCAGCACAAGAACTTGAAAAACATAAGCTATTTTGTGTGAGTCTCTTTTTTTTCATCGTAAGGCAGGACTAAAAATAATTAGACCAAGAAGATAAGTTTTTAGAGCAATCTCTCTTCTATAATATAATGAAATTATACATTCCTGCCTTAGAATATATATTTTTGCCATACTATTCATACTATTTTTAATGATGCTCTCTTCGATTTTACTCATCAATCAGATTTTTATCATTTTCTTTATGCCCTCAGACCGTGGTGTATTTCATTATTTGGATTTTTCTTGTTATAAAGGGTGGGCCAAAATTAACTTGACGTTGAAAATATTTTTTCAAACCCGATAAAGCAAATATTAAATCCCAAGTTAATTTCGGCCTTATAAGCGTGTGTGTATTACCTTTATTCAGATGAAATTGAAGGGCATTATTTCACCCTGATGAGGATTCTTGTTCAAATTCTGACTATATTTTTTATAGAATGCGTAACTTAAGTTACATTATTATAACTACACTTTATACGATTTACTGCAATTTGATATCGATTGATTTGTATATCGGTTTGACTGTAGACATTGAAATAGCAGAATTTTACCAAATCAGCCATTTTTGGTCTCGGGTATAATAATGTAACTTAAGGTATATTTAACTATTGTTATTTCTGTTACTTAAAGCTGGTTGTCAGAATTAAAGAATTGGGTTTATCGTCAGCAAATTGACATTTGATTTAAGAGATCATTGATCTATGCTATATTATTTAAGCTGTCGTCAAAAATTATGTCTGGGTTAAACTGTACATTTTGTTAAGGCAAGAAATATATTTTGCTAAATGTTCAATTGTAAAGGTTCATCTCCTGCAATCACTATTTCAAGATCAATACTGGGTTTTATTTTCTTAAAGCATGCCACATCAGATGAAGAGTTTTCCACTTTGTGACAGTGGCAACTTTGACAAGATAGATGATGAAATGTAACACGCAGGTATATAGTTTTAGAAATAGGAGCGCCGCGCCTGCCTCGCTAGCTAAGCTACGTGACGCGCGCTACAGTTCGGATCCGTTTGGTCACTGATTCGATATCAGAGTCATTAGATTTTGAACAGCTTGACTCAGCCTGCAAATATTCATGTTGATTGAACTAAATTGCCTGTAGGGATTCGTTCAGTTTCAGTATGGCTATGATGGCAAACTGCGGAAGTGATATACAGTTTAACTTATTACCGATAACGTTATTCAGGATACCTGGCTCTCTACTATATCCTTGAAGACATGAGTGTGCTTCCTTTTAACACTGTCAGCAGGAGTTTTTATTTCCTTGTGCGGCTTAATGATAGTGGTGATGAGGAGGGGTTTTCCCTGTGAACCCTTCACCTCAAAGGTTGCTCCCTCTTCAAAGCACTTATCTAGTAACGACCTGCAGGATTACACGGATGATCACCTTCAGATGTTTAATATTCACAAGTTCAGCTCTTAAATATCCTTTTAAAGTGCTACACTCAACCCACTCTGATCCTACTCAAGTTACGACTGATGATGTTTTATAGTCAAAGATGCAGACAGCCTGTGTCTTATTAGTAAATTACCTCAGCACGTGGTGAAAAAGTTTGTCTCCCGGATCGGTATGTTTGATAAAATCAGCCAACAGTGTTTTCTTCATGTGACCGAATGAGAGCAGATGTTCCTTTACCGTACGGTCGGACAATTCATTCTCTTGTTGACAGAGAACACACGGGCAAAGCATTTTGTTACTATAATGTCCGTGAAGGTTAAGTTCTTGAGGCTAAACTTTACTTGAAAACATTTCAAATGTTGGGATGTGATAATTGATGAAATATCGAGAGAGGGGGAAGGGTGAAAAGAAAGCGAGCAAAAAGAATTAAAGAATTATTAGTATAAATCAAGAGGCTTTCATATGAACATATTGGCACGGGTGTAGAGTTGAGCCTGTACGGAACCTAGTAGTTTCAGATCCTTGTTTAACTTGCCGTACAGCAAGGTCATTCACTACTTTAGCCCTGGCGAGGCACATAGCTCACTCTACAACTCCGTGTCAAATGTTTCATATATACCAGCCAAGTTCACAAGATATATCCTTGTGTTTGAGAAGAGCTCGTTAGAACTGCTTCTTTTCCCTTCAGTATCCCACAGTCTATCAAAATTAGTGTCACAAAATTGGTATCATAAAATTAGTTAATAAATTAGTATCACAAATAGAGTTAATGAATTAGTGTCACAAAAAAAAGTTAGTATCACGGAACAAACATCACATAATTTTTCAAAAATTAATAATAAATTCAGTGTATTTACAAGTTTTATAGTTAAACTGAACCTCCCCAACGCTGTCGGAAAATCTCAGTCGCAGTGAGCTTCTTTTGAGAGGCCTTTTTTTTCCTCTCAGCAGCCATGCGGACTCTGGCTTCTATGACAGATTCGGGCCCCCAGTTGTCCGCACTAATACTGAAATTAGAATGAGTGAGGCAGGGACAGGGAGGGAGGGCCAGGGAGGGAGGGCCAGGGAGGGAGAGCCAGGGAGGGAGGGCCAGGGAGGGAGAGCCAGGGAGGGAGAGCCAGGGAGGGAGGGCCAGGGAGGGAGAGCCAGGAGGGGGGTTCACTGCCTAATACCTGGATGCTGCTGAATTAATCCGTGATCGTGGTTGCACAGCACAGACTGGTGTACCGTGACTGGAACGGGACGGTCTGAAATAAATATGGTGTTAAGATTTCATCACAAATGATATAACGCATCGCCAATCTTCATAAGAGTCCTTTCTTATCAATAAAATAACTAGTTGACTTACCAAAACACCACATACATTAACTCATTTACTTTTATGGCTTAAAAATTTACCCTGGCCCATTTGAACTGACGGAGGGAGTTCGCGAGCGAGAGCGGATGGGGTCAGGGGTTCTGATCAGGATACTGCTGCAATATTTAGATGTGTTATATATCAGTTTTAAATTTGACTAAATATTGTTAGCCTGGGTACAAACATATTACATAACCCTGGCAATAACATTACAATGGAATTAAACTGCATACTAAATGACGATTTTCAACCATTTCAAAAACATTGGACACCGGGTCATATTTATTCTGCTATGCTACCTGACGGGTGCTGGGGTCGGAGAGGGTGCTTGGTGGAGGAGGAGATTGGTCCTCATCTCCGCAATTTCCGCCGCCTTTTCGTCCAGGACATGCCGCATGGCATTGGTCACACAATCCTGAATATCACTATTTTAACAGCTTTGTTTCAACAGGGATTCAGTGGATCTCATATCATGACAGATGAAATTTGATTGTTCATATGTGATACAGGTGCAGCTTACCTTGCAGTGCAATGCGTGCAGTGGATCTGTCTGGGTACCAGCAGCAGTAACTGGGGGATGATCCGATGCTGCTCTCTGCTTCACTGCTGCCCCCTTCCTCTTGCATTTCTTGTCAACAGCATATTTCTTATATCGTAGCTGGACCTCCCTCACCCAATCAGAGTGTACGCCACTTTCTGAAATGTATTCATCTCCTTAATGATTAAAGAACGATTTTTACAAAAGATATATCGATCAGAGTTGTCATTTGTTAAGCCATGATGTTTTGCGAGAACTTCTCTAGTTCCTAATAAGAAGTGAGGCAATGGCAAGTGATAAAAACTTATTTACCCTCGATATGGCAGAAACGTGCCACAGCTCGTTTTATTTCGGGAACCGCTTCGAGAGTAGGGAACCTGGCTCTCATGTGCCTGAAGAGTAAAATTTGGGGGGGGGGGGGGCCAACCATATTAAAGTATATTAAAGTATATCCCCGGGTCAAAATCGGAAAAAATCCTACATTTTAATATACTTTAATATACCTACAATTAGAAGATTTATATAATTTCACTTACAACTCGTGCAGATTGCAGGTCGAGTCAGCAAAAATGTAGGTAAGAGGAAACAAACAAGTTCGATGTATAATAACTTACAACCAACATCTCCTGCGGAAGCCATCGGAACCAAGTGGTCTTAACTGTCGTGTTACAGTTAACCCTGCGAACATTTCTGTCCTGCTTCCACTCATGTTCTCACTAATGTGATAATCGATATGAACGTGCTTAATTTCGTTCTTTATAACAACAAATGCAATCATTTAATTCGATCGAGCTGTCAAGCAGATTACGGTATTAGGTGAATAGTGTGGCCATTGGTAACGACAATAGACAAGTCACTTGGTGACATGATACCGATTACCGCACGTGTGTAAGTTGTAACATCTTATACACTCTTACAGAGATATATCTATATTCGATCCAAGCACTCTCACTTTTGAAAACTGAAGTCGAAGAAAATATTCTGATCCAGGTCACACTAAGAGGTACAAATCATAACAAGTAAAGTTGGCTGGTAACTAAGCGCTAAGTGAGCGCCCTAGTAGCGCTCGATTCATAATTTGATTTTCGTATAGTTCAAATCCAACAAAAGTGCGCGGCTCACCGCGCGTGTCAAACTTGAAATGCAGTAATGAACTCCGTGTACTATTTGAATATAATATTGATATAATTGCCATCGGCAGACAGAATGAACAATATGTATTGATTCAGATTCTTATTCATGTATAAGATTTATTTCCATAACGGAATTATGAGATAATTTTCGAATTACAAATTGAATAGAAGTTTATGTTTATGGTTTCGGGTTTGTCGTAGGGGCCCAGGGGTCATTCGTAAATAGCGTTTGCGTCCGTTAAACAGGGGGAAGAGGAATGAAATTGGAAATGTTGATGCTTGTGTTTACTTTCGCCTTTGAAGGTTATAGTTTGATTGTAAAATGTAATTGTGAGGCCAGGGTCAAACTCAAAATGAAAATGCAGGATCCGCTGCGCGCGGCGTCAGGCACAAGGTTTAATATATATATCAAATATAATATTTTTTATTGCTGTTCAACCATAATTTTGATTCAGTGCAGTGTTGAATGTTGATGCAGTATATGACTCACAGTATGTCAAAATTAACTCATCATTTCACTATTGCATTATCATCGCAGATTTTAGCGATTATCACTATTTAATGGCGATTATCGTGCATTTAGCGATAATCGCCAATGTTAGGCGATAATCGTGCGCAATAATCGCATGTTAGGCGATAAACACGCGATAATCGCATATTGGGCGATAAACACGCGATAATTGCATTATCGCTTTTATGCAAGAATAAAATCCAGATATTTTCCACTGTGTACTGACCTGCAAATAATTTAACTTCAGGTTTGACTGTCACCACTGCGGCATTGTCATGTGAGTCGTCTTTTGGAGGCCCCTTATCTACTTGAAGGTCGTGAAAGTGGTAATTGTAACGCTGCACCCAAATTCTTACTTATTTAACAGGGCGAGAGACAGTGATATTAGTGACGTGTCCTAGCCCTACGGTGTATGATATAGGTTGAATAATTTGTTGAATCCATGGAGGGATTACATAATCCAGGCTCCAGCCTGGGGGAGGAAGTTGCTAACTAAATAGTGATTACTGCACCAAATTAAAAATTCAAATCTGTTCTACCATGCATCTCACGCGGAGCAGGGCTCTTTGACCCAAACTTACAACTCTCACTTCGTGTTCTGTCCGATTTAACGACTTTAGTAAACCCGTTAAACTACAGGTTATAGTGTTTAGTTCATGTTTGGGTTGTTATTTAAAAGCTAATTCTACAAGAAGTGGGGCTGATTGCGTCACTTAACGTCACTAGTAGAAACTGTACTAATAATTTTTCTTTTATTAAACTTACAGTCGCCTGTTTCGGGCCTAAAAACTGAAGGGCTTCTTACAGGGTCCCTAGAATGAGGTTCCCAAGTCTTAACAATGGTACCAACTTTAAACGGTACCTTTCATTTCCTTTTTATAAGAGAAGTTATTTGGAATTATCAGTATTTGAAAGTCAAGCAAACTATAAATTACATCTTACAGTATTTTCAATTCGCAAAGGTGAAGACCGTCGTTTAATGATGCACAGTTTGGTCACGATTCTCATGTTTCTCAGTAAAACAGCCCACAATCAAACTTGTATCATGAATGAGAAATTAATCACATAGACTGAAGGAATTACGCAAATTTAGTTCAAGAAATATTACATATTTGAAACAATTAAATAAAGTTCAAATCTTGTTACTCAGACGTATTTATATGTAAATATTATACATGTAAATATAGAATAATAATAATTCTAAATTAGAATTGGTTGGAAATATGACAGAGGGATTAAACCGGGATGGTCCCCACATGGGTTGACTAGTAGACCCTCCGATTTTTATTCTCCAGTCCTCTGTGTTTTTAGTCTCCATATTTTCCTATCACTTTTGCTTTCACGCAGGTAATCTGGGGGGTGCTGCTTAGAGTGGACAATGTTTGTGTCTCCTTGCAGTGAGAGTGTCTAATGGTGTTATAATCATGAAAGGTCGAAAGTTTGTAGTGATGTAACTCATTATTGTAAGTCTAGAATTCCAAGCTGTCAGGGTTGATACGGAATCTAAGATAAAGAGTTTGAGATTATTCCTCAGCTCTAACTAAAGAAAGTTTCGGAAAGGACTTTCAGACCACTTCCTCATTTTGAAACCTGGCCTCATGTGTTGAGCACTTTTCTATCTAACCTCCTATCCGTGTCTATTTAACCTGCTCACCTATTCAGCTTGATATTGCTACTGAACCTCTGCCATAGAACCATCACCTGAACCACACTGACCACCAAAGCAGTGATTATAACAGATGATGTGGAGGCAAATGCGGCCATGCCCGACCCAGCCATCCCACCAATCAAGCCATTTGCGGCTGCAATACAAGCTCCTACTTCAAAATTTGATGTTCCGAAGTAATTCACGTCGTAGAGGACATAACTAATACTATTAACTGTAGCCCAAAGAAGCTATCCCGCCCAAGAACTTTGTTATGAAGTTGGTTAAAATCGCTACCGCAAAGTTTTGTTGTGTGAGCATCATTACAAAAGTCCATGCAGTTTACGGAATCCAATCTTGTCTTTTATCAAGTGCGTAAGGAGTAAAGAGGGAATACCTGCGAAGTTAACAAGTGCCAGTAACAAAAGTTCCAACCCTTGAGTCATGCTAACTGAGCAAGGAATGTTTGGTCCTGCTTCCTTGATCTTAAGCACCTAATTCAACGCTGGAACGAGGAGTCTGGTCAACCAGCTATTAAAACTAACACAAGCAATGAGCACCCCAATTTTTGTGTAACAATTAATGAACAACTCTTCGCAGTCGCACCTTTTGTAAAACTAAATGTAAGCCCTACTATAATTGACTAATTGAGGCAAGTAAAGATTCAGAAGGGGAACAGATTTTGAAAGTTTTGACAGACAATTCTAACATGCAGTGATGCTCTCTCCGGCCGGCCGACCGGAGTGCACGAGTGACGAGAGAGGTATTATATGACATCTACAGCTATTGCAGCGCGATGCACTACTGGGTCGCAGCCGCGCATCAAATAATTCTTCTCGCAACCACACTTCGGTAGATCGGCGAAATGCACCACTGTGCCTCACCGAGCTGCGAAGAATTGACATCGTGAATCAACTACAGCTATAATACTGGTCTTGAAGATAATTTCCACCGTGACGATACTACAGGTTCAACAAGTGGTCACAATGACGTTTTAAAATGCTAACTATACAGAATAATACAGTGATTTCTGCACCAAATTAAAAATTTAGATCTGCTCTAGATTACCTGATCTTTGTTTTCAGCATTGTTTCCAGGTGGCGGGTACAATACTCCTTGAGCCTATTAGTATTATTATTATATATTATCGGTATCAATTTAAATTGAGCAAAATTGTATGACACTGTATTACGGGAATAAAGATTTTCCATCACGGGTGGTACTTCAGGGCTAAATCAAACTTGAATATCGGTATTTGGGAACAACTACATATTATATCACCCGTAACACATTCCCACGATAGAGCGCTGGGCTTAGTAGAACAGTGTATGTGCGAGGACAGAAGAATATTCAATTTTGGTAGGATGTAGGATCAGGGTTGGAGGAATTAAAATAACAAAATGAAACGCTGGTCTAAAAATACATGTAAAGAAAATATGGGGGATGTGGCAAAGGGTTGTAAAATTTAATAAATATCTCGGCGGTCGCCAAAACTAAGGTGTCCACGGGCCTGACAAAATACTTGTAAAATTTTTTCTCTTGGTCAAAAACACTAAGTCTAGCCCAAAAAACACCTACCAACGAATACAATCATTGGTTAAAAATATTTAACGGTCAAACGTAAAAATAAATAGGGAAACTATGGAGTATTTATTTATGCAGACACAGAATGCTTTCAGCAGATGAGGGTCATCGTCCGTTTGCTTAGACTACTAGCCGATTAAAATAACAGTCCGGATTTATATTGAACTAAGCACATTTAACGTCTGGACCGTCGTCGAGGAGAGGTGCTGGATCTACCACGGGATCGACTTCTTCGTCCACCGGATCTACTCCTTCCGGATCTTCCTGATCTTCGGCCGTATCTTTCCCTGTGGAGAGACAATTTTAGATTAAACCTATATTACAGAATCGTTTTGGATGAAGAGATTGAAAGATAAGGATTGGGTACCAATCAATGCGAAATGTTGGCTTGTAAAATATACATATATTCTAGTATTAACCCACCTAGAATCTCTTCGTTTACGATCGGGGCTCCTGGATCTCTTCTTTGGAGAGGACCTTCTTCTTGGGGAAGGTGAACTCTTTCTCTTGGGAGATGCAGACCTTTTTGGAGAAGCAGATCTCTTCGGGGACTTGGACCTGCTGTCGGAACCCGCACGTTTCTTGGGAGAGCCTGATTCAGCACTGCGTGATCTTCGAGAATCTGCTCCCTTGGTATCTTCTCCTTTATGTGCAGAGTTGTCATCCATATCCGATTTTGTAGGGGACTGTGATGGACTGTGAACTTTCGGTGTAGTATCGCCCTTTTCGGGACTCATTTTTGGAGTCGACTTGTCGGGTTCTGGCTCTTTTTGTGGTGTTATGGATCTTGATCGGTGTTTATCCTTCTTGTTTTTCTTCTTCTTCTTCTTATCCTTCTTGTGCTTCACAGGGTCTGGGGAGGTTGACTTCTTCCTGTACTTCCTCTCTTGTTTGGGCGAGCTTCTTTCCTCTTCCTCCTTCTCGGACTCAGACTTAGCTTTCTCTTCCTCTTTATCCTTCTTGCTTTCTTTCTTTCCTTTGTCTTTCTTACTCTTGATGTGCTTCATGGTTCTGAAGTCACCTTCTGATCCATCTGAATGCTCTGGAGTTTGTTCCTTTTTGGAAGGGGGAGGAGGAGCTTCTGTTTCAGATTCACTGTTGCCAGGGGAGTACCTTTCGCTTTCTTTGGGTGGTTCAGGAGTTGGCGATTTTTCGTTCACGGGCGATTTTTTAGGAGACGGTGATCTTGAGCTGGACTTGCTTTCTCTTTTAGCTGGTCGTTCAGGGGATTTTTCAGAAGCAGAGCTCGAATCCCGAGATTTGGAAGCCTTCTTTGGTGGTGGAGAAGCTGACTTTGCACTTGCTGCACTACTCGCACTTCCTGATCTACTCCTCGATTTCTTTTTTGGTGATTCCTTTTTTGGTTCAGGAGATTTGGCGGGTGAAGCTGAACGATCAGACTCCGACCCAGATTTCTCTTCTTTCTTCTTCGGAGATTCAACTGTTTTGTCTGGCGAATCTTCCTTCTTTGCCAAATTCTTCCGTTTTACAGGGGAGGCGGAACTGTCGGATGAGGAAGAATGTCTCTTCGTCCTTTTGGTCTTCTTTGATTTCCTCTTCTTACTTCCGTCCGATGAAGACCCACTGAAAGGCAGTTTGTTAAAAATTGATTAATGAGCATTTAAAGAACAATCCAGATTTATAATACACACATATATCCTGATGCAAGTTTTTACACACTATGACTATTTGTTCATGCGAGCCCTGCTTGTCAACACTTTCCGATAGTACTAAGTATTTAATTAAAAACTTAATGTTTATTAAAAAATACACTTTCAATGCTAAAATAATTACTCTGATGATGACGACGAATCGTTGCGAGCCTTCTTCTTCCTTCCTCGTGACCTGAAAAATAACATTTAACTGCCCTAATTCATACTTTGAGTACTGTGGTTCAAAAAATATTTAAAATAACAATGTGACATCCTGGCCCGGAAGCTATTTCATTGTTGTTTCTAACCGCATGCCCCGCAAGGGTTTTCCAACACAGACTTGTAAAATTCCAGAACAAAGGTTGTACGTGAGTGAAAGTAGTGATAAAGGTGGTATTTACCTATCTTCAGAGGAAGATGTGGAATGCCGTCTTCTTCTTCGGTCTCTAAAACAAAAGTTGTGTCAGTGAATTTAATCATTTGAAATCCGAATGGTCGAAAAGGTCATTGAACTAACTCTAGAGATTTCTGGACTGCTGCTTCAGAAGAAGGAAGTCAAGAGAAAGCCTAGCTTGACAGTGACAAGTGATGTGGCATGTAACTGTGAGTACAGGACTGCTCCCGCACAATCTGAGATGAAGTGTTGTTTTTCCCTCAGCTCGGTGTTGTTTTAAACTCCTTCTTGCTATCGGTCCAGCTTTGTTCCTCGTTCGCAACACTTGTCTTTGCAGTGGAACAGTTACATGCCACAATCACATGCACAAGCACACGGCTAGGAGCGTTATTGGTGACTGGGTCAGAGGTCTTCTGACTTACCAAACCTTGCTGGCATTGCTATGAGGTGGGAGGGAGTGCGCTAAGTTTAGAAGAGTAGGACTTCAGAGTGTGAAGGTCAGTCCGCAAGTAAAAGAAGTGCTGAGATCCCCTTTCTCGCTCTCATGATATCCGCAATATCTCCCATCACAACGAGTCTGAATCTTGCGTTAACTCGTTGTATTTTACAGGTTTGCAGAGTTTTTAAATTTACAATGCTACTGGCTACATGCTGTTTGGTTTGCAACGTAGAATGAGAGCGTGAGGGACGGGCAGGTTATATCGTGCAGTGTGTGGTTTAAATCTATCTAATTTGCTGGCTTAAAGGATACATGAACGGGGAGGTGGTCTTCAGCCTAAATCCAACCCAAACCTGACAAAACGAACGACCCTTCACCAAAAACTTGCATTTTATGCGACTTCTTCTAGCTTTCCAGCGTGCAAGTCCTGGGTTGTTTCATTGAGAGAAGCGCGACACCGTCGTAGTCCGTGTCCGTCGGAGAAGTTTCACGCAAAATTACAAGTTTTTAGTGAAGAGCAGAATGCAATGTCAGGATTGGGCAGATAAGACAGAAGGACCTCCATTCTCGTGTTCCTGGTACCTGAAACTGTTATCTTCCACACAAGACAAGGTGAGCTACAAAATCTACGAAATCACCACAAAACAGATAGACAGGCGGGGTTGTGTAAAATGCAATGATTGATCCGACAGATAGCATGTTATATTGTTTAACGGGAACACAGCAAACCATAGTAGGTTAAATAGCGGGGGGACCAGCGAATTTACGGTGCCCGAGAGACGTTTTAATGTCAAACGATGCTACGTTCCACACTAGAATCATGTTAAAACACAGCGAGATAATTTGTTGAGAACACTCAACTTTTTGTACCTTTTAAATACCATGCAAACAACAGCAAAGCAACGTTCAGTGATTTAATGTAAGGGGCTTATGAATTTAAGTTGGTAGCGTTGAGAATTCTCAACTGGAAGGAAAACCTTTTAACATTAACCATGCAATCCAGCCTTGTAGTGCTTCACGCCACAAATCAACAGGTATCAGATAAGTTACAAATCAACAGGTTACATTTCAGTTAGATCAGACATTCAGACAGAGTCACACGTTTCGGGCCAAACAAAGAGTTCAAACAAAGAAATGGCGCAGTCTGCGTGAGGTGGCGAATTTAAATACCGCGCCGCGTGCTCAATTAAAGCACACCATCCCGCACATTTATTGCTCACAACAGCCTAGTATCACGCGAGCAACGCGTTACTTTGCTAGTATTTGGGTGTGTTCACGGAAATGTCCCACTCGACTATCTGTTCAAATTTCACTTGACATGTCGCACGTCTCATCACCGGTGCCCATATCTTAGTTAGATAATTTATCAAGGAAATTGGATTAAAGGAAACCATACACCCACACGATAAACCTAACCAAGGTGGCATTTGGTTGAAATTGAAGCCGTCCTAATTACCCAACCGGTACACGAAGCAAGCAGGAAGTAGAAGACGCGGCCGTTCTAGTAGTTTTATCCCGCCAAAACTGTTGTTCGGTTGTCTCTGTCAGAGCCCGGAGGGGTGAGGTGTTTTCTCGACATATATCTGGTGTTTAGTTATTTGGAGGCTTCAACTTTTACCAATGTTACCATAATACGTCCCCACGCTCCCATATATATAACGGATTATCTGCTGAGTAAGCGGTCACTTTTGTACGGGTACTTCATTATCAGTAAACTGGGCATTATCAGTAAACGTTGAGATAAGAGCAAAAAATGTTTAAAGAGGAATTTACCCGCGGAAATACAACACGACCCTGCACAAAAGTGACACGCCTCTCTCGATAAAAAACATGCGACAAAAGACACGTGACATGTTTTAAAATGTGAAAGTTCTTACTTATCAGTCAACTCTAGAAATTTGGGGGTTTTATTGGGTTTCCACTGGGAGAAAGCAACAGCGATGGTGTAACGGTTGAATTCTCGTCGGTCCATGCACCTGACAGCCTCGCGAGCTGAAATTTTAACATTTATTGTTAGAAACATGATATTACGAGACACGAGTGATTTGTTGGGACATGATATGAAATTTGACACAGTCATTTGAGCAACAACAACAACATATTGCATGAACACAACATTCACATTCATATCACGTCATCCTATCGATTACAGTGAACTATCAAATATCATAATATTAATACCGTCTCTGGAGTTAGAGTAGAAAATCCAGGCTGCAGTTGTAGCAGAGTCAATGAGGATGTTATCAATAGTTCCGTATCTCTTGAAGATGTCGTAGACTGCCCTCACTTCGGTGTCGCGTCTCAAACCACCAATCCACACAATCTGTATAAGTTGTCAAAGTAGGTCACGTCAACGTTATGTCACGTTACGTCAATTTAATTTAATTTGTAATGTAAAATTGAGCTTAACCGAGATAATGGTACTTTCAAATTACACTTACCCGCTCTTCATTGAACCGTGTCTCCATATAGCTGCTGGAGTAGGAACCGTACCCTCCGCCGCCGCCGCCACCGCCGCCTCCTCCTCCGTAGCGACTGCCGCGCCTGTCACGTGAGCTGTCCCTTCTGTCTCGACCCATACTACCACTACTTCAAATATAGAGGTGTTAGAGGTGAATTGTAAGTGACAATATTGATTAAGTAAATAGAGTCAGTCGACTGATATCTTATTCTTTTAAATCTACTACACAGTTTACAGTATCTAAAATGTTCCAAATATCTTCAATTTACCATTGATCAATATTAAAATAATTAGAAAAAATCGGTAATTACAATTATATATACAATTAGAAAAAATCACAAGAAGATTATCATCGTCCCAATGAAGACACAGAAGACCGTTCCACTTAAATACTACTAACAAAAGCCGAAACAGTCAAAACAGACTGTAGCACCCTAGTCAAGTCCACATTTTCATTGTTGACAGCACTGCTATTTAGCTTGTCCTCGTTCTCAATTTGGTATTTGAGGAAGTTGGCATGAGTCCAGGTATGTTACTCTCCAACTTAGCAAACAAATGTTTGGCGTTGATAGAAAATCAGTGGGTTGGGTCATTGCATGCAAGCTTTTTAAACAAGTATGAGCCCTCTCGAACGGATGCAGCTTCTTCTCAACTGATGTCCTTTTACTTTGCCTAACATCGCATTGAGATAATAGGCGTCCAAGCTTATCTGATCTCTGGGTTGAGATGGGACGGCAAAAGGAGAATCATCTTATTCAGACATGATTGAATAAAGTTTCATACTTATGGCTAAACCTAGGCTTACAGAGATCTAAACGCAATTGGAAGCGCAGCAGAGGAGCTTTTACAACTTTGTAACGCTTGCCTTAAATGCCGCAACTTTGATGAACGGATCTTTATGTTCATTTTGTCGATCAAATACAGCAGCCACAGGAGATTGGTCTGAAAAATAAATGATATGAAATATCATGGTATCATCTAATTTTTTAATATAAAAGATCCATTTAACCACAGCAGAAATGTATGAAATATATATTATGTCGTTAAAGAATGGACCAAATACTGTCGCAAAATTGCGACATCATTTAAGATTTTAAATCCGAAGTTAAATCTGGCAGGCTAAAAAGCGACAATGTTTCGACTGCCCAGCTAATGCTTGCGGAGGAAATATTTAGAGTTAGCAGAGAGTTCTCAATTCACACCAGAGCCAATCTCAAAAGAGCTGCTTAAAATAGTTCGCATCATGTCTCCAGTGAGTTAAAAAGGCAATAGATTAGCGTATAAAAGTGGTGCTTTCAGTACTTACATTCTATTATTATTATTATAAAACAGGATCTTACCGACAAAAATGATTCTTAAAAATACCTTAATGCGGTAAACTGTACCCTTGAAAAAGATTTTCCCAACATCTGTTGCATGCAGCTATATCTCTAATTTCGTTCAATTCATGCAAGTTGTCCATTTGCAAATTTCTACTACTTAAATCACTTCTTAAAACCGATAACAAGTTCATTCTAGGTCTCCCCAATCTACCAATGAATAAATTATCTGATTCAATAGCAAAAGAGAGAGCCGTTTGGGCTGGGGTGTTCTCCATACTCCTGAGAATGTGTCAAAACATCTTCCACCGCTGGTGTTCAATACGCTTGGATAACTTTTCAACTTTGCACCTTTCATACAATGCTTTGTTGCTTATCATACCTTTAGGCCATTTGATGTTTAAAATGGACCTGAGGTGTCTACGATGGAGTGTGTCCATTTTCTCCATGGTTGCTTTCTTAGGACTCCAACTATTTGAGTTGTAAATCAATACAGATACAACTTGAGCATCATATAACCTCAGCTTTCTTTCAAGGGAAATTTTCTTACCGGACAACCATACTTTTCCAAAGTTCTTAAAAGCAATCTCAGCTAGGATTCTCCTTCTTTGAATGTCCTTCTCAGTACAGAGTAAGGAACCTAGTGACTTGTTACTTCGCCATGGTTCGTTATTAGCTAATGGCTGACCGTACATTCTAATGGTATTTTAATATGGTATGATTGTCAACGTTCGCTTTATTTATGAATTTGAAAGCCCCGTGGGGCGTGGGCCCAACTTACCACGACCAGGGAATATAGAATAGGGCCGGAGGGCTGGGGAGGCACACATACAGCTTGAGTTTTAACGTAAGTGGAGTAAATTATGATCGACTGAGACATATTAAGGATAATTATAACCTCGATAAAATAAACATACCTTTGGAGTGAATTTAGCCCAGTTTTTTCTACAGGCAGATCTCATATCTCGGTAGACCCGATATTGTATGTCAGCTTTAACATCGCCTTGGAACAACCAATCCTCGTGCTCCAGATCCACGTAATTTAGACATCCCTCTGTGCAGAAGACTTAGATCAAATTAAATTTTAAGAATGAGCTGTTCCATTAGGCTATATTACCTTGCGCAAGATTTAAAGTTCAGACACGTTTATTTATAAAGGCTTTTAAAAGCTGCCCATGCCCTAGGCTCGCCATTAATAGCAGGATTTAATAAAGTAATCCGTATGAGGTTAACTCACAAAACGAACTTTTCAAAAGTGATTTTCAAATAATCTATCCTGTTTCTACCACTTTTATATTTCCATTATTCGACAGAACCAGACAAACGTCATCCGACGTTACGTAAATCATTAAATGCGTTATTTTAAGGCTGCATTACATTTAGAACTAACCAGTTTCGAGCCTGGAGAAAGTGAAGTCAATGATTGTGGCCAGCAACCCGTGAGATTTCAGAATGTACGTTTTACCGTCCTGTGTGAACTCCACGTGTTCCATGCCAGTTTCAGCTATTAGAACGTTGCCCCAGTGTAGGTCTCGGTGTTCAAACTCGTACAGCTGAGAAAACGTTCACAGTTAGTTGACGAAAGTTTAATTGCACATAATGGCTTGCACACGATAAATGTAAATCGGCACTTTTACTATGAATCAGTCAATCAACGGAAATGTTAATCAACGGCGAAAATTAGGGATAATAAATGGTGATGAGTTATATTATAGCATTTATAACCTGTTCAGCAGCAGCAAGACTGCAGCAAATCTGCCTGACTATAGAATGAGCTTGGTGCGGGGTGAGCTTGTGCGCGGCACAGTACTCCTCGAGCTGCACTCCACTGTACTTACACAGTAACACCACATACATCTGATCTTCTGGCAGGATATCTGACGGGGGTAGACATGTTTTATTCATTGTGGAATTAGACCAGCGGTGTTTCACCAGTATGCGATAATGCTAGATATATGATATTATGTACATGTTATATATATATATGCGTGTTTAATGATGGCTATAATTCAATTGTTGAGTGCGAATTGGTGGATTGTTGCACTGGGAATTCTAATTGTCACAAAAGAATTCATAACGGCTGATGGCAGAAAGTGTTGGTGTACCTGGTCTTTGATTTTCGGATCCCTGAAAGTTGTCCCAGGCAGTTAGCAGAACCTCGGGGTACTTGCCTTTACAAAAAACAACGTCTTTTAGTTGGCAAAACGCTTTCCCCATTTGTACCTGTCAATTTATGAGTAAGGCTAATGAAGAGAAAGAAAGATTTATAGCTAAACAGATATAGGTATCTGACTGTCTGAAGCCGTAGGCTAAGACAGAAAATCTTCCACAGGAATGCCCGGGATTGGTGATTGGTTTTAATACCTGATCTCCAGCGAGGTCTGAGAGTTTCCTGCTAACAGCTATCTCCTGAAAAGCGTTCTCGAAAGTCGTCTGTTCCACATCGTTAATCTCCTCATCGCCTCCCACAGGTACTACTTTGTACACTGTATCCTGTCCCATGAACACTTCCCCAAAAGAACCCTCACCAATCTTTCTGATACAATTCCTGCGATAAAAGTAAATATCGATTCAGCTATGTAAGATTTCAGAACGATGCAATAAAATAATAATACAACATCGATGTACTATTTACAAAGGATTGAATGAATGATGATGTCGTCATTGTGTACAACCATTACTTTGTAATGGTTGTACACAATTGAATTGGAGCTTGAATCATTAAAACATGAGCACAAATTAAAATTCAGTATCAATAGTTACAAGTTAAACTATTTCTCAGTTAGTACTAACATATCAGACTGCACTAGAGTTTGTAGATCTTTAACCCGCCTGCACTGGGAGAGCAGCTTGGTGTAAGAGGGTATTGTAGTTGCTAACATCAAACTACGATCCAACGCTGCTATCTTTTCTTCTTTTACAACTCTGAATATGAAGAGGCGTGAAATCGATGAAAGGTGGTGTGGTCCACGGAAAAATGATCTTGGATAATTAAAAACTACATTATATTTGGTAAGACTAAGAATAATAAACTCTGCTGTCAGTGCATCTAATTAGAAATTAAGGTGGTCAGTAAAGAATTTATCAAATCTATTTCCCGAAGGAAAACTCACTCTTGTATAGACATCTCTAGTGATTGTTCGTTTACTAGTTCGATTTGTGCAGATGTTTTAACCGAAGACTGGTCCTTTTTATTTGATTCAAACTCTTTCATTGGAGATTCGAAATTTTCATTTGATTCAGACACCTTGATTGGAGAGACTTCATTTTCATTTAAATAAGACACTCTGGTCGGTGATTCTTCATTTTTATTCGATTCACGAATGGAATGTTCGTCGTTTTCTTTGACAGACATTTTACTCAGGTCTAAAGATAACATTTGTTCTTCTGATTTTTCAAGTGCGAAGTTCATTGAGACCTCCATCGCACTTGGTGAGTAGGCATTTTCGTGAGACATATTGTTGTCCTCTGCTCTAACTGGAATGGATTCGATATCAAAGTTGCATTTCGTGTCACCGACAGTGTTTATGAGCTGCGAAGAAAATTCAGAAAGAGCGAAAGAAAAAGGAGCTTGAGATATTTCCTGATGCTGTTCTGAGAGAATTTCTTTTGGACTTGGTGAAAAGTCTGCCATTTTGTCATCATCTGAAATCTGCAAAAACGGTTCAGGAGATTTGTTCTCTTTATCGGACGTTTTGGTGGGTGAATCAAACAGTCCAGGAGTTTTATCGATAGCTTCCTGAAAATTGTAATGGTTGAAATAGTATCAAGAATCAATTTCTCTTAAAGGTCTTTCCATTTATTGGTTCAGCTTTTGTTACAAATTTATGAGATTTTCACTAACAACACATTCAATTTTATAAGAATCGTGAAGAACATTACATAAATCATTGGGCTGTAAAACCTACATGACGTGCAGTTCAAGCAAGCTTCTTATCTGTTTAGAACATTATTCCCAGCAAAATAGGTCACATACTTGTTGAGGCTCTGGTTCTGGAGTAAGATTTAAGATAGGTGGCCGTCGACATGCTCGCTTCCCAGAAACTTGTCGTGGGTGTGATATATCCTGCAATAAAGACACTTGATAAACAAACAACTGCAACATCCACTTTTCAATGTAAAGCGAAAATGTAAAGCTGAGTAAAGAGTGATTTGAGAAATTATATATAAATAATCAAAATGGATCACGGTATTTGTGTCAAGGATGATACCTTTAAGGGATACCTGTCATCAAGCTGAGAATCAGGTGAAGTTCAAAAGAAGAAATATCCTTTGTTTTTGTGATCTGTCTCACCCTTTTGGTTATCGGCCTAACGAAAACAGACATTAGACAAATTCAATTGTCAAAATTGGTTTTGTACAAAGATTTCACACAGTTGGTATGACAGGTATTTGAATAGGGTATCATCATCAATTGCAATTCTAATTTATTCCGGAAATGCATTTCCGACTGCAGCTCAAAGGAGAACGAACAAACGTGGAGTGGAGCTGAAGAGGGATTGAAATATTTTCACCACTGGTTGCACTTGTACTAAAAACATTATCAGGTTCCTGCCAGTTGTCCTTCACAATCCTCCTGAATTGCTTATGCTTCCGCTTACTGTATGTTGCCACAACTTTACTCTTCTGTTTCATCATGCCTACGTGTTTTCTGATCAGTGGAATAATTAGGAAAGGGAAGTTTTATTGTCAATTTGTACAAAATCTGGCTATCGACTAAAAACAGCAATAACTTCCCTCAGTGTGGGAAGTTCTGACTACTGGAAAAATGGTAGTGGTAATTGAAATTAATACACAAAATCAACAAGAACCCATTATTATTGCTGAAAATATCATAAATACAGACTTGTTATTTTAATTAAACAACAGATACGCGTTGTATAGGGTGTATATTACAAATTTAGTATATAAAACAGTTGAAGGAGTTCTACATACATAGCAGGAAAGGACTTATTTTCCGATTGTATGTTGAAATCTTAAGGCCTGGTGGTCAAACAGCAATGGTAATCAAGCTCATTCTCTATTGTACAGGATGCAGGTGTCCCAAAGAAGGCAACCTATTTACTTTTGTCAATAACTTGCCTCAGATTTAACCTATCGACTATTCTTAAGTCATGTGCCCCAGAATGTATGTTGCACAGCAATTAACACAGCTACATTAATTGCTCATTCAGAGAAACTTCTACAAGATGCAAAGAATAATCAAATCAGTTTTTAAAATGGAAGGAGGACAAGCCAATCATGAAATTATCAAGCCTGCAGTACGTGAAATACTCTGCGCGCATCATAGGTGTCGCCGTCGATCTGTATGTGGTTTGATTGTAGATCACTTCATATTATGCGCAGTTTTGTTTCGTGTTAACAATGCCCACATCATATCACGTCACATTATTGTATCGTATGCCAACTTGATTGACTGTATGATATAATATTCTGTCCTTTGTCTCATCTTAGTTATTATTAGTAACTAGTTCATTAACTAATAATTTTGATGCTTACTCAACACATCTACAGCACCATCGACTACCAAGTCTTTGATTTGATATAAAATTCTTTAAAAGCATGCCGCAATCTTATTTGCTTCTTGGATGTAAATTCAAAGTAACATCTGTTTTCTGTTTTCAGCTATGTATTCGCCTTTTACCATTCAGTATTTTATCTAAATCTTTTCAAACAATTATACCTAATTATACAGAATACTTATTTGATCTCATATAGAGAAATAAATTCAAACAATGTACACATAATAAATAACACAATGACCCTATAATATACAAATTCAATAAAAATCTTAGCAAATTTTATAAAACCCCTTTAAGTAGTAAAAGTAGCCAATTCAATTTATTGGCTCTAAATTTACATCTAAATCTGCTATTTTAACTGCAGTCTGCACTACCACTTTTCATCCCTCTTTCTCATCTAAGGGCAACAATTGTTGTTATCAATAAGTCAAATCTTATTCTTTTCCTAATAAATGTCATCGCCTCACTGTATCTTTGACCTGATTTTCTAGATAGTTTATCAGCTAACTTTTTGGAGAAAGCATTTGCTTCTCTTTCCATTCCACCTGTTGTTGATAGGACTATTTTTCCCAGTGATGTGAACCTAAATCATAACAAATAAAATTGTTCAAACAGTATTAGTACAGACAGATCCGTCTGAAAAAATCGATCTGCCGACACACAAAGCTTACAAAGGATTTTTGACGTTTTTGAGTCCTAATAGATGTCCTTTATGGCTGACCAACTTTTCCAAACTTTTCCACGTGACTTAAGGCCACTTTTTGCCACTTTACCACTTTTTACCACCTTTCTTGTTTGTCAAATATCTTTAGTTGTGAACATCGTAAAAGGTTGCGGATCAATCGAGTGTGTTCATATTACCATGAAGAAAAACTTTTGTTCTAACAATTTTTACGTCAGATAATCATTTAATTGGATAATTATCAATTAGCTAATTAGCAAAATTCTAAAAAATTTTTATTGGCTCAAAATGATCGGAATAGCTTAAAACACGGAGAAAAGTAGTTTTTTAGAAAAACTTTGAAAATTTTTCACTTACATTTTTTTTTCGAGACTTGGAAAAATTTCGAAAATTCAAAAAATAATTTTCCGCCAAAAGTGATCAAATCGCATGAAACGCGGAGAAAAATGCTTTTCAAAAAAACTTAGTGAATTTTTCGTTTCAAGAATACTTAAATCACCAATATTTGTAGTTGGAGTTCAGTAAATCGCGGCAGATTTTAGTAATCAGGAATTACTAAGTGGAAAGGTATGAAACTGAAAAACGTTAACCATACGATAAAAGAGTTTCATAACTAATTACAATACAGCCTTATCGATTTTCACAGAAACTGCACCAATGGCACAGTCAAGATCGAAAGACGAAACGATAGCCTGCTGTACTATCATTTTATTGATTTCAATGATGAATCAGTGGGGTTAAGATAATCACATTTGTAATAAATAAAACCTCTCTGTACCGTCAATTGTGCTAATCTAAACCGGCCTACCTGGATTACCAGACCTCTTCTTTTCCTCAACAATCAAACCAAGTTGTTCATATAGTATTTGGTGGGCGATGTAAGTACTTATCGAGCTGTATTCAATCACAATACGACACAATACGTGTATATTATATGGCTCTTAATGAGGTTTATGAAACGCTTAATACCGTGAGAAACCCGGTATAGAGACGTTTTACAGTTTATCACGAAAACGTATACTTGGCCTCATGGCTCATTTACAGTTCGAAGAAGGCAAGAACAGACCAGGGAAACTAAGGAACAGCCAGATCCAGGAAGCAAGTGTAAATACACCTTCCAACACCTACTGTGACTTGTTTTGTATTGTACTGCATACCGCTTCATTTGCTATGCGGTATAAAATCACCCCCATATGTCAGGGTCGGCTAAAAGTAAAATCAACAAGGGTAACATACGGGCAAGGATAAGATTTAAATACGAGCGTCGGGCAAGGGGTAGTAAAGAACCGGTAATAATTCATTCAGTAAAATTTTCCACGAGAGTCAGGATATTTTGGAAATTGCTAATAGAGACAGATCCTGATCAGGAAGGATTGTTAATGTTATTGAGGATGTTGATTTGAAATCCGGACGTTGTGAAGTAAAAATACAGGTTCTTCCCGCAGGATATTCGGGGCCCATGATGATCAGCTCGGGATAAATGTGGGACAGATCGAAGAGCATTGAAAAGACCGAGTTGACATTTTAAGCTTTCTGGTCTTTTCTTGCCTTCTTTGAGCTGTCAAAGAGTCATGAGGCCAAGTAGACGTTTTCGTGATAAACTGTAAAACCTCTCAATACCGGGCCTCTCACGGGAGAAACGAGAAGTGTACGGTATAGAACGTTTCATATACCTCATTAAGGGCCATAATATAATATACACGTATTGCATTGTGTCGTATTGTGATTGAATACAGCTCGATATGTACTTACATCGCCCACCAAATGCGATATGAACAACTTGGCTTGATTGTTGAGGAAAAGAAGAGGTCTGGTAATACAAAACAAGTCACAGTAGGTGTTGGAAGGTGTATTTACACTTGCTTCCTGGATCTGGCTGTTCCTTAGTTTCCCTGGTCTGTTCTTGCCTTCTTCGAACTGTAAATGAGCCATGAGGCCAAGTATACGTTTTCGTGATAAACTGTAAAACGTCTCTATACCGGGTTTCTCACGGTATTAAGCGTTTCATAAACCTCATTAAGAGCCATATAATATACACGTATTGTGTCGTATTGTGATTGAATACAGCTCGATAAGTACTTACATCGCCCACCAAATACTATATGAACAACTTGGTTTGATTGTTGAGGAAAAGAAGAGGTCTGGTAATCCAGGTAGGCCGGTTTAGATTAGCACAATTGACGGTACAGAGAGGTTTTATTTATTACAAATGTGATTATCTTAACCCCACTGATTCATCATTGAAATCAATAAAATGATAGTACAGCAGGCTATCGTTTCGTCTTTCGATCTTGACTGTGCCATTGGTGCAGTTTCTGTGAAAATCGATAAGGCTGTATTGTAATTAGTTATGAAACTCTTTTATCGTATGGTTAACGTTTTTCAGTTTCATACCTTTCCACTTAGTAATTCCTGATTACTAAAATCTGCCGCGATTTACTGAACTCCAACTACAAATATTGGTGATTTAAGTATTCTTGAAACGAAAAATTCACTAAGTTTTTTTGAAAAGCATTTTTCTCCGCGTTTCATGCGATTTGATCACTTTTGGCGGAAAATTATTTTTTGAATTTTCGAAATTTTTCCAAGTCTCGAAAAAAAAATGTAAGTGAAAAATTTTCAAAGTTTTTCTAAAAAACTACTTTTCTCCGTGTTTTAAGCTATTCCGATCATTTTGAGCCAATAAAAATTTTTTAGAATTTTGCTAATTAGCTAATTGATAATTATCCAATTAAATGATTATCTGACGTAAAAATTGTTAGAACAAAAGTTTTTCTTCATGGTAATATGAACACACTCGATTGATCCGCAACCTTTTACGATGTTCACAACTAAAGATATTTGACAAACAAGAAAGGTGGTAAAAAGTGGTAAAGTGGCAAAAAGTGGCCTTAAGACACGTGGAAAAGTTTGGAAAAGTTGGTCAGCCATAAAGGACATCTATTAGGACTCAAAAACGTCAAAAATCCTTTGTAAGCTTTGTGTGTCGGCAGATCGATTTTTTCAGACGGATCTGTCTGTACTATATACACATAATGTCACAATGACCCTATAAAAAGAAAAAACTAAACCCTTCAACAACTCAAAGTTTTGAAAATCACCCTTGGCCTTGCGGCTCCAAGTTCAAATCTAAACTGTCTATATTGACAAAGTTCTTTCTCGCCCCTCTGTCTCCCCGGAGAGAAATCACCGTTGTTCTTAAGATTTCAAACCGAAGGCGCTTCCTAATATATCCCACAGCATCTGCATACCTTTGAACTGTGTGGAACTCCATCTATGTTGATAGGACTATTGGTGTAAATGTTCCATGTTTCACTTCAACGATCCTTTTGTTGTACATGTTTTCTTTTGTCTCTCATGGCTAGTGTACATACTCATTGGAGATCCAAAAGCCAATATTATTGGAAGGAGCTTGAGCATGAAATACTCTTGCATCTAAAAATACCCTT